GGTTGAGAAACCTGGCAGAGATTTAGCTGTGAAATCCTGAACGTGGGCATGAGATGATTTAGCCTCATTGCATGATGCACTCGAGCAGCTCTAGGGACACAGAGTTTTGCAAACCTGTGATGAACCTATTAACCAGCAATCAATCCGTCCAGCGTCCAGAGAGAGTGAGATGATACTGTGAAGTCAGGGGATGACGGCTGTTGTCAGCAGCCGAGGAAAAAGGGAAAGGATCCCCCCTCCCCCTCTCCCTGCTATCTGTGATAAACGGTATCACAGCATCAGAAGTGTAAGGAATTGACTACAAACAGGGCTGTATGTGTGCGTCACTGTGTGTGTGTGTGTGTGTGTGTGTTTGCCCTTTTCCCATGTGTGCTGGCTGGCAACAGACACCCTGTGTGTTACATCACGCCGTACCTTCCTCCAGCTCCTTGCAGACCTGTGAGAGAAGCAGTGGGCCTTGTTCCAATAGCAACACAGTCTTACAGTTTACATTCAAAGCTCGTTTCTCAGTGAGGAAATGGGACAGGAGTGAGAACCGCGTTTGCTGCTTGTGAATGATAACACATGTTTTCTGTGCTGGATAAACAATTATTAGATTGTCAATGGCGTGCAGGGGGGGCAAGGGGGGTTAGTCGCGTGCTAAAGCTTAAGCTTGAAAAAAAAGAAAAAAAACGCTTGGTGACACTTGTCAAGAGGGACGATTTTCAAAATAAAATGTTTTTCAGAAGAAAAAAGTCAAATGACAAAAAAAACAACTGTATTCTGGTTTAGATCACTGAATGTTGGTGTTACATTTAAATTTAACAAAGTAATCAACCATTTCCAAATTGTCTTGAAAAAAAGTTTGAAAAAAAAAAAAAAATGCCATAATAACATGAACAAAGTTTTATCCTCCAACTCCCAACAGATCTGACGTGGATTAGTACATACGCTAAATTTAGAGTACTTTTATAAAACTACCTTAAAAAGTGCCATCCATCAGTTACCAACATTCACACTAGTCTCACAGTAAAGTCACAGCTACAGGAGCAATTTTTTGTTTAGTTCTTTCGTTCAACATTGAGCGAGGTATCGAACCACTGACCCTCTGATTGAAGGACGAACCACAGTAACACTATGGAAATATTGGTGCTGCTGAGAAAACACTTAGCTGCTTCTGTCACAAACCAACACATTATCAAGGAGAGTCCTGGGTGATCAGCGCGTCAGTAACACAACCGCTAATAACCAGTCGGGCCGCTGAGTCAGTGTTGCATAGAAGAAGCAGTGTGCGGTCCTGGGTCAGCCAGCAGCATCCGAGCGTTAATAAGGGGGGGTAATTGAATTAGAGGATCAGTGGAGGCCTGTAGTGCGGACGCCACACCGCTCTAATTTCATTACAAGTGATGTAAACATGATGTTGGCCCCCTAGTGCGGGGCCCTCCCACATCGATACACGCTCTCACATAAAAATAAATGACAAAAACACAACTCCACGGCCGCTTGTCTCACGTAACATCCTGTCCCAGCATGCAGAGATTTCAGCTTGTGTGATAGTTTGTGAGAAACTACAGTTAATACAAATCAGCATTATGTGGGACAAGAAGAGAATGAACACAGCGTCAGGTATTCAAGTGTTCAAAGTGTCGTCGAGTTTTGTGCTCAGTTGGTCGCATCGATGTCTCACGGCAATCTGTCCTCTGTTCTTCTGTGTGCGGTTCATGAATGATCCATAAATCTGGCATTGATGGCAGTGTAGGCGAGAGTACGTGACACATTCAGATGACAGTGGAGAATACTTTTTGTTCTGTTGTGTAGAAGAACAGGATGGGGAACCAAAATCTATGATATCCGTCCTGTGATTTCTTTTTTTAAATCTTTGTAATGCATGTCTATGATCAGTGCTCCGGTGATTCACTTCACCATCAAACTGACCACAAAAACTCTTCACACCCCTAATAAGTCTTTCCCCTTTCCATCTCAGCTCTGCCAGACGCTCCCACAGACAGATGGGTAATAGGTCAGATGCTCATCATCAAGCAAATCAGAGCGCAGGAGGAAAAGCTACGGAGTGATGGAGACGGAAAAGGGGGCTTTTGCAAACGTACCAAGAGAAACGCATTGCCGAACTCTTTGCCAAAACATCACATTAAGTGCTTAAACCTTACTTCGACCAGTCTTTGACAGATGCACCTGCAGAGACGGCCAATTTAGCTCCGGAGTTTAGCGTGAGCGAGTAGGTTTGGGAGGAAATGGTATGTTTGTTGCTTTTTGCTTCTGCATTTTTCACCTTCTCGCTAATAAAGCACCTTTTCTAATGGTTGAACGTTTCCATTCTGTCGGTTTGGATGCACATTATCCTGCTGCTGTCAGCACAACGGCAACGAAAAATTGCCCAATGTACTCTCCGTAATCTGAACGTTACTAAAACACACACTTGTGAATTTTCTCAAACTGTTCTACAGGTGCATAATTCATTGGTAGGAAATCGTCTGACGTTGGACAACAGATTACACATAAAGTGTGATAAGAGAAAAGAATTGTTGTTGTTGCTGTGGGATTCCATCTTTAGCACAATTATCCACGCCGAAAAGAGGACACGCAACAACGGTAAAATAAACCTCGCTTTTATTAACATCTCTCTCTAGAGTTGGGTACACAGAGTACGCGTGCAGTTTGTTGATTGCATATCAGTCATAATATTACAGAGCTGCAGGCTAATGGAGCTTGTTGAAGAAGTGCCTTATGCTCTGTCAGTTTTTCATTACCTCTTCACTGAGTCTTAGGTGGAACCGTTTAGTATTCATAATTACTGATGCAGTTGTTTTTCCACTTCAAGGAACCAACAATACCACCCTCCCCCTCACCAGCGACTTATTTCCTCCTAGTCCATTTCTCTGTTGACTGAGCGGTGCAAAACACCGGCTTAATGGCCCCGCAAGATGCACGTTGACTACTCAAAAGCACTCGTTTCCTAGCAACCGCCACAGGTACGAGTGGAGAGATTTTGTGTATTCTGTAATTATCAAAAGATTTAGAGCTGAACAAATGCAACAGCCCCAAAATAAGTATAACACACTCAAAAGTGTCAAAAGTGTATGTGCAGGCAAATGCACAATTACATTTCCAATTTGTCAAGATCTTTGGAGTTCTACAGACGCACAGTAAATGCAGTGGCCATTTGTCCTCGGGATCAATAGACAATTGTGTCAAAGGGCCACTGGTTTGTTTCTATTACGCAGCAAAAAGAGAGGATTGTCCAAGTAGACTTTCATTCTGTTTCATATTTATTTTGCTCACAAGACAAGCCAACAAACACAAATTGACTGCTTTTCCCATGACTGCCTTCCTACGCTGGTAAAATACTATATATCACCCAGGTGCATGCTGGTCCTATAGCTGGCTATGCCCTTAAATTACCTCCACGTGCCGACAGCATTACCAAATGAATTAGTCATTCAACTAACCGAATGAAGCCAAAACTATGTATATTTAAATTACAAAAAAATAATTTGACTACACAAATTACAAAAAGCTATCTTAATACATCATTCAATCAAACCTAAATAATAATACAGAAACATTTACAAATAAATAATGAAATACTAACTGCAAATTAATAACTACTAAAGTACATATGCTTTTATTTTTGGTTGCTTTGACGTAAAAGCTTTTTAGATTTTAAAAAGATAAAGATGATACAGAGATCTTTGTTAGTTTCTTATCTCACTACTTTTCTTGAGGAGAGCAGTCAGAATGTTTATTAACGCTGTTCATTAAGAAGAAGCTGCGAATGACAGAGCTAACAGTTTATGCTTCAGCCCCAAAACTTTGGCCACTGTGAAGACAACAGCGTGGTGAGTGCCGATGGGATGCAAGACAGAAGGCCAGCGGCGCCCACACGCCCGACCACACCAACACACACACACACACACAGACAACCCGTCCCCTTTGCACCACGCTGAGGTCTAATCGATGCAGCTCATTCGTATTGCACCCCAGACATCAGGGGAAGCCGGGGGAATTACAATCAGCCCCCGCTGTGATGTATCCCAGCCGAGAGGAGGCCTGAGGAAGACAAAGCCAGCTTCGCTCGGGCAACCTGTCGTTTACTGTCCACCACCTTTTTAAACAGCATTTAACTGAGCAGACTGTACTTGAAGCACCATCGTTAAAAGAGCGGTACACTATATTTTGGATATTTAAATGAAATTAGTTGATTTTCTCCGGGTGTCTGTAGTTGCATTGACACACACTGTTGAGAGATTGCATGGAAGCAGTATGATCTCAATTAATCTTCTGCTTGAAAACAGGAACAGATCAAATCATAAATGGTATTAAAACTACCTCTTCAATGAGGGCTCCTACCAAACAGGTTCTCGAAATAACTGCGGGTTAAAATACGGAAGCCACTCTTAGCGCGCTAATCGTTTCTAGTTTAGTGCCGTTTGTGTTAGTGATGTATTTTCAGACACATTTATGAAACTACCGAGTGTAAGCCCTGTTGGCCGGCCAGTAACCGTACTGTTCCTATTAACAACCTCAAACATGATACTGATGAAGATACTGCAAATATTGGTTGCACTGGTGCTACTGACAATAAGTCACAACGAGTAAAGATGACCTCTTAGCCTTTATTTATCGGGATATTATGGATGATTTCATAACATTTTTCGATCTTGAAATGATCCAATTGGTCCTCCGTGAACACACAAGCCTTTAAATTAGAAGATTGCCTCTTGACGTTTCCCTTAAATGGTGAAGGGTCTTGAAAAGCAGAGAAAACTGCTACTTTGGCCTCAATTAATCCCAATGATGCCTCGAAATGAACACAGGCAGAGCTCATTTCCAAATTAAACCAACAACTGGAGGAAAAATAACTCATGGTTCAGAAGTTCACAATCCACAGCATCGAGGGGAACATGAAAGCCGCTGGAAGCAAATGCCTCCGCAGTCCTCAACTGCCTCTAATGGACCATGGATCAACAAGCCTTTATCTCCTTCTCATGCAGAGAACTCACCAGTAACTTCTGCTCCAGCCTTTGGTGGCTCAGGGTGTTCGGGTTGAGTCTCAGAGCTCCGCTTGTGTCCTCTAGAAGACGTGAGTTGTCCAAACGCCGCACACCTGGGAGCTGAAGGGACAAAAATTCATTTATGAGCTATGGGGGCAAACAGAGAAGAAATTGCTGAAAGGATTTTATTCAAATTAATATTGTAAAAATAGGACTGTGCATTTTCTTATCGCAAAAACGTTTCCACCACTGCCAGACATGATTGGTATAATTTGACTTAATTCTATTAATCAAAGTCACCCATTTGATTTGCAATGCTCCGTTTACTCACATACTAAAATCTGAAAAACAACCAAGCAACATATTGACCTGGTGTTTTCAAAGAAAAGTAACCCTTATTCAACCAGATACTTACAAACTCACACAAGTGTAAGATGCCAACAAGGTAAAACAACATCCGCTCTCCGTGTTGAACCACTTAGCCACCAATGCTGAAAGCACAACCTAAACGGCTTGTTATTGCCAAGCTAGTGGAGCTGACTGGAAATAATAATGCAGCTTATTCAATTATTCATGGTCCCGGTCAGGTGGAACCAGATGCTGCTTTTGTGTCATAGATGGAGCGCTGTAACAGGACTCAAGCCTGGAAGGCCGCCGCTGCACGGAGGCCAAGAACTCGCCAGGCGGCCTTAGATGCTGCCGGCCCACAAACCAAACGCAGGATGTCACCACGCTCACTTTGCTGTTTCCGTGAGACATTGTTCAATCAGAAGACAGAAGAGATTCAGCCAGGTTGGCCCAAAACGGGGGCAAAGTGCTGCTCCCAGTTCACCCACCTTCTGTCGGCGTTGCTGCACCTCCCCCTGACATTTGTGACCATGGCCAGAAGAGGAGCCCCCCCCACCCACGCCGCGCTGAAGCGTTGAATGCTAATGTTATGGTGCTGTGTGCCCGCCACTCCTGAGAACAAGCAGTGCTATTTTTAGCCACATGTCCCCAGCTGCACATGCCCAACCCGAGGCCAATGAGCAATTAGTGTTTGTTTCTAATGGCAGGAGGCAGCGCCGTAACCTCCATAGCGCAAACAGGCATCTAGACGAAGACTGTGTCGGTTCCACGCCGTGCCGGCAGGGCGGAGAAGCTCCCTCCGTCGGCGTCGTCCCTCCGCCCACCTGAACCTCCAAAGGGCCTGAGAAGCTCATCGGCTGCCGTTCCCACTGGAAACCAGGTGACTTATTTACCTACTAGCACGGTCATTTGTGGCCTCGGCGGAAAATAAAAGGTAAACGGGCCTTTGTTTCGATATCGATAAAATGGACGCCTTGTTAATAAGTCAAAACCACCTCTTGTTTGTCAAAGGGGACAAATCCCCATATGTCAGAAGGCTGCATGGAGTTATTCTGGGAATTGCAGCGTACGATTATTATTCAGTTAATCTGAAGATTAATGCACCCACAGTCTTCTAAGCCTAAAGTGACCGGTCAAACTACCAAAAGTACTTAAACTAGTTGTAAACTGGACAATGTTCAATACTCTTATGAATGAATTACAATTAGATCATTTAAAGTTCTTTATAGAAGTATCATTCCCCAACATTTCATCCCTCTGTCTGTGATCTGATTGAATGACATTTCAGAGCGGTGTGGCCTCATCCTTTGTGATGATGTGTAATGATAATGCAGAGTTTAAGCCTTTTGCTAGGATGAATATTCCATGCAGGCACTTCTAATTAAGCAGAATTAAACACCATTGTCTCCAGCATGCAGGCATCTCCTCAAACCCGTGTTGGTCAGCTACTTTGAGATAATACTCAATATTATGATATATCTGGCTGAGCCGGTATAATAAGTCATTTTGGGAGTCAGTATGTCATGAGGGCCTCTTTAATTCGTTCTAGTCAGGGCAAAGCTAATTCAATCTACCTTATTACAGTTTCTTCATGCAATTACCCTATGCCCCTGTTCATTGATGGACCAGCATGGAGACAGTGGATTGGACAGCAGGCTTTTATCGAGCCCACACAGACCTATAACATAGCACAATGTAGCGTGAACCTTTATACTGTTAACAAAGATGAATCCCTGCAACAACAAATAAAGAAATGAACAGCACAGCAAGGCTCTTTATTTCTAGTAATCTGCTGTGAAATTCTACTTGATCGGGACATTAGAAACAATTACATCGTCACATGAACACAAAGCATTAACTCTGGAGTCCATTAGCAACCCATTAATCATCCTGTAAATGAAAGGTGTTGAAGAAAATGCAAGTGTGCCTCAAACTGACTGGCAGAGGGTTTGTAGCACAGCCTGCCAATAACACGTTATCAAAGAGAGCGCAATTAACCTCCAACATGGCGGACACTACCCAGAGTACAACATGTCCCCAGATAGGACATGAACATTGGACACGGTGTTCAACAACCACCACAGACGTCCGAGAATCCTGCCTACTGCTGTCCACCGTAAGTCCAATAAATCAAAGGGTTCAGGGTTCACGTTGCCTTTTTTTGTACAAATGCAATTTAGCAAGTTTGGGTTAACTCAACGTATGCAAAGGGGACATAAAACTGATTACGCTTTTTGAAGAGAATATGAGTAAAGTTTGGATAAAGCAGATGAAATACTGACAAAAACTGTAAGCGGAAAGCCAGAGAAAGAGAGAGAAAAAGAGAGAGAGGGAGAGAGAGAGAGAGGACGTCCGAGATTGAACCTGTGGAGATAAGCTTTTTTATTACAAAGCAAATCCTGACGAATAATCATCACTGCCTGTGGATTTTGGCAAGATCCACATAATCGTCCCCCCCCCCCCCCACCCCTCCCCCTCTCAGGCGTCATCTCCCACCTTCCAGAAGGAATCCAAGCGGCCCTGCACTGATCCCGTGAAAGACAACCAATGACGTGTCCATGACAACGTAACACCAATGAAGCTTTTGAGAAGCTTCTCAGTCACAACTACAAATGAACAGTGAGGGGAAACAAATAGGAAAGGAATCACTACCGCTGACCCGTGGGCTCTCATGATCTCATGGCGTGCTGTTTACACACTAGATCAGTGTTGCCCATCTGAGTGAGTGGACGGCGTCGATCAACTCCAGGAACAATCAATTATGAATGCAATCAGATCCCCGAGGTGATTACCGGCTACTCTTCTCTGACCTCAAGAGAAGTCGGCGGCCAGTCCATTACAGTTGTCTGTGTGCGACTACACGGCAGACTGATTGTCAGGATGCGACCTGCAACTATCCCACACTCGTGTAAAGGCACATGTACAAAAGAAGATGGGCACACACACACACACACACACACACATGCATACATTGAACACGTGTATAATGCAGATTCTAATCCAGGGGCTTATACTGCGCAAAACATCTGCAAAATCTGCCCTCGCATTGAGATTCCCTCCGGACACATGGGAGACAGATGCTTGTTTTGTCGTGCACGGGACACTCGGACGATCAGAGCGGGCGTTGAAGCGGGCGGCAATGATAACGCACTTTTCCATCCCGAGTCCTCTTTACAGAGGTTTCCCAGTGAAGACGGTGTATGCAGCAGCGGGCCGTGGACCCTGCTGTTCATGTCACTAATGCCTCGCGCCGTGGCGAGGTCACGTGCTTTATCCAGGCCACATCCAGGCGCCAGCAGCAGCAGTGGTCCAGCTGTTACTACAGCAGCACCTCGGCCACTCACGAGCACGCTGAGCCGTGCTCCTCTCACACCGCTGCATCCTTCCACTGAGCAGCCATGTCCGTCACTTCGGTAGCACTCCTTCCTTTATTTGTGCCACTCCAGCCCCAGCACAGAGGTCAATGCTTTATACTGCAAATACCAAGCAATGTGCACACAAAAGACTCTGGGAGGGATATCAACTGAGCAACCTGATCGCATATAACGAGAAGCGTATGTTGAAGATAATAGCTTTGTCCCAAATTCCAACTCTGCTGCCAGTTCGTGTCTATATACCAATGTAATGTACATTTCCCAAAAAGTTGCTAATAGTGTCTTATCCAAGGTTGCCAACGCTAAAAACCCAAGCTGCAAAGTGTTCACCATCTTTACATAGACCTAAACAGACCAGCTTCAAAGGGAATTTCCACACCACAGCATTTTTATTATTTCTTCCGAACCTGCTTAGCATTTGTTTTAGCTCAGAGCCAAACTGATAACCCTGCATGCTAAAATCGTGATTTTAACTCACACAATCACAGATGTATATGCATTCATATGTATGTATCTCAGTTTCAGTAAATACTGTCAAACATATATACGTAAGTATATCTACGTAAATGACAAAAATGCATTTAAAAACACTTTCTCCATCACTTTATCTATTTATCTTGTACTAAGGCTCTGCCAATTAATGTTTTTGTATTGAAACATGGATCAAATGTCTACTTCTTTGAGAAAAGGCCCATTCTTTTTGCATCCAGTGACCATTTTAGTGTCTTCCAGCACTTACGCGGCTCTCATAAGCCTCATTTCCAGACGCAGTAACCCACTGTTCACTGCAACAACTATAAAAGACCACCCTACGCCTAAAATAATTTATGCAAATGCTAAATTGCTCCACTATGGTATAAAATCAGTAGGCAGTTTTTACATTAAATTAAGTTTTCTGTGATTTATAACCAACTGACTGTGGTGAACAACACCCGGTTTGTTGCTTCCACCAAGAAGAAATAATCAAGTTCATGCAAATATGATTTAACCCAAGGCTGGATAAAAAACACTGAACAGTATTGTTCCTCCCTTCTCGAACTCCCCCACCACCAACACCCTTGTCTCCTCTCTCCAACTCATTGCAGAGAATATTTTATTTTTAAATCTGAATCCCTGTCTCCTTTGCATCGTGAAGATACGAGTATCTCGCAGGCAGTTCAGGGATAACCAGTGGAATGATGAATGGCCATGCGAGCTTGTCAAGGCAGACAGGAGGAGCTACAGCATGAATGAAGTCTGGGAGTACTCTCTCGTACGCGAGGTGTGGGTCGAGTCTGACAGCCCTAATTACGGCAGCTCTTGAAATGAGTGACCTTGGGAGGCAGCAGAAACATCCATGCGTGTGTGCACACATAGTAAGAAAAAAAATATCACAGTTCACCTTCCACTGTTTATTCACCCTGCCGCCCTCTCCTCTCGTGACTGCCACCTATAGGATCATGTCTCACTGCATTTGAGCCGGTGACACAACACACTGAAACACGTATGCTTTACATATCTATTTATACCCTCTACAAGCCACGGCGTAATTTGTAATGCACACAAACACAGTCAAGGACATATTTTCGGTATGTGGGGGGGGGGGCACCAACCTTACAGTGTCTCTCGTTGTCTTAAGAGCTTTAAGAGGCATCTTACACGGGTAAACAGCGCTGATGGATCACCTGCACAAATGTTTCTCAAAATCCACGCGCGCAATGAGCGAGCACCAGATGACTCTACACACTGGCAATTCATTAACAAAACTGAATTTACACTGATGATTTTATTCAACTTAAAACTGACACGTCCCCCTTTGCCTGAGGGGTCTGCAGAAAGCGTGATTTCACAGACATGGAGGACAGTGACAACCGGGGACCGACGTCAATCCTAAACATCACGTTGCATCCCCCCTCGATGATGCTCACACTGCTCCTGCTGTAAAGTGCTTTTAAACACACTGCAGTGTGTTTTCAGTCAGGATGAGAAACTCATTACAACAATTAGACAGTGAATCCTCATGGCATGCAAATGATGTGCAATGTCCTCTGGCTCCACTCAGTGCTGTCAGATCTGGATATTCTGAATATCCTATGCAGACCAGCTAAAAAAAAAACAGGTGCAACCCTCTCTTAAGAAATGCCTGAACGCATAGGTTCTTACATGAGTGCTATGAATACACTTCAATCATTGTAGCCGCTAAGAGTCTAAAACACTAAGACACGATGATCCTTATCCCTCCAGCAGCAGCAGCAGCATCAGCAGCAGTGCCCAGGGATCCTGCAGCACAGGCAGCACAACAATCCTTTGCTCACAAAATCACACACACACATGCGCGGCTTGACAGAAGACAGTCCATGGCACGGTACCTTAGCAAAGGCAGGTGTTTCCCGCTGTGTAGCACGGACAGAAAGCAGCAGAACAAGGACGATGGCTATGGCAGCTCTGTAGCATAAAATGGTTCATCAATGCTCGGCAGAAAGAGGCACAGCCAGGCAGCACGGGCAGAGAGAGTAAGAGACAGAGAGAGAGAGAGAGAGAGAGAGAGAGAGAGAGAGAGAGCATCACTCAACTCACTGTGCAGCAGAGCACGCACACACACCAACACGCCCCCTTTCTCCCTCTTTCTCTCTCACTTTCTCTCTCACACACACACACGCACACACACACACACACATACACACACACACATACATACATACATACATACACACGTGCACGCGCACGTGCTTAGTCACAGACACAGGCACAGGCACGCAGGGGGTGCAGAGGCAGTGCAGTGCGCAGCAGCACCGAGCAGCGCTCCCTCTCCAGGATGTCTTTTGTCTCCCTTAATCAGAATGGGTCATTCTCTATCTTATCCTCAGCAGTCACAGATAATCCTGTCAATAAAGCCTTCCAGCCACGTGCTCCGTCGTACCGCCTGACCACCTAACCGCCACTGATGAGCAGCCACGATTGAAGCTGGCAAGGTCATGTGAGGTTCTCTGGCGTCCCCATTGGTCTTGGTTTTGTTGCATTGTGTTTCTCTGCAATTTATTCCATTGCAAGCGGATACAGGGACTCGGCCGAGCCTCGTCGTGGGTCATTATGCCACACAGGCTACCTGGAGGCGCAGCTTGACGAGTCGAATACTCACCAAAGGGTGGTCCAGACCAATCAGCTATCACAAACCGCAGCTACACTAAAACCATCCAATCACAGATCAGGGAATCAAGTGCAGAAGGGGATTACAGGGGATTATTTGGGCCATCCTGGGTTTTTTTTCCCTTTGGGGAGATGAAGAGGAGGCTGCCCTCTGTGGCTGACAGCGGGGCTGCACTGTGTTGTGGGAGAAGGAGAGAGGAGGAGCAGGGCCTGAAACAGATATGCTTTCCTCAGCAGGGATGCCTAGCAACCACATCAGCTCCTTACCTCTGTTTGGAGGCTTTCCACCCCCCCGCCAGACCCGCAAGACCCTCAATGCAATCCCAATTGAGAGCCTACATTGCACAGGTCGACACTCAAGGCAGAACGATATCACACACGATTGATGTCAAATGCTCCTGTCCTCTACCAGTAGTGGGCAAACCGAAGCTCTGACGATGAGCAGGAAGTTCAACTGATGTTTTCACTATAGCATCAGCTGCTCTGGGCAACTTTACCGTAGATTAGGTAACCTCGAGGGCCATTAGTAGATTAACTAAAACATAATACACTGCGGGATTGAAAGTGCAAACATAACACTTCTGTGTCACTTTGTTTTAATTCCATTATTTAGGAAAGGAGAAGTCATGATTGACCTTCAAATGGTCATGTGCTTTCAATATTTGGGTCAGGTTGAAGAGAAATATAGCTGAAGGAGCATTTTAATAAAATATAAAAAAGTTAAAATTTGGATAATATCTGAGTGTTACATTACATACATTTCTGACTCTTCAATAGGGAGGACAAAGCTAGGGGCACCAACCAGCTGGTGCTGCTGGACTTTTATTCATTATTCATTTTATCTATTTTTTCATATAGTGATTCAGAGGATGCCTCCCTACCTGAGAATATTAAAGGGAACCAAACCCGTTCAGACAGCTGTCAGAGGATGTCAGAAGGCAAACCAGGAGCTGGAGGCCTGCCTCGACTCAGCTGGCTGAGACACGTTTGGAGGTGTGAACAACTGTTTTGACATTGCCTTTTGTGAAGAAGGTTCTGCAGATTAACGGGACGTTGTGTGAGGCGCAGCAGCAACAAATACAACAAGAGCGTTGGTAGCTCGTACTCGTGGTGCGAGGTGCTGCACCTCCTTGTATCGGCGGTCCCGTCCTGCCTCCTGCTGTTTGCCTGCAGAGTCAACTACTGATTCTGTCTGAAGTAAAATCATCTTTACAAATCATCACTCCGAAAGGAATAACAGTGGATCGTAAGGTAGCAAAATCAAATTTCTGATATTGACAATAGAAAAAATACGTTTTTGCCTTGATGAAAATATCTATCTGCCAGTCTTCAAAAGGACAGTGTGTATTTTGCACACAGGAATGCAATGCTAGTGGCTCAATGCCGCAACACTTAAAGTTAAGAAAAATGTAACTACAATCCTCCAGCTGCACAAATGTCTGTCCTTACATGTATTATGTATACATATCGCCCGATATGCTTATTTAACCGAATGCTGTAGATCATATTATGGTTAACAACAAGGTTACCAAGTATTTAAAAATGAACATATAACATTTTTTCACAAACATAAACATGATGTGTAGGTGTGGGTATGTACCATTCTAAACTAATCCAAAAAAATGCATTATATAACGAAATGTTGTGTAATCTCTTCGTAAACAAGCAAATGCCACTTGCATTACAAAATCTTGTTTGCTTGGTGGCGAAATGGATACGTGATAAAAACAAAAAAAAATCACCGAGTACCACATATGGCTTCACTTGATTACTGTTGAGCCTTGGTGACAGTAGAGAGTCTTGGCTGAGGAGTGCAGGCTGCGGTCAGATTATTGCTGCAGGCATCAACAAGTGCTGATCCCGATAGTGTCCAGACACGGACGAATCAAAGCTTATTCAGCGGGAGCTTAACAGCCCCGCACACAGGCGGACGACGCACAACGCTCACCTTATCGGTGCCCCTCGCCCGGTTGTTCTTCTTTATGGTGGCAAACCTCTGTTTCTGGCTCCATGTTACTTCCCACTGTGACTGTTTGAGGAGTTTCTCCACCTTACAAGTCTTCTGACAACCCATCGTCCCCTGGCACATACAAACAGATGTCAAGTTAAGCCGTGCATCAATCACACATCTCAATAATACATTCTCGCTCTGTTTGCAGCCGTAGCCTACCATGACAGAATGGTTTGCACGCTTCCCCAAACGCTTGTCATGATCAGCAGTGCTGGATGATGTCATAACTCCGGCATGTTCGGATTATAAATATCTGTATTCAGCAGAGTTACATAATAATGGATGTTGGATTATTGTCGGTACACACAGACAGAAAAGATGGCACAGCTGCCACAAGAAATACACTTTATGACAAAACCATCTCAAATTAAATTGACTTGATCAACAAAAACAGGCAAGAGTTGCATGTGAGAAATGTTCTTTGCATCTAGAGGACACAGGAATTTCTACTTAAATAAGATTTCAAAATCAAGTAGATTTGTTTTATATTTGAAAACGCACCCTGGATAAAGGATAAACTGGGCTCCAGCCGAATAGAGAAAACAATTAAAATGCACAGTGTTTTGCTCCATCACTTGCTGTACAGTTTGCACTGGGTCATCCCGGCCTGCGTTATCCAAAGAAACACTGCAGAAGAGGCTATTTTCCCTCGCTGTCAGATCCAATTCCAGTAAGACCGAGCACTTTATTGTATGCAACTCACTCGCAGAGGCGTATCTCATACAATCCACACAATAACTGAAACATCAATGTGTTCCTTCTCTACAGGCCTCCTGCATCACTTGTAGAGACGGCAATACTGACCATTTTTGTTTCCTCTTTTGCTGTAAATGGTATTTATTTGCAGGGATCTTTAGCCAGAGTCCACTCTGTTGGCCTTTACAGCGCTTTTAATGATCAGATCCTCTTCTGGGCAGCAGGGATTCGTGACTCACTCAAGTACTATGACATGTATTCTTTGACTAAGAGGTTAACAAGTTAACCGACGGAGTTATCATCATCCAAAGATGTGGACTAGTATTTTTAGAGCACTGTGGGTGTCCAAACTAACCTGAATATCTGATTTCTTCTCATTTTCCCCGGAACATTTGATGCGATACTTATGTATCTGCCAGATGCAATAAAGTACAACTAAGACAATGTTTTGGTAATGCATGCACAATATAATTAAACTTTTTTTTTTTTTTAACATAACATTCATAAATAAATGCAGGTTTTGTTTCAGTCACCACAAACCCATCACCAATTATCCCGCCCAAAAATGAGAACATAGACTTTACTCATCACTCCTACAACGACATCATCAGACTTTTGTGTGGTATAACAACCAGATAAACGATGAGTCTGTCACAAGAATAAACAAATGATGTATGACTGAGGTTTGACCCTGTGACTCTCCCATCCACTGCAGGACTCACACTTGAGTGTGAGGGTGAGTGTCAAACAGGCAACTCGTGGAGTAAAGAACGTCAATTTATTTTGTCTAAGGGATAAGATATTTCTCCAAAATTGGAATAAATTTTTCCATCTCTCAAATTAAAAGACACAGAGTTCATTTTCATGAGACAAACATATTTTTTAATTTATTAAATCCAATGGGATTCTGTATTCAGTGAAAATAATCCAACAACATCTTAAATCTTAGATGCTTTGTATATGAATACATTTTTGCGAGGTCATTGCTCTGAACCCCGAGAGGGGGGCATTAAAGCTGATCCACAGAATGGCAGCGGCTGCGAATCCCCATGATGTCCCCTTCCTAGAAAGCCTCTGCACTTTGAGTGTCGGGTTAAGAAGCCAAAATTACAAAAACACACAGGACGTCACACAGAAGGAAGGGAGACGAAGAGCCCACACGATAACTGGAGGTTCCTATTGACATTTTAAGCCTGATGTCTCAGACTTGTGTTATGTTCACGTCAGTATGGTGTGGTTCCACCTTAATGTCTTTTCAGCAGTTCCAGATTTGCTCTTTCCCTTTGCATTCTTTTGCATTAATGATCACAACTCATGTAAAATGGACCTTGTTGGCAGGGTTTTGCCAATAAAAAACTAAATTCAGAGTATGAACTAAACACCGGTTCAACACCATTCAGCCAAAAGACTCAACACTACTGTTCACCTTCTCATTCCCTGCTCATTTCTCCCAGTTCTTTTTCAGACAAATGCTGAACAACCGACACACAGATGCAATCTCCCAGGACGTTGACAGCAGTGTTGAAGGCATCTCTGAAAGACACAAACACCAGACGAGGTCTTTTGTGAGATATGCATTGTGTTTTTTTTCATGCCAAGTGTAGTAATACCTGAAAAAACTAAAAACTTACAGCAGCCATTCTACTGCAAACAAAAGGGAAGCGTTTCTCGAAGGAATCCCAAGAACATTCAATATGAAGAATGTGATGATTGTTCCGGTGGCTGGGACCTCGATATCACCAATGCTGCATGCTGATACTGTCACACTGCAGACAAAACGTCAGAGTTGACCGTTGGAGATAATATGAAACATTTTGTTTTATTTCTTTTACTTGCTGGTAGGAATCCCATATTGTATATTATACTGCTCCAATGTCTCTGTTCATTTCCCACTTCATCCATTGACCAGTAAAACATAACAGTGTCCCACTGCGACCTTATGGTGATTCAGAGTTCATAAGAGTTTCAATAACTTGGCAATATTTAAAATACAAAGGAACATCTGCAGACAAAATTAACCAACATCATGTCTGGGCAGTGAGTGCAATAAAGTACAGAATCACAAAGGTAGGACTCCCTTCAGAGTTGGAGGAGCAAATTCATTCAGTGTGTATTCACCATTCTTAGAATTTAAACCCAACGCTTCTTACGATGACACAGAAGAAGGAACGTGATGAAGAAGAAGCTGAGTGAGTGAGCAAATAATCATTTGATTGTGACTCACCAAAGGAAAACCAGCTGGTTCCAGTGCAGATCGATGTGGTTGAGTTGGCTGATGAAAACCGCCGCCACCACATCACAAAGAGCGGTTCCGTCCATGTTGAGGTCGTTCCTGATCTGCAGCAGGAAACCGGTGATTCTCCTGTCCACCATGTTTTCTTCCTCACAGCATTGTGAAGTCAGCACGATCGCAGAGCTTGGAGATACAGCGGACCCCTTTTTAGTTCTTACACGTCTATTAACGATCTATTAATCATTATATTATTTACTCTCACAAAGATACTTTTACTTGCGGGAGATGAGCAGGGCCCTCTTCATGGCAGGTAAAACCCCCAGAATGACGGGCAGGGGGTTGCGTCTCACACACAGGATGTAGATAAGTGGTAAGACGATACATACATGGATCATGTGCCTGAAAAACAGCAGACAGAACTCAGTGAAGACCAACTGACAGCCACGGTTTACATGCACAGTGCAAGTGACAGTACCAAAGTGCAAAAGAGAACCTACCCAGACAAAACCACACCCACGAACTTTGCGAGTTGGAAGACAATCTCTTTGACGTTTCCCTCAGTCTCAATAACATAGTTTGCAGTAATGAATAACACTGCTAATGGCAATAAGCTGGAAAGGTAAGATCAGAATAAAAGGTTACAGGAATACTTCTAAACATTAAACATTTATTCAAACATATATTATATTATTTATGAATCTATTTTTTCCTGTTGTCAAGCTCTTTCTGTTATCGTTAAGAAACATGCTATACATATAAAGTCCAGGGTTTTCCTGCGTCGTGTGTTACCTTACCACATATATTTAACCTCGATGGTGAAGGCCCTGTTGAGGGAACGGAGGTTGTCCGCAAAGTGTCCACAACCTGATATTTCCACAGCCCCGAGGCTGACTCCGAGTCCATAAAGAACACTCCACAGGACAAGGCCCAAAGTGTTGGGCCTGTCAACAAAACCACGCACCCAACGCTGCGCTGTCGTGTTCTACGACAAAATAAAAAGCTCAGTGAGAACAGTCTGACAGCCATTTCATGTATTAATAATTCACCGTGTGAAAGAAAGAATTAGGGAAGAGTTTTCATTGTGGAGGGTGTTTACCGTTTCCAGGCCAGTACTTTGATTCACTTCACTTATTTCGAAGGGCACAAGTTTTGAACTGTACTGAAGACAAGAAAGGAATGACTTCTAATATTACATGTTCTACCTCATGGTTAAAATACCCCATAGCTGAGCAATGAATCACACCTGTTGAAACATAGACTTTATGAAACTTTCTGGCACCAAGTTCCTGTGGAGCACAAAAAAAAACTGAATAGAAATATTATTCGGCTTGTAGAAGTTAATGAATCTGATAAGAAGTGAAGAGAAAGACTTTCTTCTGACCACGCTAGATCCCCCAAGGCCTCCAATGAGGGGAAGTCCTCCTCATCACCAGCTGTCTCACCAGCATTGTGACTCACGCCCGGCTGGACCAGCAGAACCAACATCAGTCCTACAACACAAAATCCAGTTGAAACTCAGGAGGCCCAACGGTGTATTCTACAACTCTTTCCCAGGAATCGAACACACCACTATGCAAACGCTCGATTAAAATATCAAACTGGGCTGACTAAGCTATTGGACTATATATCTAATAAACGGGTAAGTGATAGAAGATCGTGTGTGTTGTATTTCTCTTACCAATAGCCATCGCCAGAAAGGTGGTTATAACCCAATATACTACTGAGCGCACGGCGATTCTATTGGAGAGGCCGACATTGAGATCCCAAGTTACTATAAAAAATAAAAACATGGTGTCGAAAGATGGAAGTTAGAACATCAGTTAAATAATTTCATAGTTAGACTTGATTGTGATCATTAAAAATGTTAACTAACATAGGATATCGTCATTTTTGGGCTGGAACAAAAATGACCAATAACGTTTTTAAGATTTACAATATCTAACGTCAAGGCGTTGTTAGGGATTTAAGCCAGAAGTGCACCCCTAGTCAGGAAATTATAGTACGTGTAATAATGTTTAGTGTTAGAATTATAGTTTGTGTGATGTTAGATATTAGTTATTACATTAACATGTTAGATGAAGTGAATGCAATTTCAATCAAACACAATTCATAGTCATTTAAATCATATAAACACTGCACACATTAACATTCTGTCACAATGTGATGTTAAAACCTGGGGACGGATGCCAATTACCGTTCTTTATGGATTTCTCCCAATTTTATCCCCAAGGAGGGTTTTTTGGGAGTTTTTTCTCCTGTCAGGTAATAAAATGAACAACTTATTGCGAGGCAGCCAATTGAGGCAAATGTCTTGAGAATTGAACCACATGAACTGTCTTAGATCTTATGATGAAGTGTGATGAACGGTGATCATTAGTGATGGGTTGTTGTAATGAAAGTGTACTAGTTATAAGATGAAGACTTAAACGATGTATGCTTTGTTAAATTCACTCATTGAGGCATAAAGCCGAATGTATCTACATTGAGTGCATTGGAATGTGAGGGACAGATAGGACAGAGAAGTTTCAGGTTACAGCTGCAGCTTCACACCTCGACGTGGAAGGGACAGTGGAGGAGGTGACCCTTTGGAGAAGAGGCCAATGACATTCAAATGCACCAAAGAAGACACACCTCAAGAGGTTTCAAAGGACCATGGCGGGGAAAAGACTGTTAGAACTTCTCCTGCAGCCGCGTTGATAAGTCACTTCAGACTTGCTCAGAGGATTCTCTATTTCGCGAAATATTCCACTGTTCGCTTAGTATTTCACTTTGTAATTGTAATCCCTATTACGTTGTTCAGTTATTAAATAACTTTTGATTTTTGAATTTAAACGAATTGACTCATTCGTGTCCTCGTTTCCGCCGGGACGAGAACAAAGGATTGAGTCCTCCCTCGAGAGCTTCCGAAACCTTAACAGCGTTAATTAGCTAATTTAATGAAAATACCATGTTTGAAATATTGTAAGATATTAATATTTACGTTAGCATGAATGTCATGCAAAGTTAAGGCAACCTTACTCTGCTTTAGCGTTTATTTATCCACTCCAAGGATTTCTTATATTACTGTCAAATGGAAGACATGATGCATTATGTAATAATTGGTGATTATTCAAATCAATATAATTAGGATTTCTGAATTTCTATGTGTGAAAAATGTATTACGTGATGTAACAATTGACAGAACGTGACCTACACGTGTGTCTTACCGCGAGCCAGATTTGTAAGGAGAAGAGGAACCATGAGCATCTCCAACAGCCGCATGAGTAAATTCCCAAGGATGCTGATGAAGTCTTTGTCCAGGTTTGTCATAACGACGCAGGTCTTTAGAATCATCCCCAAAGCGACACCTGGAAGACAGTAAAATGGAAACGTCGACACAGCAAGGGGCTTCAAACCCCTGAGAACACAAATGTGACATAAACCATTTTACAAAACTAACCATGAAAAAAAAAAACAAGTCAAAGGAAATACAATATTACGATAATAAACCACAAGTCATCATGGTTACAGGTATTTCAAATCACAGGCCTTGTCTGCTGAGATTTGACACACTTTATAGTTTGGGCTTTCCTCAGCAGAAAGATGCATCCTCCAACAATATGTGGTGTTTTCTTTTATATGCTATAAACGTTTCCTGAAATGACTGCCAAGACTTGATTGAGATCATTAAAATGTTAACTAACATCATAGGATATTGTCATTTTTGGGCTGAAACAAAAATGACCAATAACGTTTTTTAGATTTAAAATATCTAACGTCAAGGCGTTGATTGGCTAATTTAATGAATATACCATGTTTGAAATATTGTAAGATATTAATATTTACGTTAGCTCATCAAAAAAATGGATTAAGATTTAACGTTGGTTCTAACGTCTGCCAGTTAACGGTTATATTACCGTTACGGAGAGCGATGATTACACGTTAATTAACGTTAGTCACCTTGATTGATTCATGCTGTTCATGCAACACAACGTCACCAGTCTTGAAAAGGTCATCACGTTCCTGCTGCGGAACAAGCCGCCAAACCTGCGCGATAAACTCTCCATTTCTCCTCAGAATAGAGGAGACAAACTCACTATTTATGTCTCTCTCCCTCTGTGTCGCTTTCATTCAAAGTTAATCGAATCTCGATGACACAACATAACATATCGTGGCTTTACGAAAGTAACAGTATATCTTTGAATGAATACAACAACAACAAAAACTAAAGATCCCTCGCGCTACAAAGTATTCATAGACGTGTAACGCGATCAGCGATACGTTCAAATAACTGAGAGGCGTTTAGTCCGTACTTTTTTCATTTAAAATAATCTTCGAGTGCAGTTTTTTTTGCTATAATTTCAACAAAAATGCGCAGTGAGGATGTTTGCTACGTCGAGTTAGAATTAGCAGGCTGATCATCAGCATCTGCTGAACCACTGATTCAACAGTAGCTGTTAAGAAATGTCGAACTTAATCAATGGTGGCGACACTATTGAGACCACTATAAAAAGATGGTCAAATGTATGAAAAGTAACAGGGAAATCAAGACTTTTGACAATCATGACCATGTGTAAAAAGTACAATATGTACAAAAGGTGTGGAGACAGTGTGCCAATTACCTTTATGACAACTGGACGTTGAGGCAGTAACAGCAAATGTGTATTTCTACACTTGTACATTTGTTCCTGAAAGCTCCCGACACCACAGAGATCGCATCCCTCTAAACTGCTGTGTCCGAGTCAAATCACGGATCACAGAATCACTTCTGACATCTCGGGTGTCTTACTCAGTGACCTGAAAACACCCTCATGTACAAATTTGAAGGACATTCCCGATTTAACTCTTCGTGTACCTTCGTGTAGTTTCCTTTGATCTAATTCAAAGAGAGACAATAATTTCCCCTTGGGGCACTTGCTTCCACTTTGTTCACTAATCTTGTTTGGTTGATTACACGGAAGTCAAGCTTTTTGTGCAAAGTGCTCATTAGTCCTCAAGTAAACAGCACCCTCTGCTTCTTTCTGTTTGCCTCCAAGCAAATTGAACTAGCAAACGCTTGGAGAGCTCAAATAACACACAAAATAACTTCAATTACGTCTGACAAATTCAGACGTTTGCAATTTAAAAGTACTCTCTGTGTCTATGACCTAATAAAGTCAACTTCAGCACCAATGTAAAAAGTAATAAACAAACAGTACACTCTCCAAAGTCTTTATTCTTTATTTACATTACTTAATTATTGTCTCAATATGAAATACAATATATAACTGATGAAAATAAAATGTATCAAAATTAAAATTTGTGCTCTTGAAATATCATAATCCAAGAGTCCTACAATGTAGAGCTCTTTTCACAATAAATATTTCGGTCATCACACAATTCTCAGTCAATAAATTAAGGTTTCATATTACACATCAACAATGAACTTTTATAACGCAGTCGTATTTTGAGTTATTGAATGAGACAATTATATTTGATTGATCTGAAAATATTTCAGCTGATTGAAACACAGCTAACTAGAAATGATACAGAGAATATCTTTTTTTTAATTTTCCATTTCTAAGCAAGTCCTGAGCTGTAGTAGTTTTACATTTAATCCACATGAATTGCAGTAAATGCATGAAAAGAAAAGAGAAAATGAGGAGCCCATCTCAAAACATCAAAACACAAATTATGCTATTATTTGTGTTTCATGTCAAGAGTAAAGTGAGATTATGGATATGACTCCCATTCCTGTACGCCAAATACAAACTGCAGCCACAAACTGGGAAATAATAGCGTGGCTTTACCAAAAGGTACCAAAATCATCCTTAAAGCTCTCAGACGACCACAACGCATGTTCTTTGTTTCACAAACGTCACACACATTGTGGATTTTCCACGGCCCGTGTTGCCGGAGAAGTGGCCTCCTTGAGACTCCGCTGGTCGCCCGGCAACTTCACACTGACAACAAGACTGCAGGAAGCCAACGCGACGGGTCTAGAAATAGTTTGGCAAACAACCCCCTCTCTAAACCATTAACATCCCTTATTGGCTAAATCTTTTTGTGTCCAGTCGTTATGCTAAGCTAAGCTAACAGCTGCGGCAGGTACAGACATGAGAGGTAATCAGTCTTCTCATCTAACTTTTGGCAAAAAGACAATTATGTTTATTTCCCAAAACGTATTTTGAAATTCTTTGACAAAGAAATATCGGCGAAGGATACTTAAAGGTAAGGTTGGTAATCCTAAGAAACCAGCAGATGTAGTCAAAATAAAAAACGTATCCAACAGTATCTAACTATGAACAATGTGACAAAGTGAACATGGCTGTTGCCATGATACTAGTTTTATAACATTTTTTTTTCACATTGTGTCGTGTTATGTGCATAATGTGATTGTTGTTTTCTAATGACCATTTCAACAGAAATATCTAAGATGTTTTTCACGAAGACTACCAACCCTGCCTTTTATATGAAAAAATGTTCTTCAATACGGAACGCATACCAGTTTGAAAAATGAATGTTCATTATACGGCCGCTAAGCAAAAAGCAAAGTGTGCTGACAGGACGCTTTGCTGCAGCTGGACCGCACGGACCTGCTCCAGGACGGTTCATCATGAGTTCTGGCGTTACTGGTGCAAAGTGGATCCCACACATTCTACTTACTCCAGTGCGGTGGAGAGCTCCCCTCCGTCACGTTCATGGGTGGTGAACGACTTATTGTCGTCGTATTGTGAAGCCGTTCTTTGTTTTCGTCTCTACTGCGGACTGCTGCCAGGGTGTGACTCACTACTCAAAGACTCCGACTATAATGATGAGTAAAAGGAGTAAACCTGCCGCCACACACATGATAAGGCCCAGGAGTTTCTGTCAAAAAGAGACGAACGCATGAAATATCCTGTAAAAAACGGTCTTCCTGGATGTGTGATGGATGGGTTTTAAGGGATGGACGTTGTGTAACGTGTGTTACCTCACGCTGCAGTCACAGTAGTTCTCATACAGGGGGCTTGGTTAGTCCAACAGACAGGCCGACAATTAGTGCAATGACAGCAAGCAGGATCAACAGAGCAAAGGCAAGGATAATGTATTTCTGTCAAGTGAAGAAGAAAAAGGTGTTATCGTGAAAAAAAGAAAAAAAAGGTTGAATGCAGTTAAGTTGTCACATGTGAATTTGATATCCTGTATACTTGACATTCATTTAGGAAAGGAACACTTACCCTCCGGGATTTCTTCTGGTATCTCACTGCTTTTTTGGTCTCTTCCTTTGCGCTACAAATGTATTCGGCCGCATTGGAGACGTTCTTCTCAATGTTGTTTACCATTTCGCCCTGCAAATGACACAATCAGAAAAAAAACATCTTGAAGTTGGTGAAGGAGCTCAGAAGCAGAGAGCATGTTGACTAACTGAATCTTTTAGCTAGAAATCTCTCCACCTGAGACAACCGAACCACCTGACTTTACCCAACTTACCTGAGTTTCTACCAACATTGCCATGTCCATGAACATGGCGTGAAGCTCTCTGATGCTCGACTCCAGACGTATGATGTCCTGATGTCGGGACTCGATCTCACTCAGGGCCTGACGTGTGATCTGGGAATCAGAAATGATCTAAAGGAGAGAAGGTGGAATCATTTGTCTCAATACACCAATCAAATGCTCCTGCAGTGTATGTATATATATAAAATGGTTCACTCCTCCTCCACCACTAGATGTCAGTGATCGATTTGAACCCTGCAACAAAGGTATGCTATAATAATAATACAAATAATACTATCATTACATCAAATAGAGCTTAAAGAGCTTTCAAGAGATAAACAAAACAATAACAATAACACAATAATACGCAGCAAAAGTAAAATTCTACAGATGGATAGATGGATGGATGGATAATGATGGAAATAAGTTTAGGATATAAACCAAAGAATCAAGGGTGGTAAAGATTAAATATACTTAAAATAATACAAAAGCCTTTCGGAAAAGTGGAATTAAATAAAAGCAACATGTGCAAATAAGTTATAAATGTTGCTTGTTTTAATTGTGCTGGGAGTTTGTTCCAAGCCGCTGAATTACAAAGACATCGATCAATGACAAAAACTTACATCAGATGTGAAGATAGATGGATTTCCACTTTCTAACATGCCCTCTAGTTCTTCATCGGTGGTCACTCGTCCAGCTAAAATAATGAATAGCAGATCATTATCATCCAGCAATGAACACCCCACTGACTGATGCCATTTTGTTCTTTCTCTGGGGAACAGAATCAATCAATAACATTTTTAGAGGCAGCTGTGCTCACTGGACAGAGCGCGTCATCCGTTCATCCGGGGTTCCGCATGTCAAAGTTTCCTTGAACAAGACACCGAAGGAGCGGTTGAATGCAATTGTCAAATTTCATCCCGTTTCAATACGGGGCTTAATCTTGTAGCATACTTTTTAAAAACATAAAACTTGACGGCGTTTAGGAGCAGCACACGCAGGGTTGCTGTTGAAGTTAAGATGATTTTTAAGAACCAAATGACAAATGTTTTGAGTGCTAAAAATAAAAAAAATGACAACTCTCAGTAGAACAGTTGAACAAAGCGTTCATTAGTGATGGTTGTAATTGTGACTACGATCAGAAGGTGTCTGAGGAACAAAGGGAGCCGGCAGCCCTCGCAGACAAACAGAAGGTGAGGCTCTATAAAACGGAAGGCTCTCTTTTCCCGGAGCCGCGCCTCCTGTTTCACAAAACCCTCCCCGGAGAGAGCGGAGATGGTCGTGCTCACCGACTGAGTCACACACCTTCTCAGCAATGATCCCCAGACGGCCGCAGCCCCAACACGTGGTGTGAGAGTCCACGGCGGCACAAACAGGTTCATGTGGCCGCGGCGTCGGGGGAGGGGGGGCGGGTGAACTACTGTTACACCGGCCGCTGTGCACTCTGCCCCGTTTCCCGGGCAACGCAAACACAACAAGGAGTCTCCGGTATCAGGCTCTTCGGTCTGCGCTGTGGAGAACTGGAGCCGCTCATTAACGCCGGCCGTGGGGACCGCGAGAGGCGCTGCTGTGTTGCGCCGCTCGTGAGCATAACACAGTGCACTCTCCGCCATGCGACTCCCACGTTAAAACCAATTAACTCGTATGAATGCTAATATACTTATACGCCACGTACGCTGTGGATTCTTGGTTACACATCCTGTTACTGATGAGCCCACATACTGGGTTCATTCATTCTGGTTTGTCAGTAACTGACTCCTGCCAGTGTCTCTCTTTGCTTGGTGCTCTCCTGTTCTTTGATCAATCCCACTGCCATTGAAGCGCACAAAACATTGAAAATCCAACGTCTGGATGAGATCGATTGAGACACATTTGAAGTCCTGCCCTGCTGCAGACTATGTTTGTCCACACTTAGTGTCCAGAGAAGCAAACAGGAAACCGGTGGGGTCATTTTCCTGGATCCTGTCCAGCTTCAAGGTTTTATTCGCCACTCTTTTATCTCTAGATTTACAAATTGTGTCCGAGCAACCGAATTCAAGCCATTGATGTGTTAACAAAAACGGGAGTATCTCCTGTTTGTAGTTGCAATTTGCATTCATTAACATTTATCACTTACTTATCTCCAGCTGTCTCTGGATCCTTCCTTTGCTTCTTTCCCGAAAGGACACCTGGGTCTCGTTGTACTGGGTCATGACCTCCACAAACTTCCTGGACAGCACAGTGTGCTGAGGAAGAGAAAAGCCACGTCTGAGCGGGACGTGTAACAGCTGTCTTACTTGGCCGCCGTCAAATCTGCTTCCTAACCTGCGTTTTCTGGATCCTGAAGTCAACCGAGGACCTGTTGGCGGCATCGTCTTTGGGCATGCTGTGCTCCATGGCTTCATAGGGGGGAAAACGTTAGCACGCGTTATATACGGCAGAGGAGGGTGAAGTCAATGAACAGGTGTGAGGGCAATCGGCTCATAGTTCAGCTCACATTTGAGTTTTGTTCGCACCACGTTGGCATTGCCCTTGATGTCGTTGGTCAGTGCATCAAGCCGGTCCTTTGTCCCTTCACACAGACACACATAGGAAACTCGTCAGGCTTGAGTGTGTTGGGGAAAAATCATGTCATCCAGCTAATCACTGCGCCTCCCTCGCATGTAAATATTGAATTTACCGGGGTTTCATCTTGTTACTCGGCAACAACCCCGTGGCAATACTGCAGATGTCACACAGCAAAAAGGCTCTTTGTTTGTCTCTGCCGGTGACCCTTCCCCCGTCATGGATCTTAAAGCACAGTGCTGTGTTACATTAAACAAAATCACTGATGATGCCATGGTGCTGTAGACTGGCTCTTTGTCTCTCGCAGTGTCCTGAGGCTCAGGCTGAACAAAGCCAGGAACTGAGTACACACAGTGCGCAGTACGCTGCTCTCGCTCTCATGGAGCTTCAAACCATTGGAAATACTTTGCAAATGTATCTGATTAGTTAAATATAATCCATTCTACATCAGTGCCTGTAAACATCTGCAAATGACAGCATGTTTAAATCCCTGGCTGAGTCAGGCTCTAAGTCTCTCTCTCTATATTAGTCAGAGCCTAAACTGCAGTGGTTTGTGTTCACTTACAATGAGGAGGAAAATGTAACTAAAATAAGGGAGACATCTTCACTCTAGAGTCAAACTCCAGCAAACAGTTGTCAATAGAACTGTGTGTACAAATGAAAACCATTCAAATGTGCTCTGTCTTCATCCTAATCCTTCACGGACACACACACACACACTTACTGTCATCTGTGTTGGGTGCAGTCAGGATCATGCTGTGCATCTTCCTCACCTCCTCCACTTGGTAGGAGATCTTATCGATGAGTCCTCTGACTTCTTCCACCTGAATCAATCATAACACACCATGTGTCTTGAATCACGGCGGATCTCCAAACCTGTGCACATCCTGGAAGTTGCAGTGACACCCACCCTTCTGAAAAAGCTCTCCATGAAGCCGTCTTTGTCCACTGCCACCATGACCTCCTCCTCTGCCAGTGACGTACCCTGCACGGGGGGTCACATATGACTGTGATGCACGTTGTAACCGTGAAGTTGTGAGCAGTTAAAGCAAGAAAAACAAACTCACAGCAGTCAGTTGGTCCAGTCGGTCCTTCATCGCTCCGATCAGCTCGTCTTCTGCCCAGATGCTTCTAGTAAAAGCCCCGCCGGGTCACGCTGCCAGGGCCCATTGATCCGGCTCACTCTGCGCTGGGCTCCAGATTGTCGGGTAATTGAGACGAGAAACACACCGAGCCAAAGTCAGCCGCGCTGTCCGGGCAGCGGGGACCGGAGGAGTCTGAAGAGTTACAATTATGGAGAAACCGTGTCTGCAATGCAGTTCGAAATAAATAAATAATACAATGCAATGAACTAAAAGGGCAAAAGCGTCGGAGTTTCTGGAGCACTCCGTGTCAATAACTCGGGATCTCTCTCTCTCTCTCTCTCTCTCTCTCTCTCTCTCTCTCTCTCTCTCCGGGGATACCGCCCTCTCTCTCTCTCTCTCTCTCTCTCTCTCTCTCTCTCTCTCTCTCTCTCTCTCTCCGGGATACGCCTCTCTCTCTCTCTCTCTCCCTCTCTCTCTCTCTCACACTCTCTCTATGTCTCTCTCCCTCTCTCTCACACACACACTCTCTCTCCCCCTCCCTCTAACTCTCCCTCTCTCTCTTTCTCTCTCTATCGCACCACTGAGCCTTTTGTGGTTGATTGTGTGAAAGCTGGGACTTTATTGGCTGGTGAATAGTTGTTTGACAGCAATCCCACCACGACAGTTATATAAGAAAGTGTAATGAATAATGGATAAACACGACCGAGGTGACCATTATTCCAGTGACAACATAACCAGACGGTGGCGCTGTTTACCTTGATATGTATGCACGTGTCACTCCAGTGTTTCCGACCTGTTGGTTTCCTCCTATCCATTAACATATATATGCAATATATAAAAAGGACACAACAAAACTTAATTTAAACATGTATTGAATATATGAGTGGTTTAAAGTAAGTTAACCTAAACCAACCATGTCCCTCATAAACATTATATCATATCGATGTATTGTTGATATATATATTATATTTGGGTGGCAGGGCTGTGCTTCAGTGATCTCTCGGTCTGCCTTCCTTCCACGCAGGATGTCCCTCTTGCTCCCACGAGTCCGGGGTGTCCTCCTGTAATTTAACCCCAAATCTATTCATGAGTCCACGTTAATGGGCATATTTGATCCAAACAGCATTTGGGATCTCATTCGTTCCCCGCGCCATCTCCAATTACGCACAAGTCCGTTTCCAACGCCCCCCGCCCCCTCAAAAGATCCAAAAATGACATCACGCTTTGCAATTCCCACGTTAGGTCCAACAAGCCGGTACAGAGCTCCTCTGCTCTTTGCCGCAGAAACTCACAGCAACAACTACTAGTTCACTGAAGCAAACAAGACCACGGATCTACAGTTTTCTACATGGAAGTTGTTTAGATTTCTATCCCGAGAATGGAAACTTTCGTTTTTCGCCTCATGCCAGGACACTAAATTGATTCCTTTTTTTGTTCTAGTGTCGTTTAAATTACTTATCTATATTTTTAAGCTTGGAAACTGGACTGATCAAAAGCTTTCATATCTTGGAATAATGAGTGGCTCCTCCTGGATTCACCATTATTTGTGGATTTAACCCCTGTTTTAGAAAAGACTGTAGATGGTACATTTTACAGACGATATGGACTTTCCTTTGCGAATTCACCTTTTTACTGCTTTTGTCTCCTGTATTAAGGTAAGCTCATGAACACACAGCCCTTTTAGACTTCATCCTTTCATATTATTCACAGGTTGGAGGATTTATTGTGCGGCATCTTCATGCACGTACATATACTGTATATTATTTCTTCACAGGTTTATGCTCAAGTGGTTCTACCTGCAAAGCATCCAGGTAGTAATTATCTTTGTATGGGGGGGTGCTGGGATCTCCTTCAATTTTCTGTGCTTTTTTTAAATTTTAAATTGCAAAATTCAAATAAAAGAGCATAATTAACATTTGTAGAATGAGAAAAAATGTGAACCATGAAAGCGGCAGGAAATGTAATTTTCCGTGATGCGACAGAGCTTGATTGCTGATTAAAGGGCTTTCTAAATGCTTGTTTACCCCAAAAACTCTCCGTCCAGGCCTGCAGGTGTTGGCCTCGGCCTCACATTATTGGCCCCTCGACGCCGTGGATGGAATCCATGAACTGTGGGACCAGATTGGAAACAGACCAGGTTATGTTAACGGAAGTAACATAAGTATGTGCATAAATAAGCAGACTGTGGATAATACTCGTAGGAATGCACCAGCTAAATGTCTCGCTCCCTGCATGGTCTCAAGCTTTTGTTTTTCCATCACCCACCTTCCAGCCACAGGCATCGTGCTTTTAAATGTGCTGCTGTTTTCAAAGTGTTTATGTTGTAGCTCAGGTTTATCACCGAAATTAAGAAACACAATATGGTGTGTGCCATAATTTATGATTGAAAATTCTGCAATCATTTACGTGGAGTATCCAACAATACGGAAGTGGCAAATGTAAAAGAAAAAGTAAAGAATTTCTGTTGTTTTAATTGATGACGGACTGACAGACGATAACTTCTTCCACGTGCGTTTATTTTGCAGCCTTGTTGTCACTCCATAAGTCTTTGCAAGGATTTTATAAAAATGTCAAAATTGAAGAGGGATCAGGTATAGACTTGAGAGTATGATGTGGAGTCACTCCTCAAGTGAAGGAGACAAAAGAGCTGAAACTCTTTGAATGCTGCCAGCATCACTCTGTCTCATACCTGCACACCACGTTCCTCCTGTTGTCTTCCCCTCACTGTTCTCTTGTGTCCTCTGTCATGTGTCCACGTAGGTGCGAATCACTGTTTTTCTCCATTGTCTTTGTCCAGCGCTCAGAATCCACAACCACACTGTGCTCCCTTCCTCCCATAACTCTTCCTATGTGTATACCAATGACTCTGCCTACACTAACATTTCTGCAACAGTAGGTGAGGATCAATCACTTTCCACTCACTGAAATTCATTCGTGCATCACTTGCTGCTCACTGTGGTCCTCTGTGTGTCTACGCACGGTTGAGCTGTTGAGTTCGTAAAGTCTTTTGTCCATGCAGCACAATTTAAGAATTCTGATTCTTTTCGTGTCGTTTGTTGTTGTTCGTTAGCTTTTATAAGCATCCACGCAGCCCGTTGTATTATTACATGAGGTACCACGAATGCTGTGAAACCTTCACGTTCATCCATCGTAGCGTAAACAATAAAGTTAACCGTAAGGGAAGTGATCATTTAGAATATTATATATATATATATATACATAGATATATAGACTCCCTGGCTAAAAGACCCTGCTTATGTATTTGTAAGCGAAATTAAGCGCTTCATTTTTGATTTCCTGCAGATATTGTTGAGGGAATGGTCAACAAAGGCATCTTTCTAAATGGAGATAACGGCGGTACCTTTCTCCACTTTGGAAACTACCAGAACTCTTGTATCAGTGACCCTACGTGGTGTGGTCCTGGGGGTGAGTCCACATACACATTTGGCAAAAGATGAATTACTTTTAAACCATTTGAGCCTCTTGGATTGACGGCTGCGGGTGATTTTCCGTCTCTCCATCATTCTCCAGGGATTACCTTCTCCTTTTTTTGGAAAAACCAGGAGACACAGTCCCGTTTTGCTGTAGCCTCTGGAGGGAAAGTTATCTCCAACGGCTTCTCCGTGTACGCCAATAATCATGGAGGATATGTTGAGTTTTACACCAGAGGCAACAACCATAGATGGAAGGCCAACATCACCGTCCCCGGTACTGTGGAATAATTTGTATTGATATCACAGTGTTCTTTTAGTTGCTTTACTCCCATTGGCACCCATGAGGAATGTATTTGGGTCTTGGAAATATATGTTTTTGTCTTTAACCGTAAATTGTTTTGTAATTGCATTCACTATTTGGTTAACTGAAACCAGATGTAGCCGCGGACAGTTGATTTGGCAAAACGGGGATACATTTCATAAATCTTTTGCCGTATCACAACTATACAATTATTTTGGACTTTTAATGAACAGTCCTTTCCTTCTTAGATAGACTACAAGAATAGGATTGAGTTAGATGACATTTGAAACATAACTCATACCACGTGTCACAGTGTCACCAATACTCTGGAATTAACTGAGATTATTTTGACAAAATAGGGTCTCACAAGGTTTGATGTTATGTTTTGCTGCAGTTACTGAATGTTCACCCGTGTCATATCTCAACTTGAATTTAAATGTGGAGGTACAGAGGATAAAATGTCCTAAGTCCCATATGTGTGTCATGTCAACTTTTTAGGACATTTGTCAGTGTGAGGAAGAGCTGATAGATTAAACCTGGTACACTGTGACCAAATATAGAGATCACTTAAAGCTGAGAAGCTGTAACATCACACATCTCTGTGTCATGCCGATCAGACTTAATTGTACTTTGTGTTATGTGTTATTCAGTATAAAGTGATAAGACTCAAAAACTACAATGGTGAAACTGCAATAACCGAAACGATTTTAGGTATTATTATACACGACTTCCAGTGCTGCTTAATCACCACACACACTGTCGAAGAAGTGTGTTTTCCATTTGTCAGTTCGTGTTCGTTCAGTTTGTCAGGAAGTGTGAGAAAGAGCTGATAGATTAAACCTGGAGGTACACTGTGACCAAATATAGTGATCACTTAAAGCTGAGAATGTAACATCATACATCTCTGTGTAAAAAAAGAGAAATGTAAATGAGTCTTTGGCACACGATTCCTATTCTAACCGCAACTGAGATGTGTTTTGATCTGCTGGTGTTTTCTGATGCGTTGCCTAATGGGGGAAGTTCTTTTGTAGTGTAAAATTGACTGGAGAGAGCGTGCTGGAGCAGAACGTGCTTGACCTAATATTATCTTAGGCACACCGCATTCACTCTCGATCATGATGCAACAAAGACAAATAAAACGTTTTGATCTGAAACTAAGAGCCGACCAGCTCATCATGAAGTTTAACTCATCAGCAGCTATTTTGTTGAGCAATCAGCATCGTGTTCAGCTATGCTAGTTACGTTCAACGTTAGTTTCTCTTCCCGTTTGGTGTAATAAGTGACATGAAGGACATGCCGATCAGACTTAATTGTACTTTGTGTTAGGGTTAGGGGTTAGGGGTTAAAATGGCTCAAAACTACAATAGTGAAACTGCAACAACCAAAGCGATTTTAGGTATTATAATACGTGACTTCCAGTGTCCTGCTTAATCATCACACACACTGTTGAAGAAGTATGTTTCCTTTTTCAGGGCCTTACTGGACTCAAGTTCTCTTCTCATGGAAGAGAAATGGTGGCCTGAAGGTCTACATCAACGGGACCTTCACCGCTGGCGACACAGCTGGCAGTGTCTCAGAAAGCTACGGTGACCTCTACCCCGACCTCGTCATTGGAACGGGCAACGACAGGGCATATGGTCACTACGTAACCGGCGCCTTCGATGAGTTCGTCATCTGGGAAAGGGCCCTCACTCCTAGCGAGATCTTGCTCTACTACCGAGCGGCCGTCGGTAGGACATCCCGCTCTATTGCACGATGCGGCATATCTACTGTGGCTTCCCCCCTCTTGCAACTACTCTGAAGAAATGGATTATGAAGCAGTTTGCGACCTTTTCCTGAAGGCATTCCCTCCACGGCATTCCTGCATGACCACAAGATGTTCAACCAAACAAACGTGCCCAAATGAATGGCTCTTCTTGACGAGAACATTATCATGACCTTCCGCCTTACGCTTGACTTGGCTCACATGCTTCTGCCTAATATGTGTTGAGAAGAGTGCAGAGGCGTGTTGGGTCACAGGGGGCAGATAACTGGGACTTAACTTTATGGTTGTTACATGCTGGGAGGACCAAAAGCTTTGTTTTTGTTCTCTCGCTCTCCCTATTAATCCGATAGAGCGCCAAACCTTGACACAACTTATAAATTAAACAATTATGCGGTGTGGCTGTACAAGTTACTACGTTTGACACTAGTCTGACGAATGGTCACACCTGATGAAATGCACCTCTTTAGAAGGCAGGCAGAAGCTTCTTTTTTAAGCGTGTGAAGCCAACCGATTGGTGACGGTTAAAGATGTTTTAAAGTATAGAAAAACTATTCCTGTGCAGCGCGAGAGCGTCTACTGCTCGTAACATGTGAGGCAGAAAGGGGCACGCTGCCTTCATTTCTTCCCCCCAAGTAGTTACCAAAAGCAATATATTCCAGAGACCATTACCAGACGCAAAGAGCCCAACTGTTATGGTTACAGAAAAATATTTTTACTTCGTCTGCGCACTCCTATAAAACCTATTGAACCAAAGAAGAGCAGGAACCAGACTTATACCTCTACTATACGTCCATATATGGGTGTTTTCTGGTGGCGAGTTAGTGCTGTTTTCAACGACGACAAAGACGTAAATGTACGTACGCCTTGTATAGAAGCTAGTCGCAGTGTATCGTGCGGTTGATTGTCACAGTTTTGTGGAGGTTGTAATTCATCTCCTCTCCTGACTGGGCATGGTCCAACCTCATAAACTGTAACCTGACAGAACGCAGCTACACACAGCAGCTCCGCGAGTTTAAGCTCCACCAAGGATCTAATCACGAAAATAATTCTCAAACAGGGATATTCAAACTGTAAAATTAAACACATTTACATGTCACCTGTGTGGTGCCGGACACATTGTAAAAGAGCCCTTTGTTGTGTGTTTTTTCTTTCTAGGGCAGGCAATGGTTTTTACCACAACACCCAGAGTCTCCAGAGAAGTCACTTCAACTGCACCAACAGCTGTAAGTTTGTAAGCTTTGATTTTGTGAGGAAGAAAAAAAAAAGCTGCAACACCTAAAAGTAATTGCATAAACTATACGTGTGAACCACAGATACAGCATGGAAACTGTCCTTCAAAAATGGAATGAGCATATTTGCATTCAGTTTTTGGAGTCTTTGCCAACAGTTTATTTGTCATGGAGCTGTATTTTCCTTTTGAAGATAGAGGAACTGGATAAAATGGATATTGGGAGCACATGTGAACCGATCCGTCCTGTTTATTAAAGGGCTTTGGAGGTAGAAAACGGATAAAGAAACAGAAGAAAGTGGAGACAGCTGCTCAGCAGTACGCACAAAACGTCTCCCTGTAGGGCAGCGGGCTGAAAAAGAGCTACACTGAATCACTTGTCCGAAGAGAATTTCCTGAGCTCGCTCACTTAACATCTTGTGTGTGTTGGAAAGGGCAGCTCCGTTCGGAAACCACCTTGTTGTGGTAAACTTAATCTGACGCCCAAGCCGTTGTCTCTGCAGAGCACCCCTGAAGTGAGTCCTCCTGTGATCGGCGGCCGGGGGGAGGAGAACCAAAGCCCTCGGCGTCCAGAGTCCTTGCCGGTGTTGGGCTTCCTTAAGGGGCTGCCCAACAGGACCATTCCTCACAACACTGCCGACAACCTCACACAGGTCTTGGAGCACAATCCAACAAACACACACACACACACACACAACAACTGCGAAAGCGGTTCACACATAGACACAATGCCCTCCCATGTGCATGTGATACAACAGCTCCGTGATGTCCATTTTCTTCCATACAGACCTTTCTCAAAAGTGTGGAAGAAGTGCTGTCCTCCCCTGGGCTGTCAGAGGTGAATTAGTTCACACTGTTGTTGCGCAATGTTTTAAACATGACATAGTGTAACATGCAATTTGGTGAACACTTTGATCCACGGCACTGAAAGGACGTATGAGTGTGAGATTTTAACACTGCATATTTTGGCAGAAACAGGGCTTGCAGCAATAGCAACAGTGGTAGTTCCCCCACACGGAATAACAATGGGCATTCAACTCTGGTGTAAAATTCTATAATACAGCACTGCTGACCTTAAGGTGCCCTATAACACAATGCTTTGAAAGTAAATTTAGAGCATCCATCCCAGCTTAATCTCCAGGTTCCTACATACAAACAGAAGGAAGGCATTTTAAGGCAAATGTGTGGTTCCAGCACATTTGCTTTCCAGCGCAAGCATGGTTGTTTTAGTAAGAGCAAGTTGAAACAGATGTTCACAGATGAGAAGGCAAAAACACATTAGACATTAGATACAGTGTTCGGACAAGCCCCTTGTGATTACCGTCTGTGATGAGATTCATGCTGAGTGATAGAAAGATGTCTGTCTGTATCAAGGTTTGCATGACTTTTAATGCACGCGTTGTATGTGATGTATTCAATTCAATTAAATCAGCTAGTTAGTGCAGCTGTGCTACTTTTCCTTAGCTTAGCATTAAAGCTAAATGCTAGGAAGTGTCTAAGCATCAAACATTAACCTTGAAGAATTAAAACAAATTGTTCCAGTGTTTACTGGGGTAATACATGAAAGTTTAAAGTTTTTTTCCTTCAGCATAACACAAACAGTTCCATCAGTTAATTGTTTCCTCTCCACGGTAATGACAACCTTATTCTCCCTGATTTGTAGCACAGGTTTATGAGTTTATACAGATTCTATGATCACAGATATTTTGTTACACGCTGGAAAGCTCCCTCCACAACCACTGAAGAAACCACACCCATGAACAACTCATTGTCCTCTGTGTTCCCCTGTAACCTATTTGATACTTGCAAATAGGGCCTGGGAAGATTTCCTTTGTACTTTTACCAAGAACCTTCCCTGAAGATGTGACACCGGGTCAAGCATGAAGCAACGCTGGATGCGTGATCAGTCGTGAGCGTTTGTCTGTGTGTCCTTCGTTTAGCAGCAGTTCGTCCCTGTGGTCAGCGGTCTGATCGAGACCGTGGACATGGTGATGGATCACATGGTGACTAACCTGGAGGCCAGCCCAAACTCCCTCATCACCCTCGGTGGAACATCTTTTGTTGCAGGTCAGTATGCTTTCGACCCTCCATAAGGTGACTCACTGTTTGCAGTTTGCTTGTTATGGTACGAAGGACACGGTGCGCCGCGCTGACATCATTAGTTTTCGTAGGACACGGGCAGGTCACGAAACCCGAGGTCGAACCCCTCCGCTTTCCCACTCACGGGTGTGGGTCTTTTTGTCTCAGGATATCCAACCCCTGAGGAAACAGAGTCTTGATGCTTTCCTCTATGTATGTTTTTCATAACAACAGTTTTTTTTGTTGCTTTTTCTAACCTCTGACCCCCACAGACTACTCTCTGATGAAATTCCCACAGAAGTACAACCTGCCACACTACCGCTTCCCCACACAGGGCATGAGTTACATCTCGGTGCCTGGAGAGGCTTTCGCCATGCAGTGTGAGTGCAACTATTACACGACTATTAACTATTACACTACTATTAACTATTACGGAACCGCAGACGTTCAAGGACCTGAGTCTTGAGTGCTGCAGCAGGCAGAGGATTCTCTGTACACAAAGTAGTAACTTCTCTGAGTGTGAATACAGCACATTAATCGTGGTCCGATTCTGCCAAAAGTAAATGGTCCACCTCGGTGGCTCCTGTTATTTGCCAGTAATTTATTATGCCAGGATTTAGGACTGCTGAGATAGCATTCACTGTTGGGCAGGAGTGCCATGAGAGCTTTTGTGTAACTTTATGGTGCACAGTAGAAATCCAGCTATGACTTTAATGTTGGCAGTTACCCTTTTATTCAAAACAGTAAGAATGAGGGAGTGAGCCCTTTCTCTCCAGTTTCCTCTGTCATTAAAAAGAACGGACCCACATAGTGGACTGAAGGAGAGAAGTAATTACGGCGGACATTAAACTCTGCTTCTTTGACTTCACCTGGCCGCTACATACCTGACTCAAGCACTGTTATCTGTACATAACAACAACAAATTAACCAAATTAAGTCATGGATACCTGACTGTATGTAATACCTCCGTTTTATAACCCAATTAAGTAAAAAGCATTGGTGTGTGTTGAATACTTTATCATATTTTTCGCCAAGCGCTCTCCTCCTCGAGAGAGAGAGTTGTACAAGCAAAGAGGCCCCCTTCAGATCTCTCGGGGACGTGCCGGGGGGGCTTTTCTGTTGAAATAATTTGGTTTAAAGGTTACAAGGTCTTCTGCGGCATTCACACGGCACATTTGTTAGACATCAGTGAGATTTTGTCTTGACATTCAGCGGGGGCCCGGGCCGGGGGCTTTTCAAAGGAGAGAAAGAACCATTAAGGATTTCCTTTGATTTCGTTGTTTATCTTGCAGTGTTGAGGTGGGACCGGGCTGGATGAGAGGTCAGATTAGGAGAGGGGGTTGACCGGACCTCCCGCTCTCTCGGTGAAGTCACATAGAGGTTTTTGTAAGACTTCACAGTATCCGCGTGGTCCGCGGCCCCTCCGCCTTTTCACTCTTGTGCGAGCGTACGCTCATCATATTAGCCCGCCGGTGCCAGTGCGCGGCGACGAGGCAGCGCTAATTAACTTCTCCCCTTTGTGAGCATTTTAGCGGCACTGCATTACATTCCCGGGCCCGCCGCGCCAAGACGTTCAACTACCGCGTGTTGTCTTCTTTTCTTCAGCTCAAACCACCATCGTTGGCCTCTACTACCACAACATGCACAGCTACTACAAGGAGATCAGCCCCGTCAAGACCAAGTAAGCCAACGCGACAACACCCAATACAAAGAGTCGGTCAAGCCACTGAGGTTTTCAGCCAGGGTTTTATCTCTGAAAATATGTTCTAAACAAAGTTGTTGGAACCAACAAAAAAGATCCGGCTTCTCTCTCTGTACTTCCTGTGTGGGAAATCGTGCTTCCTGGTGCACAGGACAGCTGACGCCCGGGGGGCCAGGGCCCTTATCTGTCCTCTCTCATCTCACCACTCAACCCGCCGACTGATACTCCCTGCTATTAGCGCTGCATGTCCCCCTCCGTGGTTGTCTCATCACTGGCACAGCTTGTTCTACGTCCTGCAATGTTGTTTTTTACCAAAACCTGACATAACAGCGTTTGGGCAACCCTAGTTTTTCCACTTCATGTCTTGTGGAAGTTCAGGTAGAAAAAAGGAAGGTGTTTGGAATCGGGCTCACTTGCCGTTGTCCCCTCTGTATCACCATAGTGTGGTCCCAATGTCACATATCGAAAAACTATTGACTACATATATATATAAACTATTGATGCAAGGCCCGAGGTTGTCAGTGTGATTAATTACATAATCAGATGGTCGGAGCACCACTTAAATCCCAGTGCTCTGGGTTGCTGTGTGTGTTAGTGTAAGTGCCAGATTAGAGGTGTTCTTTCTGTCTTTTTGAATATGTCTCTCTTGACCTTTTTTTCAGTTTCCCTTTCTTTTGTATTTGTACTCTGGCCCCTATTTGTTCCTGTCACACTGTCTTTCTTTTTTTACATCCTCTGAGTCTGAGTCTGTTTTTTTTCTCCTTTTAGGATTAACACGGCAGCTGATTTTAAGGATTTCAAAATCCAGGTAGCAAGCTGTCTGATCTCTCTGAAAGTGGAGCCGTCCCCGGCCCTGTCAGTGAACCTCTCTGGAGCGCCACTCATCAAGATTGTCCTCACCCATATCCTGGTAAGAACCAACACACATGATGCTTCAGTTTCTTCGGCTTTGACTCGTGTCTTTATTCCCTCTCTGTGTGAGTCGCGCACACAGAGAGGGAAACGTAGTGTTCTTTCAGTTGGCTGCTGCAGTTATTGGGCGTTATCAGAGTAAGACTGCCCTGGTTTGTCTGTGGCTACAGTAGCTGCACCCCCCCCACACCACCACCACCTCCCCCACATGATTTCTATCAGCTCTATTTTTGGTGTTATCTTATGTCAGAAGATGAGTCACTTATGAAGCTGGGCACCAACCAGTACGAAGAACAAAGCCTATTTTGGTTTTCATTAGCCTGCTTCACGAAACACGTGTCCTCCAGAAAGCAAGCTGATTATGTACATTTCAACTGCAGACTAAAGATGCTTTGCACGGAACAATAACTTTCTTTTATGAACAGCATATTTTTGCATATGGTATATAGTTTATAGCTTGGCTTTATGGCAGGAACTGTGCTACTTTTCCATGGAAAATGCAGTTGAAACTCATAATGAAGATTCAAAATGTGCATTGAATTAGTTTGCTTCCATAGTGAGAAAGTCAGAAACGTGGCAGCCATGTATATTTTTTTTCTTGATTTCTTTAACTCATTAACAGGATTTTTAAGCCATTCTTTTTATCTAAATTAATTGGATTGATGGCATATTAAACTATCATATAATAGCATTAATGGGGCTGTTGACTAAACCCCAAAACAATGTGGTTGTGTTTAATTTATAAGTCCCACCAGAATCATTCCCTTTCTACTGAAGTGAGTTACCGATACCTTTTGTTCTCTCCTCACTCGTAACAGCACAAATGAAAGCCACGCAGCTTCATGAAACCATGGTAATATTGCTTTGTTTGCCGTCATTTTCCCCAGTGAAATAAATATTTATGCTGCAATCATTTGGCTTGGTTCCTGTGACAATGATTACTGTGTTTGTTTAAGCAGACACCACGGGAGAATGCTTATATATCCTTTGTTATGGGAGTGCTGGAGATGCTCACCAGCTCTGCTCTCTGATGACTTAAGGTGTTTCTATTTTAGTTGGATTGCTTGGTTCGAAGTCAGGTTTCTTACATTCCTTCCCCTCGCATCACATTATAAATGAGCTGTACTTATTACAAACACGACACAACGCAAATTAATTCAGGGCTACTCAGTTCAGACAAAGTATTTTTATGCAGGAGCTGCATTGTAAATTGGCACGCAGCACTTCTGGCTGCAACGGCGTGGCTGCACAGACGGATTTAGTCAAAATACAACTATTTTTGGAGTTTTAATGTATTTTGGCATCAGGTGGATACTTGTCACCTGCCTAGCTTGGAGGCAGGGAGGAGGCCAGACCTCTTCCGTCATTCTTTGTGTTGCTCTTCACCCTGTAACAGTCAAACCGCAACCATTCACTGACCGAGAATACGTGATTTGCAACCGACCTCTCCGTTTATCCCCAGAAAGTAGACAAACCCCCAGTGACTTCATTGAAACTTAGCGAGGAGACTGAGTCTGTCTGAAGCTGTGTGCGTCGCCCTGCTCCTCTGTCTTCTCGTTCTCTCATGCTAACACGTCCTATGTGGCACCTCTCGTTCTGTTCAAGCAAGCACCTGCTTTCGTGGCTCCGACCCAAATGTCATCCATTTTCCCTACCTGACACATGCCGTGATGAAATGTATTGTTCCTTGGATTAATGGAGTCACACACTAGTGCAGGGCCTCGCGTGGTGGCAGTTACCGCTCTCTCTGAAGGTCAAAGCCATGATGTGGTCGGTGTCTGAGTGACCTTGTAGTCTTGATTGATGCCCTCTGAGCACACTGGAACAGCCTGCTCAGGTCATGCCATTCCCAGATGACTCAGTCAGAGCCGAGAGCACATCAGGCGTTATGTGGCACGGAGCATGTTTGATACCCAGACAAGGTGTTATCAAGGCCGACGGGAGGCCCACATACTTTCACACGGCATTCGGGCCGTGGTGTTGATTGGACCCTGTGCTCCATCTGTGATTTATCACTGCTGACTGACTCGGGGTCAGTTTGAGAGAGCCTAAGGAGAGACAAAGGGGAGAAAACGGGAGGGTGGAACGCATTGTGGGTGTGCGGTTAACCATTAATACAAAAGTCTGACACCTCCTCTCGATCCTCTTCTTCCACCAAAGCGTCACGCTGATGGTATGAGGTGAATGAATGGAAAGATTGATTTCATGAGCGAAGTGGATTTATAGGCTGAGAAATGAGGATTTAAAAAACAGATTTTGACACGCGGGCCATACTTCACGGGCTTATAAAGCAACGTGTTAGGCTGGCGGGTTCTTAAGAAGGTCCGGGGCAAATGAGTGGAACCGGGCCGCAGCACGGGTGGCATCTATCTGTTCCTCAATTCAGCCCTACATAATTATGTAGGGCTATGAACCATTAACTTTAGAACAACTACTTGACATTGTATATTAACCTTCTGGGGGAGAGTAATGTATGTTAAATATAATGCTGCAGCTAGCAGCCGGTTAGCGTAGACTAGCTCCAAATCTGGAAGGAGAAAAGAGGCACAAACCAAATCCCTAAAGTGTAATAATTAACACCGGTATATCAATTCCCATCTGACAGTCAATTTCTTGGTTTTCTGTGTTCCTCTGTTTCCTTTGTGCTAAGCTATCAATAAGTGTGCTATAATATATAGGCTTATATTAAACTGGGAATCAAGACAGGTAGACACTTACCTAAATAAGTGATTGAGCACATTAAGCCGTATCTGTCTGTTGCACTGCCTTGGATTAAATAGTTTGGAAGTGAGTAAAAAGGTCAGGAGTAGAAAAGGGAAACTGCTGCCTTGAGTTTACAAAGTAGTTGGAGCCGGTGGATCAATTGTTCAGCAACTTTTAAAATAAACACGCAAAGGTCACTTAACTCTTTCTGATGCCCATGCTGTTAGTTGTGCTGGTATCAGTCTTTTCTGCCACTATAATAAGCACCATTTATTGCCAGTCTTTTTATAACTTCCAGAACACTCCCAGCTTAAAACTGCGGTCAAAAACTCTCCCCCTTCTCCCTCTCTCTCTCTCTCTCTCTCTCTCTCTCTCCGTAGACCCACACCCATCCATACACCAACACGCATACAAACCAAGCTGTGCGAGCCAACACGCTGATCAGTCACAGATGGAGGTCTGGCTATTGCTATTCCTCCCTCGCCAAAAGATTTAGTCTCTCTTTACGGTCCCTCCCAGTCAGCGCCCCCTTTCCATCGCCACTTAAACCTTGCGACCACCACCTCTTGGTAATGCTGAACAGAGCAGAGCTTGAGGCCAGAATAAAGTAGAGTAGGGTCAGGATTCTGCCTATCTATATTTGTGTGGCCTCAAATAATGTTAACTAAGAAATTCAAAACCTGCGGTTGGAAATTTAATTTGTTAAAGCCTAGAAGAACACTTTTTGTTTTTTTAACATAACACTAAATTTGATGCTAACTTTCGCATAGTTTTCTACCATATAATCAGTGATACATGTGATACTAGTTATGTGCATGTGAATTTGTGACCCACACATTGTGTGAATTTTAAATTTCGTCGTCATCTGCTTTAAATTTGCTTTCAGTTGTTCACAAAGCGTTTTTGTCATTGCGTAACCGGATATAATTTGACACATTTCCTACAAAGTTTTTTTGACATGTTTACAAAGGGTGCTATTCGACACGAGGATTAGAAAAATATCACCTGACGTCATCAACTAAAAATCTTATTTACCTTCATTTCATAATTTCCCTCGTCGAAACTTATCTGCAAAGGCTCCGTACGCCGCCCTCAACTGATGAATGCACACATGTTCCGACAAAGAGTGTACCGGTAATAAAACCTCATACAAACGCCGGTGGAAACATATGTTTCGTGTATGGAGAATCTTTCTTTTTGCAATGTTAGTTTGCTTCAAAAAGCAATATGTGGGCTTTTGGACAAAAATGACCTCAGTGCAGTATTTCTGTGTTTTGTCACACTCACCTTATCAAAAACAACAGTCATTTCTGTTGTTTTTTAAATGTCCCCAGTTCTCCTCACACCCTGCATACCTATCAACACGTCCCGTTGTTTTCAAAGTCCGTCTCGGAGACCGAGCTGAGGCCACAGCTGCATGTCTTATTACATTTCCCCTAAAGGCATGATCTCACTCAAGGACATTTGTGTTTTACTGCATGGCCTCAGATGGTTACTTCTCTATGTGGATCCGCTCAAGTCTGTCTTTTGACTGAAAAAACCCTGTGAATACATCGCAGAGATCCGTACTCCACCGGAGCTGCAGGTTTAATCAGTGCGAGGCTTTTATGTGTTTACTTTAAGTCGGTTAAACTGACCAAGTTTTGCGCCTGCTCAAGTGAGCGATGTTACAGTAGACCTTGGTGTGCCTCTCCCAGACAAACCAGATTAAAGGGTTTTCTTCCCTTACGGAGCTTAAGAGTAACCAATGCAGCTTATGGGGTTTGAACGTATGGGCTGCAAGATATTTTAACTTTCCCCGTACTGTACACTTCCACAAAATCAGAGGCGGATGGCAGCTTTAATTGATGTTTTGTCGTTAGTATGACTGATGGGTTTTAATGCCACTATGGGCCCTGCTGACAGCTCCGCTGTTCAAAAATTGATATCTTTACCAAATACAGAATGTGCCTTCCAAATTACACCGTGGCTTTCTGTGCTCTCGCATACTTGGAACGTTTGAAGGAAAAGGAGAAGATCGCTTACTTATTCACTCACACCATTTTGTCTTTTTTTTCCCTGCTTTTTTAAATTTAGCACAGCCAAAGCCTGCATTTAGATTCCTTTCCTCTTGTGGCTGCATATTCTTGTACCAGTGCTGGATGGAATGAGGGGGTGTGAGCAAGACTTTTTTTGCAAGATATATTACATATTTACTCAAGGTCCACTTACTAGGCCTTTATGTAGCGTTCAGTTGCATTTAATGTTCTCAAGCCAATATCAAGCTGTGGAATAAGGAAGTAAATTAACCGTAAACTTTTTTACGTCAAATTACTGCTAACAAATTAAAGTTACGAATAAACCTTCATACTCAATAGTCCATTATTTAATTCAGAGCGCACATTCAATTTTATTGTCCACTGTAACTGAGTGAAGATTTTTTTATCTTGTGTTTATTATCAATAACTTCTTCTTGATTTGATTACACAGCAGGGTACTCTAGCAATGCATACAAAGCTGCAGGTTAATCAGTCTTACTTAAATAAGCAAAGCACCATTTCAGACATATATATATATATGTTTGTGTGCACCGACGTGTGTGTGTGTGTGTGTGTGTGTGTGTGTGTGTGTGTGTGTGTGTGTGTGTGTGTGTGTGTTGGCTGTTGCTTGTATTTCTACCAACCCCCAGGCTGTCTGTTAGGAATTAACTGTTGAAACTGGGATGGCGGGTGGTGCGTAGACTTCTCCATTGTGTCTTTATTCATGTTTAGCTTGAGAAACAGCTGAGTTTCCCAATTCTTTGGGATTTGCACAGAGATATTTTGTTGCTATTTCTTTAAGTTCGCTCAACCACAGCGAGGCCCTGGCTTGCTTGCTCTGGTAGTCACAGTGGGTCTAAAGGACACCACAAAAAAACAGAGAAGCTCGCATTTATACAAATTGCTGGTTGCTGTGTGTCATCTGGGACTTACATGCTTCTGTGATGCAGAGTGTTCATTTTCATCCCCGTTTCATCCAAGAGGCTCATTATAGTCAGAAAGGGTTAGAGAGGTACTTACGCATCAGATGGCAGCCGGTAGTTCTCATGCTGATGTCAGTGGTGGTGCATTTGGCTGGTAGGGGTTTGTTGCCAGTCAAGTCACCATTAAATAATCAACAATCTAACAATGGTATTTATAACCATAAATGGGTCACAGGGGCTATTTGTCTGCAGAATGCAGACTCAATTATAGTTGTGTGTGCAGGATATTTACTTACTTTTCATATTACACATTAATCAAACATTCTTCCATGAATGCTTCAAATGATGTAATGTATATACATACATCTCCCACCGCAGATGTTTGCTAGTGAATCTGGAGGACAAAGATGTATTTCCCTACCATGGGAGTGTGAGTTATGTTTGTTGTAAGAACTGTAGCTGCTTCAGTTGCAGACATCGTGACACAGAAGCAGACACCTTGACCACGATTTATCAGCCTCTCTCTTTGTGACCCTCCTCCTCTATCAGCCGTCACGCTGTAGCACTCCGCTGTCATAAGCCTTCTCTCTCTTCTTCCTCTCCACATCTTTTCTCCTTATGAGGCCTAAAGTGATTTTCAAGTCAGTGTTTTCTGGCCTTCTGTTGTTAATAAAAAGTTGGAGCTGCAGTGCTGGCTGGTGGGTAAGGCCTCAGGGCACTGGGGAAACAGCGGTGTGCGCGCAAAGCTCGGCCAGATCTGAGTGCGTTAGAACGCTCAGCAATGGCTTTTAGGTTCCTGCACCTTTCCTCGAATATGAATTGGAAACACGCTGAATTCAACCACAAAAACCGACCGTTTCTAGAGAGCGAGCGTAGCCAAAGAGAACTCAGAAAGCCAGTTTGGCGATGTATATATTTAAGCTCATGTCTGGTAGATATCATGGTCTAATAATGATCCCATGATCAAAGTTTGTGCTTAATGCGGATAATTAGTCCTACTTGATTGCACAGTAACATTAAAGATTCGGAATTTGTTAGAAAGCAAAGACGACACTGTAAAGTCTTACAGTGAGCCAATTACAGTCTGTTTCTCTTCCATCTGCTCTCATTTACACCCAACAAGCAATGTGACTTATTAAAACCCACAGGGGAGCAGTAAATTTACCCACAGGGTTGCCTGCAGCTCCTCAAAGCTGACTGCCGGCTTGTGATGAAGCGGTTCAGTTATGGCTCTCTCTCGGTTCTTGGACCCGCAGTGCACACTGCTGTAATGGTCCACATGAATATACATCCATTGCATTCACCTAAAGGGTCACAAAACATGATGAATAAAGACCTGCAGACAGACGGATTAAGAGCATTCATTTGGTCACGCAATGAAGTCAAAGTATTGTTGTTGTTGTTGTTGTTGTCGTTAAAGTCTGTGCTATATGCTTTGTAATATGAATCTCAGAGCATAGGGGCAGAGAAACCGAGTGGCAGTTTCACTCTCTCTCTCTTTTTCCAAAATAGGAGGAAGGAAATAGTGCAGACGTAGTCCGTCTAATCATACTCTCATTCAGTCTGAGAGTCAAGGCTTGGGGAATGAGATGAGTGCATTCTCTCTGTATACACGCAACCTGCCAATGAAAGTGTTGTTTTCCTTCGATGACAGATAGAAGAGCGTAGTGGTTTGACCTGAGACCAGGGCCAAGCCCCAATTACTGCATACTTGTACTGTAGCCATTAGCTCACTGTCTCCGGAGACTCCAATTCTCATATTAAGGTATGACACGGAAAAAGGGGGTTATAATCAAATAAGTATCTTGAAGACAGCGGGGACCTTTGCTCAGAGTAATAATTATCTTTGCCTACGTGTCCATCTGCATCTTCTTTAGTATGATCTCAGACCCCTTTAGCCTCTTGGCATTCAAGCACAGACTAGCAGTTTTTATCCAAGCAACATTTTTAAGGGGTTTGCGCTTCTTCAGATAAGAAAACTATTATTTTAAGCTTTTACTTAAAATTCATTTTCTGGTTTAAAGACATAAATCTTTCACGTTGTTGTCTCGATCAAATTCCATTTTCCAAACTGGATAAATGTAATTTAATGAGCCGGTAAAATCCAAAAGCCAATCTTTTTCCTATCTCGTACTTTTCTCTAGTAATTACAGATCTCAATTTATTCAACTTTTCCTTTTCAGACCAAAGAACAGCAAGAGCAAGTCCTAAATCAAAGCAACAAAGTCTTCCTCTACTGTGCCTTCTTGGACTACAGGTGGGTCTGCTATTTGGATCCAGCATGTCTCAATTACTCATTCAGATGTAGAGCCAAAAATAACTCTATCTTGATTATCAACCCTTTGAATATTTTCTTTTCAAGTCTTAAAGGCTTTAAATGATAAGTAATTTACAATGGTACGGAAAAGTTGTATTTCCCGTTTGTCATTCAAATCAAAATCTGCCAGTGTTACACATGTTTCTGCTTCAGCTTGATGTATCTTGAGGAAAAGCCCTCTGTAAAATGAATATGGCGTTAACATAAATGGAGCCTGAACCCTATTAAGAAAGCATAAATCATTTTAAGAGAGTATGTTTTAGTTGGATTCAAAAGCGTCCTCTCCTCACTGCTCTTCTCCCTGAAGCTTAAGAACGAAATGTGAATTATTGGATTGCCCTGTCACATTGCCCTGGTAAATTCAGCAGAGCAATTCTCTGTGTGCCTCACACAATGGATCATGTTGAGAGATCGTTGCCAGCAGTCCCTGCAAATAATCAGCGATTGTCATCGTCTACAGTTCCAATGAGGTAGTGTGGTCCAATGAAGGCTGCGTACGCTCAGATGGAAACATGACGTACTCCGTGTGTTTGTGCAACCACCTCACCAACTTCGCCATACTTATGCAAGTGGTGCCATTAAAGGTATGACATTTTTTCTACAGCTGCTCTAATGTTTCATATTAACAATGAATTGCATCAGCCGGAGAGGTAGAGGTGTAAAAAACAAAAGGACTGTTGAGCTCCATTTAGCTGCTTTAGTTTCGCGGCCCTGGTGATTAAAGTATTAAGGGAGCTGGTTGGGTCTCAGTTGATACTCATTCTGTAATAAAATCCCCTGCATTTTCCTCAAAGACCCCACTATAAAATAGAAGTCTTTAAAAGCTGCGCCAAGAATTTGTAAACATTGTAAATTACTGCTTTGTTTCTGATTTGTTATATTTGTCAAACTTTTCCACACCCTTGAAAAGTAATGCAATAAAAAGTCTCATTATGATTGATGTGGGTGGGCCCCATGTTTGGGTCTGTTAACCAGTTCTTTTAATGCACCCATGGTCCTGGTATTTTTCTGGTTCCGTAGCCATTGTCATTGTTATTAGAAACACCTGTGCTTTTCCCCCAATGACAAACTGCCTGCGGTGAACCACAGCGCTTGATGATTTTCACCACAGCATTTCATCTCATCTGTTGTTGGGACATTTTTAGAAACACTAAATGTCCCATTTTAAACCTTCCACATCTATTTGTGGAAGGTTTATCCCTCTACTGCAGCCATATTCAAAAGCCCTGCCTCTGTGCCTTTGTCACAAAATAAGTACATTTGTAGAGAGCTTAATTGGACAGGAAGCAGCGGTTAACCAGACAGTAAACCGCCACCAGAATTCCCCACTTCAGCCTCAGGACAGTTTATCGTTCCTCCCTGTAGGTCAAAAGGAAGCAGACCTTCACCCTCACAATGTTGTGGTTTTATACAGAAGTACCTCAGACAAGCACGATTAAGTGCGGTACTTTGGGTTCGCTTCACAGGTCAGTGGTCCATCTGTCCCAGACCGCACTCTCTTAAGAAAATAGAACTGTCCCTTTGAAGCGTCCTCCAGAGACTTCCTTCTAAAAACATCTGGGATAACTGAACAGCGCCATGCACAGCATTCTACATTCTTATAATCTGCATATAGAGCCATTTAGAATGCCAAACCTGTGTACAATGTTCCCGAAGTCACACATAACTCTTTGTTATCCAGGAATATCTGCGGTCAGCATCCATGAATGGCTTCTTTAAACAGAAGAGAGGACTTCTTATTGCAGAGGGCCAGCGTTGTATTTAAGGCGCAGAAGTCTGTTTGATACTATACTTTTCCCTCAGCCAGTCTCTAATTAGTGGGCTGCCTCATCCCTTAGCTGCAAGGGAACATCCCATGTATCCCATTTCTGGAAGGCTGAGACTCCTGTGCCCTTGTTAATGACAAGGCACATGTGAAGACAGTTAATAAAGAATCAAATCCAAAACCTTCAAAATAACCCGACCTCCAAAACAACATCAATTCACTGGGCCATATGTGATGAATAAGTGCATATGGAGAATCACAATCAGCCTCATGGGCAATGCACTTTTTGCAGTCAGTAACCATAACAAAAAGGTACACTTACAGTCAAAAACTGTAGCTCAAAAACTGTTAAGTCCTGTATCATAAAACGTAGACATAATCTGATTTAACAATTTGATTTAATAAGGGGAATCGAACCTCTCTGCTAAAGCTTTATGACAGAATGTCCAGTGAGAGTAGCCCCGCTTCATAAATACTAATAAGACTCATCATCATAAACTCCACGTGGCCCCATTTGAATTTATATTCTAATGATACAGGCTGAATGAAAAAGGCTCAACTAGACTGCTAAGTGTATTTGTGCTACCGACCCACCTCACGGCAAAAAAATAATGTGTTTACATGTTGTCTTGGTGAAATGTACACAGCTCACTACTGGCCACAGGGTGGCACTATCAACCATCGGTTATGTCGGCTGCTCAATTTCCATCATCTGTCTCGCCATCACTCTGGTGACTTTTGCCGTTCTGTCGTGAGTATCTTCACTTTAACAACCTGTGCTGTGCGTTTGTATTTCAAACATTCACCTGTTATGTTCACCAAGGGTTGTTGGTACCGAAGCACTACAGCAAGTTAACATGTCCCTCTGTCCCTCTCCAGATCAGTGAGTACCATCCGTAACCAACGCTACCACATCCACGCCAACCTGTCCTTTGCCATCCTGGTGGCGGAGATCTTACTGCTGATCAGCTCTCGCTTCGACCCGGGCACGGTATGTCCACAGGGCAAATTATGTTGAATGATTGATTGGTTGGTGATCAAAGTAAATATCATAATGATAATGAAGGGATGAGTGTCTTGTTATGTATTTTAATCAAATTCAGTATATTAGATTTGATGATGTTTATTTAAATGATGGCATGACAATGTCAAATGTGTTTCAGCTGGATGATGAAATTACCAGCAGGACAGAAGGAACGTTAGTTAAAAGAAAAACTAAAACATGAGAAGCGATCAGAGAAAATGACTTTTGATAATGGTGCCTTCATAAATAATGATGGAAAAGGTAATGTTCTGACGTTGAAACCCAGATTTTTGTCCCCTGTCTTAGTTGCCTTGTAAGGTAATGGCGGTCCTGCTTCACTTCTTCTTTCTGAGCGCCTTTGCATGGATGCTGGTGGAGGGCCTCCACCTCTACAGCATGGTGATCAAGGTGTTCGGCTCTGAGGGCAGCAAACACTTGTACTACTACGGCATCGGCTGGGGTAGGTCTGCTATGTGCTATTATGCACTACTACTACACCTAGATTGGAAACACGAAGGATGATGTAGCTGACATATTTGCTACAAAGCCCGTTTTTCCGTGATTTTCTGCCTTTTTGTTTTATTGACTTCAATTTCACCCAATGTCGACCATTTGTTGGGTGTTCTCGGGTGAAAATAATTCATTGTGTGGTTTTGTAGGGCTTTTGAGTTCTTTGCCAAACAAACTAGGTGCATCTCAATATATACGTATATATATATACATATACATGTTTTAATAGATCATATATAAATATATTCATATTGTAATTTATTTATCCTTCAATAAAATATTTGAATTATATGATATTTATATTGGATATTAATAATAGTTACGACATGGTAGTTATCATATTCTGAATATTGTTTTATACTATTTATTAATATACTGAGTTGTTTGAATGAGATGTCCTTATTATGTTAAACTGTTGGAATAAATGTTAAATATTTAACTGCAAAATAATAATACATGTTTGTTCCTATACCCTACGCAATTCCCTGTTAAACTTGAAATCAATGATTTGGAGCCTCCTTTGTATAGACTTATTGATTATTTGTTTATAGGTTAAATCGTTACCTGTTTATTAATTTCTCTATAAAAAAGTATTGCCTTTAGTAACATAACTAAAGGAGCATGTCAACATTTCGTTACTAAATCATAGAAAACATCTAATCTAACATCTAATAGTCTAATATGACTCTCACAAGTGTCTGATTCAGTTGTGATGATATTAACCAGTTTATGACTGAATCATTTAGTCACCAATTATTTGGTTCATTCATCACATAACTGGCTATATTTGTCCACCAGAGCCCCTGAAACATACCTTTAAAGTTTCATCAAACTAGCCACTACGGGGCGATAGAAATACAAAATAAAACAGAAATGGCAATAATTATCTGGCTAATATTAGATTTTTGTCCAATCAATACAAAACAAAGGGTTTTGTAGTTGTTGATTAATCAAGGACAGATTTTCGACACATCCACAAACCTGCTGGAAATCTCCAATGCATCCGTAGAAACGTGTCCCCAGACGTTGAGAAATATCACTGCCAGTAGTTTGAGTGTGCAATTACTGACAGGCTGCAAACATAGTTATTAGACACAAGTGTGTGAATGTTCTCTGTGTTTCTGTTTACAGAATAAAACAGCTGAAGTAACTGCACAGCTTTGTAAAGCTTGGCCTTCAAAAGCCGATTCCTTATGTCGACAGCAAAGGGCTTGAATCTGATTATTTCTAGGCAATTTAATTTGTATGTGGTTTTAGTTGTCGGTCTTTGAAATATATTAATGTTTTAATCTAAATTTACCATATAAGCAGGATGTTAATTTACTAATAAAACTTTTTCTTCTTCCACCATTATTTAAGATAAGATGTCTTAATAAAAGGGAGAGTGAGTAAACCCTTAAAATCTGACATAACATGTTGGATCAAAAGCAATCAAACCTCCATGTGTCTTTTGTATACAAACACTCATTAACTTAAAATAATATTTGTTTAATTTTATTTAAGTATTTTAGTGCTCCTCCTGAGTGATTCGTCGGGTGGATCCTCAAACACGTCCCGATGAAGTCCTGGTAGTCTGGAGAGAGAAGTGTGAGATCATCTGAAAGTGAAATGAAAGGAGCATGTATCTATTGTAGTGTGTCTACTGTGCGGATCTATGTTAGTGTGTCATCTTACCGTAGAAGCTCTCTGTTGTAAAATGCATCTCTCTCGTCAAAACTGCTCAAATATGGCGGCAAATCACTGTCAAAATTCGAGAGCACAAATCAGGCTGATGCGCGCGCGTAAATCAAACATCCGGGAGCAAATCTCCGTCTCGCGCGAGCAAAAGTCTGTCTCGTGACCTCAGAAGCATTAATCTCATTACGCCAATCCTGATTGGCTGGTGAAACGTGTCCGTCCGCCTCAGTTAGTACCACCCACCTTAAATACCTCATGCGGACGACACCACGTCATTCAAACACCTTTTCTCACTCGGAGAATATCTTGCGTTTTGGGCTAGTTGGCTCAACTGTCCACAGACAGATCTTATTTAGCTTCTGTCGCCGGGCGCTAGCTAGCCTTGAATGTTTTTTTTTCCTGCTTCGTCGGTCACACCAGATCGAATTTTGTGCTTTCCTCGCCCTCCACGGCTTGGTTGGCACTGTCCTCGGCGCCTCACCACGGCTGTTCGAGTACCGAGGGTTAGCACACCAGCTAGACTCCCTGCCTGCACACCAGCTCACGGGGCATGGAGGCTAAAACCCCTCACACCGGGGCCCGTACTTGTTGCTGTGGGGACAAAATATCGAGCAGCGATCCACACCAGGTCTGCTCAAGCTGCCTGGGGTAGGAACACGCCCGGCTCGTGTCAGCACTGTGCGGTGTTCACCTTAAAGAGTCTCTGCAGACGGCTAGCCGCCAGGCTAGCCTGTCTGGACAGGACCCCTATCTCCCTCCCGGCGGTGCCACAGGAGGAAGACGTCCTGGAACTGGACTATAGGGACAATGATGAGTGCGCCTCGGAATATTTCCACATCCCAATTTACCTTCCCCACAGAAAGTATCTAAGATTTGCTTTCCAGGGGATCGGTTACGAGTACCGCGTGCTCCCTTTCGGTCTGTCTTGAAGCCCGAGGGTGTTTGTGCGGTGCACGGAGGCGGAAATTGCCCCGCTGAGACGGCAGGGCATGCGCCTGGCCACATATCTGGACGATTGGCTGCTGTTGGCACAATCGGAACAGGAGGCCATAGCGCACACACGTATTCTTGTGTGTAACCTATCCGACCTGGGTTTCGTGATGAACGCGGAAAAGAGCGTGTTGTCCCCGACACAGGGCATAGTCTTTCTGGGATTATCCCTGGACTCGGTGGCTTTCACAGCGCGCCTTTCGGCCGAGTGGGTGAAGGTCTCCAGGACATGTCTCTCGCTTTTTCATCCGGGCAAATCTGTTCAATTCAGATTGTGTCTTCGGTTACTCGGACTGATGGCGTCTGCCATTCTCGTAGTTCGTCTCGGTCGCCTCCACATGAGGGAATTCCAGCTTTGGGTGGCCTCATGCAGGCTGGATCCCGTGCGTCACGGCACACGGAGAGTGGTGGTCACACCAGGATGCGCCAGGGCGCTCCGTCACTGGCGAGTCCCGGCCATTCTGACCCACGGGGTGCCCATGGGTTCCGTCCTGTCCAGGAAAGTGGTCACGACGGACGCCAGCCTGACAGGTTGGGGCGGAATTTACGAGGGCCGATCTGTGAGGGGCCGCTGGAGTGCAGAGTCAAACCTCCAGCGGTCTCACATAAATTTTCTGGAACTTTCAGCGGTGTTTCTCTCCCTGAAACATTTCATTCCGTCTCTCAGGAATCAGGAATCAAGAATCAGGAAACATTTATTGCCAAAATATGTCATACACACAAGGAATTTGACTTGGTGGTTGGTGCGTGACAGTAGACAGTGTAACAATAGACAACAAGACAGCAGTGCACAGTAATAAAATAAAATGAAATGCTAATGATATTGGTTAGTAGAATAAGGCTATGGGTTAGTATAAAATAAGAGAATAAAGTTAAAAAGTAAAAAATTAAAAATATTTAAAAAGTTAAAAAATATTTAAAAATAAAGTGCACTAGCGAACAAGTGACAAAGTGACGAGTGAAAAATGACAGTAAAGTGACATGTGCAGTATGAAAGAAAGTGACCGGTGGAATGTCAGAGTCAGTCAGTGGGGGACCGGGCTCTGTTGATGAGCCCGACTGCCGACGGGAAGAAACTGTTCGTGTGGCGGGAGGTCTTAGTCCTGATGGACCTCAGCCTCCTGCCATATGGAAGGGGCACAAACAGGTTTTGTCCGGGGTGAGAGGGGTCGGCTACGATCTTTTTAGCTCGCTTCAGAGACCTGGAAGCGAACAAGTCCTGCAGGGACGGCAGATTGCAGCCGATCACCCTCTCTGCAGAGCGGATGACACGCTGCAGCCTGCCCTTGTCCTTGACTGTGGCTGCAGCGTACCAGACGGTGATGGAGGAGCAGAGGATGGACTCGATGATGGCCGTGTAGAAGTGGACCATCATCAGGTTGAATTTCTTCAGCTGCCTCAGGAAGAACAACCTCTGCTGAGCCCTCTTGGTGATAGAGCTGATGTTTAGCTCCCACTTGAGGTCCTGGGTGATGATGGAGCCCACGAAACGGAAGGACAATAGTGACAGGGGAGTCGCGCAGGGTAATGGGGGAAGGTGGGGCTCTGTTCCTCCGGAAATCCACAACCATCTCCATGGTCTTTAGAGCGTTGAGCTCCAGGTTGTTCTGGCTGCACCACGACACCAGATGGGCAGACTCCCACCTGTAGGCGGACTCATCCCCACCAGAGATGGTGTCATCCGCAAACTTCAGGAGCTTGACGGACTGGTGGCTGGAGGTGCAGCTGTTGGTGTACAGGGAGAAGAGCAGAGGGGAAAGAACGCAGCCTTGGGGGGAACCGGTGCTGCTGGTCCGAGAGGCTGAGACATGTTTCCCCAGCTTCACATGCTGCTTCCTGTCAGACAGGAAGTCTGTGATCCACTTGCAGGTAGAGTCGGGCACGTGTAGCTGAGAGTTTGTCCTGCAGCAGAGACGGGATGATGGTGTTGAAAGCAGAGCTGAAGTCCACAAACAGGGTCCTTGCGTAGGTTCCTGGGGAGTCCAGATGCTGGAGGATGTAGTGGAGGGCCATGTTGACAGCATCGTCCACAGACCTGTTGGCTCTGTAGCCGAACTGCAGGGGTCCAGGAGGGGGTCGGTGAGGGACTTCAGGTGGGTCAGGACTAGCCGTTAAAAAGACTTCACGACTACAGAGGTCAGGGTGACGGGCCTGTAGTCATGGAGTCCTGTGATCCTGGGCTCCTTGGGAACAGGGATGGTGGAGGCCTTGAAGCAGGCTGGTACGTGGCATGTCTCCAGGGAGGTGTTGAAGATGTCAGTGAACACCGGAGACAGCTGGTCAGCACAATGCTTCAGGGTGTGAGGGGAGACGAAGTCCGGGCCGGCTGCCTTACGGGGGTTTTGTCTTTTAAAGAGCCGGTTAACGTCTCTCTCCAAAATAGAGAGGGTCGTTGTTGGTGGGGGAGGGGAAGATGATATAGATGTAGAGGCGTGAGTCCCTAATGGGCTGGGGGAGGGAGGGGTGGGAGACTGGGGCAGGTTGGTGGAGCTGTGGGTGTCAGGGATGCGGTGAAGGCAGGACTCAAAATGCAGACTTTAAACCAAAAAATACTTTAATAGTCAAAAGGGCAGAAAACCAAAAGCCAAGGGTCAAAAAACGCACACAGGAACCAGGGCAAAAAGGCAGGCAGGAACTAGACACATCCAGGACATTCGACAATGACGCGACAAGAGACACACACGGCTTAAATACACTAGGGAGGTGCAGGTGATTGGACACAGGTGGAAACAATCAGACAATCACAGGGGATGACAGGACAAGGCAGAAAGTGAAGTTACCCAGGGAGACAAGAAGCAGAAACTACAAAATAAGACAGGAAATAAACCACACCGTGACAGTGGGGGATGGGATCAGGACATTGTCTATCGAATCTGCAGTAGAACTCATTCAGCTCGTCTGCCAGGCGGAGGTCATTCATGGAGTGGGGGTTTTTTGGCTTGTAGTTTGTGCGGTGTTCTTCTCCAAACCGAAGCAGAGTCACTTGCTGAAAACTGTTGTCGGAGTTTCCCAGAGTACAGTCGTTTAGCATCTCTCACCGCCTTGCTGAACTTGTATTTTGACTCTGTATACCAGTCTTTGTCCCCACTCCTAAATGCCTGATCCTTCTGCAGGCGTAGTGTTCTGAGTTCCGCTGTGAACCAGGGTTTGTCGTTGTTGAAACTCACCCTGGTGCATGATGGTACACAGCTGTCCTCACAGAAGCCGATGTAAGAAGTTACAGCCTCTGTGAACTCATCCAGAGTGTTAGTAGCAGTCCTGAAACCATCCCAGTCTGTGCAGTCAAAGGACGCCCAAAGATCCTCCAGCGCCTCACTGGTTCAGTTCTTGAATTCCCTCACCACAGGTTTGCAGAGCTTTAGTTTCTGCCTATATGCAGCAATCAGATGGACCATGACGTGGTCAGAGTGCCCCAGTGCAGCACGAGGGACGGCGTGATAAGCCCTGCTTACTGTGGTGTAACAGTGATCCAGCGTGTTCTCCTCTCTGGTTGTGCATCATGGGCCATCATGTCCTGGTGAGGACGGACAATATGACGACGGTGGCGTATATCAACCGTCAGGGGGGGTTACGTTCCCGTCAGTTGCACATGCTGGCACGCAAACTGATCCTGTGGAGCTGCTGTCGGCTTCTCTCCCTGAGAGCGACACACGTCCCGGGAGCCCTGAACACGGGCGCGGACCTGTTGTCCAGGGGCGCGCCGGTATACGGGGAGTGGACTCTGCATCCGGAGATTGTGGAACAGATATGGGGCCGTTTCGGTCGGGCCACGGTGGATCTGTTTGCATCGAGAGGCAACACGCAGTTTTACTCTCTGCGCAGCATGGATGCCCCCCTCGGGGTAGACGCACTAGCGCACGCCTGGCCGCGCAAGCGTCTGTACGCATTCCCCCCCCTGGCATTGATACCCCCCGCTCTGTCCAGAGTGAGACAGCACGGCCACGCACTGATTTTGATAGCTCCACATTGGCCGGCAATGCATTGGCTGGCGGAGATATATCAGTTTATGTGCGCTCAGCCCTGGCAGCTCCCTCTTCGAAGGGACCTGCTGTCGCAGGGGGAAGAAACGGTCTTCCACCCGCACCCAGAGCGTCTGCCGCTGTGGGCTTGGCCCCTGAGTGGCTAAATCTGTCAGCTGTCACCTCAGCTCGAGCCTCCTCCACTAGGTCCCTGTATGAGTGTTTGAGGGATGGTGTCACAGAAATGTGTGTCGAGTTTCAGTGTCGAGTAGTGATATTGTCATTCTTGCAGGACCAGATCGACAAACGGAAAGCCTTCTCCACGGTTAAGGTTTACTTGGCAGCTATCGCCGCCTGTCATGTGGGGTTTGGGAAGCAAACAGCGAGCCAGCACCCGCTGGTTTGCCGTTTTTTGAAGGGAGCGCGCAGGCTTCTCCCCGTACGTGAGGGCGTGACTACGTGAGGGCGTGACTACGTGAGGGCGTTCACGTGAGGGCGTCCACGTGAGGGAGTTTACGTGAGAGCGTCTGTGTGCGCAGTTGACTTATCTGAGCTATGGGTGGATCTCGAGCTGCTCCAGCGTGGGACGGTCGTCGGGGGCGACTTGAACACATCCGGATAAAGTCCTTGCAGGCTGGAGAGAGACAGAAAAGAAACGTGAGAAACATCATCAGAATGTGAAACGAAAGTAGCAGATTTGGGACTTGTGTTTGTGTATGTTTCTAATATTAATCTTACTTTTGGTGATCAATTTGGGCGTTTTCTGCTGCTCCTTCCTCAGTGTGTGAAGTTCGCTGGCTTGAAATGAACTGACTGAATTTGCCACACAGTGTGTTGTTATACTGTGGGGAATGGAACCTGGAACAAGGAAGCTAGAACACGGAACACGGTGAAACGTTCTATCCTGAGGTCACGTCTCTGAAGTCACAGTGAAGTGTTCTACAATATGCAAATGAGCATTTAGAGTAAATGTGTGTGTGCACCCTGTATTTGTATTCACGGACCTTGTATACTATGCAATACTTGCTTTGTTATGAACCGTCCATCTTGATCTTGAAGGCAAACACTTTAAACAATAAAAAACAATGTATTTTGGAAGTCAGATATATGTCTTTTGAACTGTGATTTAAAAAAAATCCCCTGACTTTTCCTCAATTACCACCATAAGGTTTCATTTTGTTTGGTTGAATGTCTCAACTGTTGGATGGATTGCCATTTAATTTGGTGCAGATATTCAAAGTAATATTATCCGTCCAAATCCTAGGCGTCCAGCAGAGTCCATTAAAATATAAAATGTCCCTCACATAACCCTTGTAACACTGCAAGTCTTTGCTTTTACATTTTGTTTTCTACAAAAGATAGACAAAGAGATAAAATGTGTGAATTAGAGAGACATAAAACGCAAATTTGAAAAAAGATCCAGACTTTCCTTTTAACCTTAATTAAAGGTAACCGGCTAGCTTCACGTCCAACAACTCAATTATGAGTCTGATCGATGGTCATTTAGCTGCTAACGAGTTAGTGCCGATTAAGGTTGAACCAAAAGCGGTTTATTAAAGAATGTTTAATTTTAAGCAAGCTCTGTCGTTCACTTTACGACAAAAGCAAAGATCCAAAGTTTTAGAAGAAACAGAAGTATTCACTTTGTGAGACATGAATGAAACGTTACAGATTCACTGGTCATGACCATTTAACACATTAGATGTCTATAATGCATTATAATTGTACTTACAAGACTATTAGTGGAAAAGTGATCCTTTTTTATTACTTCCTTTCTCCGCCAGAGTGATGTTTCATTTTGTGCGGCCAAATTGATAAAAAAAAAATTTCAGGGAAATTATATCAATCAGAAGCACAACAGATAAATAAAACCAGCAGCGGGTGTAAAAGCGCATCCAATGACAAGTGCGTGACCGTGTTGCACACTAATGAGATGTTTATTGGGACCACAATGTGCGCTAAAATTAACTGAGGCATGCTGTCAAATGACACAGTGAAGGTTAAAATACCGTATGAATTGTGTTGTAGTCACTGGCCTACTTTTATCAGAAATGTATGTCTGCATTGGTGAAAGCCTTTTGTGTCTACTGGGTTGTTTTGAAATTATTCTTAAATATTTGTATGTATGAGCATGCCAGTTATTAGTTAGTCAATACCTCAATCAGTGTAGTAAAGGAGGATGGCTGGAAGCTGTAATAAAGGTATTTAAATTATTTAAAAAATAGGCTTTATGAGGAGGGAACAAAGCATATTTGATGGTTATTTATAAAAATGAATTTGTACTTGATAAGTGCATAAAGGCAGCAGGAAATCTGCACAGTGAGAAGAGAGCTGGAGAAGGACGGGGTCAATAGGGCCTCCAGCATCAAGTCATCAATGGTCTTACATCTTAAGTGATAGTTACACATGTGTACGTTTTATTGTTTATTATCAGGCTCTCCATTGGTGATATGTGTGGTGTCAATGACATCAGCTCTGAACAGTTACGGCGAGGTTGACAAGTAAGTATGACCCGCACATTGAACAAATTTGTGAATTATGTGTAATTGATTTTATTCCGCCGGAGCTCGGTGGGGCTGCATAAGAATGACATCACCACAAACTGTGTTTAATGTTATTGAAAAGCTTTTAGGTTACCAGTAACAGTTAGTCCCTCCCCATTCACATGAGAGCATTTATACTTGGAGGGGAACACGGTGTGATTCGCTCTGCCCTTGTCCTTGTTTTTTCAGCTGTTGGCTTTCACTGACGAATGGTGCAATCTGGGCATTCGTGGCCCCGGCTCTGTTTGTCATCGTGGTGAGAAAATTGCATCAATTATAATTTCAGAATTTTTTTTACAGTTCCCTATTTGTCACATAATTAGATTAAGAACATAATGTGTATTCATTGTAACCTAGTGGGCTATTTGGGGGGGAGGTGGGGACAAAAACAAGATCTTACCTCCCTTTTCTCTCTGTTAAATGTATGTAAACCTCTTTCTGAACTCCAGGTGAACATTGGCATTCTGATATCTGTCACAAGGATCATATCTCGAATCAGCGGGGAGAGCTACAAGGTTCATGGAGATGCTAATGCAGTGAAGTGAGTCATTTTGTTTTCATGATCAGACCAGCGCTCTTTTGATATTGTTCTCTTAACATTAAAAGCAAATAATATGAACACGGTTTATTGCTTTGTTTCAAGGCTGACTGTGAAGGCAGTGGCCGTGCTCCTCCCCATACTCGGCATCTCCTGGATCTTTGGTGTTCTCGCTATCAACTCACACTCTTTGCCGTTCCTGTATATTTTTGCTGTATTCAATTCGTTACAAGTAAGTTCTTTAGTATTGGATCTTCTATTTTCCAAAATGTTTGCCATTTTCCAAAATGTTTGCCACTACATCTGAGAATTATACTTGTGTTTTCTATTTTTCCTTAGGGGTTCTTTGTCTTCTTGTTTCACTGTCTTCTCAACTCGGAGGTATGATGCTAGCTGTAATAGGCGTATGTTTAAATGTTTGGAAGTGCAAAGCCTTCACAACATCATTTACAATTAAGGAGGATAAGATGTATTCTGCCTGACATTTTTCACCTGTCGTGGCTTTGCTTCTTTCTGTAGGTCAGAGCTGCTTTCAAACACAAAACCAAAGTGTGGTCTCTCACCAGCAGCTCCATCCGAAACATCAACGTGAAGCCATTCAACTCGGACATTGTGTGTGCTGGTGTTGAAGATTTGCTTCAAAATCAGAGTTCTGTCCCTGTCCGAGACTAACATTCTCCTTCCCGTCTTCTAGATGAATGGAAACAAGGAGGGCGTGACGCCCACCAAGATGAACACATGGGACAAAAGCACCAACTCTGCCAATCGTATCGACCTCTCCGCCGTGTAGAAGCGTCCCTGTCCGTGGTAGGAAGAGCAATCAATCACCAGTGTAGAATGACAAACGCCGGCCAGAGTGTCCTCCCACTATGTTATGCAATGAATGTGACCGTCATCTGCCAAAGGGAAAGTTGCACCGAAGGAGACGTTGTTTAACTGAATAATAGCTTCACCTTTAAAGACAAACAGACTGTAAGGACTGTGCCTTGTTGTTGTCTAGTAAAAACATGTGTTCCATTAGTGTTCCCAAAAACAAGCCACAGGGGTTCCTGAGGAGGTCAGTGAGAGTCTCAGCTTCCAGGGGTGCTGTTCAGGATCTGGTAACAACGCTATCTGTAGTGGAGTGTCTGGTATTGTCTCCTGTATGGTCCTTCTGCATAGCGCAGTTGATTTTTGTATTTGGCAAGAGTTTATGTAGTGGAATAGTTTGACATTTTGGAAAATACGCTTATTTCTTTTCGTGCAGAGCAACAGTCTGTTCAGTGAATATTAAGCCAGCGCCAGCAGCTGTTTAGTTTAACTTAACTTTAGCTGACCCGCCTCAGTCCATAATCAACGCACCTAAAAATGACATATGTGTCGGACTAGCAATCCATGCTATCCGTGTCCCCTGTTTCCAGAATTTATGCTAAACTAAGCTAAAGTAATCTGCTGCTGGTGGCATATTTAACGTACAGAGATGTGAAAAGCAGCAACATTTCCATTAATAAAGCAATTACACTTACTTTGATTTACTTGCAGAAAACGTAACATTGGAGATTGTACGTTTTCAAGGCATAATACTTTACAAATAGGCTCAGTACTTTTTACTTAATTTGTCCATGAAATAAACACATAATGATTTTACCAGTTGTTAAGAGTATTCATCATCACAAACATTGCATATCTTTTTTTTTTAAAGGTAAACTTCTCCAAGAATTAAAGCCCTAATGTAACTCTGATATAATGTATTTATTTATTTTGTGATTCTGTATCATTTCTTCTGCAAAGTTTCACAACTCAACAATCTGTATGTTCTCATGTTAAATTCTGTGTTTTTGTGTATGTTTTCTTCCTTGAAATGAACTGGTATATTGGCAGCACCTCACATCTTAGTAAGCTGCAGTATTTTAGGCTTTTGGGGGAATCGTGAATACTGGTTGTGTGATTGGGACACAATTCTGTGAAGTTGTATGGTGTCTGAAGCTGTTTCTGTTACTAATTTCTTTTACATTTTCATACATATTTTTAAAATGAAATATGTTCAAGAACAGAGGAACTTGCTACGGTTGTTGTTTTATTCTTAAATACTGTGAGGATGGAGGGAGATGGCATATTTAAAAATGTCATTGATCTTACAACATTAAGTTTCATAAAACAGGATTTACTGTAAGTCACTCTGCACTCACTTTCGATGTAAAATTCAATGTTAAATATTTCTATATGTCTATGCTTGTATGGCCTTTGATGATTGTTGTTTTATGGTAATATGGTTTGTTTCCAGTTATCTTTATTAAAGAAAACGTTTATGACAAGAAACCGGAATTCATCTTCATTACAAGCCTTTCACCATATACACAATAATATAAGGAAAAATCTATACACATATTATTCAATTTTATTTTTTATTAATCCATTTCAGAAAAAACAAATAGCTTTTTACATTGCAATAAATTGCTGCCCAATGTAGATATTAGTTTAGTAGTTTACGGGGTGTTCCTGAACGCGCCACCATCAAACTGCTGGCACTCCGGTCTGCGCATGCTCGTCTTGAGATATGAATAACTCCAGCGAATGTTTAGAAAGGTGAGTAAGACGATAATATCTGACCTCAGTCTCGAAAAACAAACATTACTAGCGTGAGCTCATAACTTATTGTGGACGTAGAAAAGTAACAGCGACTCATTTTAATCGTTAAATGAGAACAGCGGGTCGCTATTATTTTTGTTTACGTACAGTTGTTTGTTTGTTTTCCTACGCTCGTGGCTTTTGACGTTTCGTGTTGACAGAAACTCCGGCGTGTGTCACCGATATGTTCTTCCTTCTTGTCACATGTGAAGACAGCGTTTTTCCATAGACGAAATGGGATTTACCGGCACGGCGGAAGTGTCGCGGGACCGAACGTCTCGCTCCACCTGTTGAACCCGCTCGCACATTTGGACGCGCTCATTTCTTATTTTTTCATGGAGACTGTTGGGAAGTTTGAGTTCAACAGGAAAGACCTGATTGGACACGGGGCCTTCGCAGTTGTGTTCAAAGGCAGACATAAAGAGGTAACTTATACATCCGAGAACGAATCGGTCTTTGCCGTCGGTGATGCACGTGAGACTGGTGTGTGTTTTATATCCCACTCCTATTTTGCTCTTCAAGAAACGTGACTGGGTAGTTGCTGTGAAATGCATCAACAAGAAAAATTTGGCCAAATCGCAGTCGCTGCTTGGTAAAGAAATAAAAATCCTGAAGGTACTAAGATAAGATTAATGTTGCCACACATTCTGTGTCATTCTCTCTTTGTCACCTTTTGAACTAAAATGTTTTTTCCCCCCTCTCCAGGAACTCAAACATGAAAACATTGTCAGACTTCTTGACTACCAGGTAAATAAGAGTTTGTCTTCTCCCCCCCCCCCCCTCTCTGCTCTCACACACTTTATAACCACCTCTTCAAACAAAGGATCCTAAAAGATTCATAGCAGCTTTATTAGCAGGATATTGATCTCCCACCACGTCCCGACGTACGACTAAGTGAACCTCCTTGAACTGCATCACAGCCAACTAACCGTTCGCTCTGACGTGCGTCTGCACGCGCTTACCTCTTCTCACCTTACTGACACCTGGCAGACACCAGGGCAGGAGCGAGCTGATCTCTCTCCATTCCTGACAGATGGCAGGGCGCAGCCGGTTAGACAATAGCTTATTAAACGCAGAATGTAAGCGGCGTCCCACAGCCGACGCGCACCAGCCTGCGAGGGCCGGGGTTTTGAATGACATTCTAGATCGGGCTACGGGAGGGTTTTGTTGACAGCAGAGTGTGAGGTTACCTGCCGTGCAGCGCTGTGCATTTCGGGGGTTTCACTCAAACACACAGAGGCGCTTTAACAAGGCGGCTACGGTTTCGGACCCCTGGGTCAGCCATTGTAAGCAGGCGCAACCTTTCTGACAGTGCTTCCGGTGACAGGCCGAAAAGAGTCAAGTCAGTCTTAAGAAATGTGTCTGTGTCACTTTTGGCATTTCGGCAACACACACACAACTGCCAAGATGATGATTGATTGATTGTCGGAGTGGGTCCTAATTCCCCATATCTCGACATTAAACAGATAATATGTAAAGTTGTCATTTGTGCACTGTAGTGAAGTAACTATAGCTTTTTGAAAATAATAAAATTCCATCTGGTTTATCAACAGGAAATGGGAGGGTGTGTGTATCTCGTAATGGAGGTGAGTTTTGTTTGAAATGCCGATGTCCGGTCTTTGACAGGAGAAACGCAAATCACTACACATTGCGGCATTGTCAAAGCACCTAATGCAACTTGCCTGTCTCATCTTTTCAGTACTGCAATGGAGGCGACCTGGCAGAGTACCTTCACTGTAAGTTGGCTACGTGCCGCAGTTATAAACACAGCTCTCATGTCACTACAGTAAGGTTTTTTCTTTGATTTGAGATTGGGACATTCACACCAGTCCTCAGTGTTGCGAAAGTGAAGTTATTCTCCCCAACAAACAACTTAGATGCCAGTACAAAACTAAGCAAATTAAACCCCAGCTTTTGAGTTTGTTGGCTTTAAGAGGACCTCGGTTGAATGAATTTCATCATGGTTCAATGTAATGAAAACTGTTTTTCATTGGACTCTGACAACGTCCCATTTTAAACCCTGCATCAAAATATGATGACGCAGCTGCAGGGCATGGAGTCAATTTTTTTTTCTCAGGCCTAATTTACCCCAGCGGTGTCTGTTTAACTGTAGATCGTCGGTCTAATTCTGTCACTTCGCCCGCGTCTCTTATTTGGAAGACCTGCCCATTCTGCGTCCCTGGCCAAGGCGGCACATCCAGCTATTTGCAGCACAACAGTCAGTCAACTCTTGGCAAGGTTCACGGAGCACCCACATGACCTCACCCATCTGCCGCTCACTTATCCCCTGTGCTTCGGTGGAAAAACACTGCAGCTAGAAATACTGAGAAGTGTCCTGGGAAGGTAGTGAGTATGCGAGCATGTCAGACGGCCCTGACATTAATACCCACAACAAGCCCTGTCGTAAACAAAATTCTGTTCCACAAAGTTCCACAGCATTGACGCGCGGATGTGATGAGATTTTTTGCATATTCAACTTACATTATATTACAGTTTTGCGTGAATGTTCGTGAATGTACGTGAATTCACGCAAAAACGTAAATGTTGAAAAATGTGAACGTTGTAACCAAAAAAGAAAAAATTGTTTTGTAAGATCAATGGCTGAAACAAACAATTTGTATCATTATTAACCTTTCATAATTAATAATTTCCATTACAATTTATTGAAGCTGTAGCTGACATAATTACTTACATTACATTTTGTCAACAAATGTCCTGAATCCATCCTTTTAACCCTGTTTACTAGCTGTCCTTTATGCTTGTTACCAACACAACTTTATTAAATCTTTTAATCGAACACATTTCAAGTTTTGTGTTTTAATATAATATGTATTACACCAGGCTGAATGAACAGCGCTTAAGTGGGGGGGGATACTGGGAAGAAATGCTGACTTTGTTTGTTTGTTTTTCTCACCTCCACTTCTCCACCTGCATTTAAACACCAAGTTATGATGCCTCTACTAACTGCCATGGTGACTTCCTCCGTGACCATCTTTTGATTTTATCCCTCTGAAAACAGCTAAGGGTACGTTGAGGGAGGACACCATCCGCGTATTCCTGCAGCAAATCGGCCAGGCCATGAAGGTCTTGCAGAGCAAAGACATCCTCCACAGAGACCTCAAACCTCAGAACATCTTGCTCTGCCACCCAGAGGGCCGCAGGTCCAGCCCCATCAATACCTCCATTAAGATAGGTATGACGTCACTCAGCAGAGTATTAAAAGAAGTGAATACATCCATAGGAATGTGTTAGTAAAGTTCTTACTGAACGTACCCACGGTACTCTCTGTCCCTCACCTTGTTTACCCGCCTTCCAGCTGACTTTGGCTTTGCTCGTCATCTCCAGACCAACACTATGGCAGCCACGCTGTGTGGCTCACCCATGTACATGGTGAGTATTGTGAGATTCGTGCACCCAATGAGTGTAATGTCACCGCGTCTCTAAGCTGTGTTTGTTTTTTGGACACAGGCACCGGAGGTCATCATGTCCCAGAACTATGATGCAAAGGCCGATCTGTGGAGCATAGGTACCATCGTGTACCAGTGCCTGACTGGAAAGGCTCCGTTTCACGTGAGTGCACGTACCCATGCCGGTACAAAAACTGTCCCATCGCTCTTTTTAGGGGTTTTGGTAAATAGATTTCGAAAATTCACCAACACGTGTTTGCTTGAGTCCCTTAAATGATCACGAAACAAGATCCATGTGTTTCGACAACACAGAAAAACAGATTCTCCATTATGAGACCATTAAGCACCAGCTGTCTACTGGGGACACTATCTCTGATCTCCAGTGTTAATAGTTGGAAAATGCTGTAATGGTTTGGTTACTTGTTAGGAAAGCACCTTGTGTACAGATGAGGGCAATGCAGAAATGGCTGTGCGCCATTTCCCCTCGACCCAAAGCAAATATTGTTTCGCAACCTCGGTATTACTTTCTGCTGTTCACATGACTGCTCAGGTGACACAGTTGCTCTGTTGTTTGTATATTTCACAGACCCTCCCACATATGATGGGTCGTTTATGTATCCAGTTAAATAAGAACAAACACTTGACCCTTTTGTACATTTGAGGTTATTCATGTTGCAGTTCCTTGAAAGCATTTTCCTTGAGAATGATGGGGAGGCCGAGTCATATTTCTGCCTTTGTAGGTCCCTGAGTTGAGATAAGCCAAGGGTTCATGGTGAGGTTACGTGCTGCTGCTCACGATGATGATGATGATTGTGTTTACTTAGCTGGCTTCCCTGGCATCGCCAAGCATTCCGTTTTGCCCTTGGTGGGATCTTCAAACTGCCACATAGTCAAAAGCTCCAGGATCCAGATGCATTCATTTGCATGTTGTTGGTTTGCATATCAACGGTAATTTTGACGTGTAACTTGTGTGTGTAGGCCAGCACACCGCAGGAGCTCCGTCTGTTTTATGAAAGCAACAGGACCCTCTTACCCAAGTGAGTCGGCGACACAATGCAAACACACCTATGTACTGTACACAATACACACAATAATATGATAAGAGGAATCTATAAACGACATTACAGTGAAAGCTGTCTTCTCTGCACTCAGTTCGCTGATGAATGACTGTGTGTGTGGATGATCTGTGCACACGGTATGCTTTTCCCTCGATGAAACCCTTAACACCATTTAAAAATAGTCCTTATGTGGAAGAAATGTGTACGGACACCTGACGGGACCAATCCTCTTGAACTTTGAATATCTAACAAAGGTATGGTGCTAATTCTAGTGTCTCTATATCTGCCTTAATATGAGTTCACAAATGCCTTCACAATTATCTCTCTTGGCTATTTGAAGTCATTTTGAACACTTATGCCGTGAATCCCAGAAAGCGTTCACAGGGGTTGTTTTCTCACTGTTTCCATGGTGTCTGTTTGCCTCGTGGCCATGCTTATCTTTTGCAGTGATAAAGTTGCGTGATAAGATGCAGTATGTGGCCTCATGGTTTTCTTGTCATTCTATATATAACCCGCTCCAAGTCGGCAGCTATTAACCTGTACGACTATCATTTTCCACATGACCCACATAGCTCCATGCAGATTTAAACACACACACACCCACACACACTCTGTTCTGATGCCCAGAAACTTTGAATTGATGCCACATATTCGATTATATATTTACACATTTTACAGATCACTCTGAATTTATGAAACTATTATTATTATTTATTTTTTGGAACATATATATTGAAAGCACAGTGACAACATTGAGTAGGCAAGTGCAAAATATTATAATAAACAGATAAATATAATATAAAAATGAAGGCCACACATACAACACAGTGTATGAAGAAATTAATATCCAAACAAGATTTGCTCTCTTTTCCCAGCATCCCAAAGGAGACTTCTCCTAACCTAAGACACTTAGTGTTGGGTCTGCTGCAAAGAAACCACAAAGAAAGGTTTGGCTTTGGTGAGACTCTTCTCTTCATAATTCAGAAACTCTTCTCATCATTACCTTTCTAAAAAGCCTGTCTTATGTATTAATCTTTACATTTGCAGATGAGTTTTTCCACCATCCTTTTTTGGAAGCAAGCTCATCCTCAAAGAAATGTATGGACTATATCTTGCTTGTCTCTTCAGAATCAATGAAGGTGCTGTCGCCGGGGTCCTAACACAAGCACATCTATGTTTGTCTGTTGACAGGTTCCCCTCCTGCCGTGATCTCTTTACCCGGGTCAAGCTCAGTCAGTTCCTCCAGCGGCTCCTCCACATCCTACCTGACCTCCCCTCAAGTGCGTACACCTCTCTCCACTGTCAAAGATGTGACATGTAAATCTGCTAATGGTGAATGTGTGTCCCTGTAATATATTGTACCTGTATTTAATATAACAGTTATTTATATTTTTACACTCTCCTAGCATTCCGACGGAGAAATGCACCAACTTCAGCCCAAAGCACAGTATTCGCCTACCCAGAACCCACACGGCTTCCTGCTAAAAGAAAAAGCCAATCAAGACAGTAAGAGCACCTCGTCATACTCAGAGGACTATGTCATGGTGCAAACTCAGTTTCCAAGTGAGACATCCCTCTTTAGACATCTGGATTATTGTGTTAGTCGTGGTTTTCAGCACAAGGAGTCTTGACTATTTTTATTTTACTACTTTGTAGGTGGGTGCACATGTGAGTTGGAAGTTGGGTCCCCGATTGACAGTTGCCTGATATACAGTGGGTAGGTAGTCACTCCGAGGGGTGCACAATACTCAGTTAATCAGCAATTATGGTTGAGAAAATGATTTAATTATTATGTTGACAGCATCAAATTTGACCTCACACTAGCAAACTATGTTTATGATAGAGATGTGAATAATTTATCCTAAATAGTCTATTTAAGGATTATTGTTATGGAACTATTTTTGAAAAATAAATAAATAGTTCATTTCTTTGGTATAAACTGTGAGGATGTAAGAAGCAGATATCTATCTAATTGTAGACATGTTTAAATGTAGAATAGAATAATTTCTTGTAAGTGAATGTACGTCAGCTATATAATTTATTGTGCAGATTGAGCTAACCGATATATCTCTTTAGAAGCTCACCACTGGCTGAGAGATGTCTCAGGAATGCAGGAAAGACGCCTCCACCCTCACCCCTGCTGCACCCTCGCTCCAAGCCCATTAGGTAAGACCAGGCCAGCCAGCTTCACATGTTGGTGGCTTGCAGATGAGTGTTCAGATGAGGGAGCTTGAACCCAACTGCGTTACTTTTCATGTAAATTCCAATTTCAGAAATGACAGGTGAGGAACGCTGCATCCACTGTTATTTTCATCAATCTAACATCACAGCTTTCTTGTTTCCTCTGTCATCAATACAGCAAGCCTGTTGCAATTGTTGGCCGTAAGTGCATCTCCTCGGCGCCTATTCCTGTCCCGACTCAGATCCAAAACTACCAGCGTATGGCACAGAACCTGCAATCCGTCGGCCTGCATGGCTCCACCAGGTACGTACAGCCGCTCGGTTGTATTATCTCGACACCCACCTCGGTGTCCTGGTGCCTCCCTCTCACCATGTTTCTCGTCATTCAGGGTCACACTCTGCTGTGCTGGCAGCAGTTCCCCACAACAGGGAGGCTCTCCAGGATTCATCCTCGACTCCCTACGGCTGGCAAGTGTAGGAGCCCGACCACAACAGTCCTCCCCGCTAGGTAGGCATCCCGATCGGCTTTTGTTTCATTCATTTAGAGAGTGTTTCTCAAGCACAGCTCTTTTACAGCCACTTTTGAGGTCCCACTCCGACAGAATTATAGGCCCATTTGGGGGTTCACTAAATATTCCACCATCTCTTAACATGTCATGATTATTTTCTCTGTACCCACTTTTCCTTCTGCCGATCTGCCTTATAATACTCTAGCCGGAATGACTCCAAACACCACGGAGCAGACTTCCCCGCACGGCACAAGAACCGGACTGCTCGCTGGCTTTCCAGACAGGAAGGACACCCCCAGTCCCAAGGTGGGCTTACAACCTGTCAGATGTGTGGATGTGTGCAGTTTTGTTTCTCCCTCAATACAGCCGAAGTCACTCCTTCTGTGCACTTTCTATGTAGCAAATTCAATAATTATGATTTTTGAACATCATCATTTGGCTTTTCAACAGGTTCAATCGAGAATGCCAAACCGAATCAGGACAGTTCTTGACCTGCAATCCCTTGAACCTTCTCCTGCTTCCCAGACCAACCGCAGCTCGAAGTCCCTCAATAAGAACGGCCCTTTCAGAAGATCTGAACAGTACAATATTGTTATATTTCACAAATATCACAATTACAGTTATCTGACAATGTAACCTGCAAAATCATATGATGTGTAGGTGTTCATGTCACTAATCAACATCAAATTGAGACATTCAGCCTTAAGGCACCTCAATTACGCAGTACAAAAGAAGCCATCTGATGAATAACTTAAGGCTCTCGATGGTGTGTGTGGCTGTATTTGACGTCCAGATCACTGAGCACAGGCAGGCTGTCCGACATGCTACTGAAGGCAACCTTTGGAGCTCACCTTGTTGGAGAGGATAGCGACGAGAGCCTCAACTCTGAGAAAAGCATGGATATAACAGGTACCGTTGCAACAAATAGGAACACTAATGTTTTCTAATGACACGGTTTATCTTTATTAAGTGTTTAAGACTATGCAGCTGCTGTTGTAGATTAGGATCGACATTTCATAGCGTGACTGGTTAACCAATCCTTTAAATTAATGTAAAGGGAAGGGAAAACCGATCCCTCTTGTGAAATAAAAATACACATCATGCAAAGCCTGTATTTTGATGTATCTCCCGCTATGACCATGACCATGCCATTTACTAGGGGTGGGCTGGGTGGGAGACAATTTACAAGGAGGTCATTAGGATGAACTATTAAACTCATCTTATCTACTCCTACAGCCCCACCTACTGGTCGTCAAAGAGGCTTTCTGTACTCAGACAGCCCTCCTCCAGCAATCTTCACCCTGGGTCTTCAATCCAGAGAAAACACTCCCCCTGATACCACAGGGCCCAGAATGTCAGGTAAGTGTTCACGGGTGATTTAATGAGGTTGTATTTTTGTTATGTCTGGCTTTTTGTAGTTTATGGTTCACTAAGAGCATAAATTAGATAAAATGTAGATTTCCAATTGAAATAATCTTAAGCAAAACACAACCACTGACCAGACAACATTTGATATATGAATTATTTGAACGTTGGGATGGTACAAGAATGGTGGTACTGGGATTGTTCATTCTTTTTAGTAGTCAGTCTGCTGGTCCCCTGGTGTAAGTGCCACGTGCACGCTTTTTCAGGCGGCGCCCCCTGTTATAATGGTAGGGGAAACCCTGTACATTTCTGCTGTTGATGGTTCATCCGTACATGTCTTGTTGTTAATTTCAGGCTCCCCCAGCTACATTAACTCAGCCTGGCTACTGAACAGTCGGCTTCTCCAGGGAGGAAGCCGTAGAAACAGTGAGAGTGAAGCCATGGACTCTACTCAACACAGCAGTCTGGTCTTCCACCCTCCAGATCTCCCAGAAGAAACCCTGATGGAGGTACAGACTAATACTATGATGATACTTTGAGTTAAACCCTCTAAGTAGTTTGGAAATTACAGACATTTGCAGATGAATATTAAACAGTTTCAAATTCACAGTATTTGTTGTCTTCACAGCAGGCTCACACAGATGAGCTTAATGAGCTGCGATTCACGTTGGCTTTTGTCCTCTGTGTCACGGAATTGGCTTCGTCAAAGTGCTCGATGCCGGAGGCTGTCAGCAGTCCCGATGTTTCCTTTCTAGAGCAGAGTTTGGTGACGGATCAGATCAGCCTCCTGAGTAGAGAATGGAGGTGAGAGGCGTATTACTTTTTCTCAACATGTACAATAGCTCCCATTCCTCCCGAATCTGCTTGTAGATGACTGCTGTTTTCTTACGTGTGTATTTCAGCTATGCAGAGCAGTTAGTGTTGTACATGAAGGCCGAAGAGTTTTTGTCATCAGCACTGCACACTGCTAAAGAGACTATCAAGCAAGGCCGACTGCTTCCCTCTGCAACAGTCAAGCAAGGTGAGACCATTGACCTCTTTTTTTGGAATCAAGCTCTCTACTTTTGTAGACTTAGAAGTATGTATGTATTTTTGTAGAGCTTTCTGGATAAAAAAATGAAAGCAATACCATTTCAAAGCAAGCATTTCCGGTTGAAGCGTGATAACATATTATTTTTAAGGATAATGACATGTCTCTGCATACTGTATTTTCTTTTTGCAGTGATAAGGAAGCTGAATGAATTGTACAAGAGCTGTGTAACATACTGTCGCACTCTCAACCATCGCCTGCAGACATTCTTGCTTGACAAACAAAAGCTTATGGACCGCTTCAATGGCCTCACAGCCGAGAAGCTCATCTACAGCCACACTGTAGAAATGGTGCGTTTACCTCACAGCCGGGGCGATGTTGATATTCAGATTATTTTCAGTAATCATCTTTATCTTGGCCTTAATGTGACTGTTACTGCATTCAGGTTCAGTGTGCTGCCCTAGATGAGATGTTTCACTATGGCACAGCATCAGTCCAGCGTTACCACAAAGCCCTTTTGCTGATGGAGGGTCTGTCCCGAATCATCACTGAGGAGAAGGACATTGACAGCATAGAGAAATGTATATGGCCGCACTATGACACATAAACCACCAGGTCTTGACTTGATTTTTTTCTAATCTGAATTTTTCAATATATCTGTTCTCAGGTAAGCAGTGTATCGAGCGGCGCCTTTCTGCTCTGCAGTCTTAGCAGTAGCCATGCGCTCTACAACTGCGGCCACACGACTGCTTTTATATTGTCTCATTCATTTGCCCTAAATGAAGATGGATCCTCCTATACTGTCAATACACATACACGTGCACTTTGATCTGTCTTAAGGGAAATGACCACTGGAGCATCTGCTCTTATCCCACCAGCCAGTCTGCGATCTTTAGATAATTGCACAAAAAGACTGAAAGTCCTGTTTTGGACAAGTTCTAGAGGACAGCTTGTGTCATGATTGTTTTTTGATCAAGTAAATTGTTCAGAGTGTTTGTTCTGTTCTGTTGCAGAAGAAATATGTTAGTGTGTTATTTAGTTTTTTGCACATAGAATTATCATATTAGATAATACTGATGTTAAATGTATTGTACTTGAAACCAATGTTGTTTTTCTGTTTTCTGTATTTGAAGGGTTGGTGTTAAGTGTAACGCAGAAGTTCACTGGCCATCAGGAGTCTGATTATTTTGGATGAGATGACCAAAAAGTGTACCAGTAATATTAAAACTGTGCCTGTTTTTTATTACATTTTGCATCCCACCAGAGTAGTGGATTTAAAGGTAATGAAAGTATGTCTTGACCTCATACAGAACAATTGTCTTCCAGTCATGTGGACTTACATCATAGACTGCAATTACTATATTTTGATATTTTTGTTTAACTGATCCAACAATGTCGGTGGTAATGTACTCAATTATGTATTTTAAGCAACGATAACTGCATACAACGTTGCTTTATCTGCTGTTTCGTTGTGTGTTTTAGTTATTATCCCCAGCTGCTTGGATTAATAAAAAAATAATGTTAATTTTTTTATTAATTTGTGTATAATTTTGTGACAGACTAGATTATAAAACTACTTCTTCAATATTTTCTGAAAAGGTTGATGTTGAAATGAGTTTGTTAGAATTTATCAAATGGTCTTTTTTTACTTGTTTTTATGAGTGCCAGTCAACTTTGCAAAAAATGAATTGTTACGCACAGTGTGAAAAAAATAAATATTTATTGTTGAAACTTTGGATTATTTTCAAGTCTTCTTTACTTTGCATTTATGCTTAGATACCATGTATTAGCTTTTTTTTACGTTCTCCAAATTTCTATTCTCCAAAATATTTTTTCAATAATAATCACCTTGTAAGGGAGAAACCTCAATACCCCCCCAAAAAACGGATTTTCCTTCAATGTGTCCACTTCCTCGAGACAGATCTACATCCGGGTTACACAAAAGGTTCCTGCCGTCGCCATGTTGGTGAATGAAATTAGCTCCAAAACATTGAATAGCCGCTAGCAATATTGATATTTCATTTTCTTGCGGAATAACATTTGTTACAGCATGTGACTTATAGTAAATATGATTTAGGATTTATGAAACCTCTGCCAAAGTCCAATCTCCTGTAAGTAACACCGTTTCACTGATAAAATGTATTTATTCATTAAAAGCTGGCCTGCTAGCAATAACAAGCTAACATCGTTAGCATTGGCTAGCACGCCTCCCGTAGCAAGAGTCATTGTAATTAATGAAATGGCACAGACAGTCTTATTGCAGATGTTACAGTTTAGTATTTGTAATGCAATTTGAGTGTATTCATTACTCGGACCCGAGTCTATACCTAATCCTATGTATAATTGCGGGGTTCTATGTCTTATTGTAATGCTACTATCTTGCTACTATTAGCTAACGTTATGCCCCGAAACAAAATTGTTAGAGGGAGCGAACGTTAACGGCGTAATACATAATGCAAATTGTTATTAGTTACGTTACCCATCAACGACTGCTATGTGTAGCAGTTTTGTTGTAAATATAACGTTATTGCGGTGTATGGTGATTCACGTTAAACTATACCAATCCCAAGATGCCTGTAACGTTCATTTAGCTAACGTTAACGTTCCTACAATATGCCAACAGTAACAAACCGTCAACAAAATCTGTAAATATCACGTTATGTTTCTATGCAGGTTGTCTTTGGCTGATTATACACAACGGTAAACGAGGTCTACCCCATCACTTTCAATACAAGACAATTTATATCTGGAAATATAACGTTCGATACGTTGTCTGGCACACACGTAAAAGGTCATATGAGATATCCACACCAAAGTGTAAAGACGATACCAGCTACGTTATGGGTGAAATATGTCATTCAAAAATAACATGAACTGTTTGCTAGGTGAATTGTGAAGATAACAGCCCTTCTCTACTTAAGTAAAGCATTGCATAGCTGTACCCAATAATCACATTTTAATTTATGAAGATGTGGCACCTGTCAAGTGTGTAACCGTCAAGTGCCCTGACCCCCCCAGCTGCCCTCAATTTCTACTGTATATGTATTTAAATGCACGTGGGCCGCTATGTTTGGGTGTGTATTCAGGTTCACCAGTTTAATACTTGCTGTGGACCTTTTATATCCTGAATGAGTTAACTGTATGTTAAACAATTTGAGAAATAGTAAAAACAAAAATGAAACAGGAATGGTTCTAGAAGTATTATATAATATAATATAACAATATACACAGCAAATTAATAAAAATCAGTGTTGAATGTAAAATCAAATAAATGAATCAAAATACAACATTGCCACAACTACTCATTACACTGCAACACAGCCAACATTGACCCAATACATTCAGAGATTTCAAAGGTGATTACACGGGTGGTATAAACAGTGTGTCATAATCTGACATTTTGAAGAATGCATATCTTTATATCATATTTAAAGAGAACCCTATTTAAACTAGAATTTGTAGTTCAAATCTGAGCCCCAATTTGCATTTATTAAATTTATGTAACAATATAATCCTAATTCATGCCATTCCTGGATGAGTTACCAAACAAAGGCTGCTAAACACTGCTTCTTTGGGTCACATTTGATGGCTAAAATTTGACTTATTGTTGTTCTTTGCTGTGCCCTTTCCTTAGATTCTTGTTTGCAGACATAGTAGCAGTGTCACGCAATGCAACATGGAAGTGGATCACAGAATATGCAACGACAGCTTCAGAGATCCAAGTCTGTCAGTGGGGCTGAAGCAGAGGAACAACAGCAGCAGCCCACCATGGCAGTTACACAGCAAGTGACAGTTAACCACCCCCAATCTCCAGTGACCACATTTTCCTCCACTGCAAGCCCCTCAGCCCCCAGTCACCCAATATCAGATAATCATGAGTCGTAGCCCCGTCACTGGCCCGGAACATGACCATCACGTTACGAAATGTGGGACAGATGGTGGCTGGTAACCAGCAGATCACCCTGACCCCACTTCCCATCCAGAACCCAGCATCCCCTGGATTCCAGCATACTACACCTCAGTGGAGGTTTGAGCATGCTCCATCCTGTTACATCCAGGTCACCTCACCTGTGCCCCAGCCCATGCAGCCCCAAAGTCCCACCCAGCACAGCCCAGTCCCTTTGCAGGGTGTGACAAGGCCAGGAGCACCTGCAACAGCATTGGGTGTGTGTGGACAGAGTCCAACACGATTTGTTGAAGCCGGTATGATAGTGCGGCAAATCAGTTTAAGCAGTCCTTCGGGAAGTGGCCACTTTGTTTACCAGGAAGGGACAGGACTGGCCCAGATTGCCCCAGCCCCACCTGGCCAGATACAGCTGGCCTCTCCAGGAGTACCAGGCTCTGTGAGGGAACGCCGACTCTCTCAGCCTCACTCACAAACTGGAGGCACCATCCACCACCTAGGACCTCAAAGTCCTGTGACCACCAGTACTGCTCTACCCACTCTGGGCAGTCCTGGTCACATCACCACTTCCAACCTACCTCCACAGATCAGCAGTATCATTCAAGGGCAGCTGGCACGCCCTATGATATTTGAGAAGTCGCAGCAGGGTTTGGTGACTGGAGTAGGAACCACAGCCACCGCATCATTCAGTATCGCCTCCTCTATCACAACTTCTAGCACATCCCTCACCAGTCCACACCAAGGGATCGCCAATAATCCTCTTGCACCCAACAGCATGGCTGTGGCCAATCTGAAGAAACAGGTTTCTAAGAGGTTGGAGGAAATTGCTCCTTCTACTCCAGAGATTGCTCAGCTGAGAAAACTGTGCTTGGAGCACCACAGTAAGAAGATGGAGAGCCTGAAGGAAGTGTTCAAAGAATACCTTATTGAGCTTTTTTTTCTGCAGCACCTCCAAGGAAACATGATGGACTATGTCGCTTTTAAGAAGAAGCCGTGTGTTCCCTTGTATACTTACTTGAGACAGAATGACTTGGACCTTGAAGATGAAGAGGAAGAAGAAGAACAATCAGAGGTCATTAATGATGAGGTATTACATTGGCTGGTTCCTATTGTAAAATGAATTGGGAATATACAATTAGAAAACTGAATGTTTCATCGAATTAATTATTTCATTATTTAAATGTGTTTCTTTTCAGGTTAAAGTTGGTACTGGAAAGGATGGCCAAGCAGTGACACCAGTTGCCATAGCAACACAGCTTCCTCCCAATGTCTCTGCAGCTTTCTCAGTCCAGCAACCATATCAGGTGATAGACGCAACGCTTGTTTTAACACTTAAATAATTTTATTGTAATTTCCTAAACTCTGTTTAAAGTCTTTATTGTTAATTCCATGAGAGTTGTTTTTGCAGGGACACCTAGGGACTCCAGGCACAATGACAAACCCAGGGGACATGGATGCCTTTAAGAGGCAACAGGCTATGGTGCAAGCAGGTAGGGCAAGGATCGTAGACTCCTGTTTCTCTTATGTTGCTTCGTTTCTTCCCCGTTTGCTTTTTTTCTGTTTCGTTTCTTTTCTTTTCTCCCTCTAATTGCTTCTGCTTTTAGATATTTGGCTCCCTCTACTAGCGCTCTGTGTTGAAGTCTTAACCCGGGGAAGGAAAGGTGACCTGTAAGGTCTTCCGAAGGTCATTGCTCTGTGCAGAGTACTTTTTTTGCGTTATGAGGGTATTGTGTGTTTTAAATCCCAGATCAGGCTAAGAGGTCCCGGATTGACGTTGGTCGCCATGGGCTGATTTTCCAGCATCCTGGTGTAGCTCTAGGATCACCTGGCGTTCCACTGCAGCAGCTTATGCCAACTGCGCAAGGTAGGAGTGCTACAACCAGGCCGTCGTGTGTTCTTTTCGATGCGGCTGGATGGATCCCCTTACTCAAACTGAGGAGATTTAAAAAAGTGAATCACAACATTCCTCTTCTACAAACAAACTTCGGGCAGCATCAACAAACCGATCTTCATCCATCTGCAGTCTTCACGAAGTTCAGTCTTAGCTGTACCAACAGCAGCTCTTTCTATCAGGATAAATGGGAAAGAAGACAATTCCGAAGACGGGTAGCCACTCAATGGGAAGATGCCATGTCTTATGATTTCCCTTTTTTGTTTTTACTGTTGATCACCCGTCGTTATTCATCTCTTCTCTTCTGGAGTTTGTTAAGTCATCTTTATTTGGAAAGAACCTTCCCGCGCTGATGGATTTGAATTCCTTTTTGGAGGTGGATTACAGTGAGACGACATCTCTTTCAAATGGGTTTCGCTTGTTTTTCCATTTTGTGAATCCACGTGTCATTCTTCCTTTGGTTTTCCATTGTCATTCCTTACTCTCCGACTGTCCGTCCTTGCATCTTCATCAGGGATTCAAAGTCACCAAACACATACGATACATCTGCAAGAGTGTCTTTATTTCTCCCATGTTCACATTTCGTTGATGTCCTACCATGTTACTTCATGGCATTTTGTTCTGACTTGGCCTCTTTCCCTCAGTCTAAGTAGGAGGGGAATCATGTCGAGGAGTTGCGTTCACGGCACAGGTTTTTGCGATTGTGGTGGTGTGGGTGTGTCAGGGCCAGGTGTTGAAGGCGTCTAGGCCAGGTGGCGTGCAGGGAGGTAAGGCAGGTGCTGCTTTAGTGTGCACAGCTCCGCTCAGGCCCGCTGTCTGCAAGACCCCATGTGTGTCCTTTTGCTCACCTCTGCTTTGTTGCCATGTGAGTGATCCAGATGCCTTGGTAACTGCTAGAATGACATTGCTTCATGCATGCTAAACATATGTGTTTCTGTGAGTGTCTGCTCTATATTTTTATTCCCGCTTTCTTCTTCCTGTCTCTTTTCTATCAGAAGATTTTTTTCTTCATTTTCCTTTGTAACGTTTCTATTCTTCCTCTCTAAAACCTTTCTTATTGCATGTATAGTTTTTGATGTTTTAAAAAATATTCTCAACTTTTGAAATGCAATATTTTGATTTTGCTTTTATCAAATTAGTATTATGTAGATTGTCACATTGATTTTGTTTCTTCTGTAATCATTTTGCTGTATGACTTTCATTAGTTACCGCTCTGATCATCAGAAAACCGTACTACTGTTGATTTATACTGTACATCTAATTGAAGGTTCTGAGAAACTTTAAAATCCCTAAAGTTCAAACCCTCAATCAACACATTTAAGCACTCTCACTTTTATGAATGGAATCCCACAATGTAATGGCATTTAAACCAGTTGCATTCAAGCAACTGCCCCAAAAGACATTTGCAAAGCCCTTAGCTTACCTAAAATGACATGGTTGTCAACTTGATTTTTACTGCATTTCCTTGTGTTGTTGCTCTCTATACCACCCCCTTGTTTGTCCTATAATTGGGTTACTATGTGTACAGGCGGGATGCCGCCTACTCCTCAAGCGATCCAGATAGCGGGACAGAAGCCAAATCAGCAACAATATGACCCATCCCAGGGACCCCCAGTGCAGAATGCAGCCAGCCTGCACACCCCCCCTCCACTGCTCCCTGGTCGATTGCCCCAAGGCGCCCTTCCCATGGCTGGCCTGTCCATGACGCTCTCTCAGCAGGCTCAGTTGGTGGAGAACACAGCTCAGCCTGGTGGTCATCTCCAGGCACAAGTGAAGATGCAGACAGGTGGGCCGGTCATGGCCACAATAAACCCCCACACACAGCTCCAGGCCCAGCTGCAGCAGCAGCTGCAGCCGGGTCTTCATCTCCAGTTGCAGCCCCAGCAGCAACAATCCCAGGCCATACTACAGTCAGGGCAAGCGGTCAGTCCACCTGCTACCTTACACAAATACAGATTTCATGTGTTTTTAACTAACTGGTGATACTCCAAATTGACTTAATAAGAATATGGTTTTCCTTTTTTCGTTATAGACTGTTGCACTAGCTCGCCCTGGTACTGAATCAAACCAGCCAGTTCAGAGGATTATGACCAACTCAGTATCCATGTCTCCAGCTCCACTCTCTGTTCCCAATTCTGTTCCAACCTCACATACTGCAAGTCCGCTCCGCCCTCTCGGGTCCAACATCAACCCAAGCACCCAGTCCAAACTGACTGGAACCAATGGTATATCAGCAGTCAAGATTGGTGGCTTTAGTCAGAGTGCCACCATGCAGTCCTCACAGGAGGGTTCCCAAGATAAACAAGTTGAGCAGGCCAAGCTGGTGAGTTCCTAAAGCACGCTTAGCCTGCAAACGGAAAGTAGTACTTCAATCTTTGCACTGTCTGCCCGTTTTTAATAAAAGCAAAAATGTATATTTTTAATGTTATCATAGTAACTTCTAATATCATTTGATGAGTAAAAATAATTGGTATGAAGTCATTGATAATGTTGCATGATGTCTGTTTGAACTGTTTTTCTTCCGCATTGTGTTGAATTTGAGAATTCTCATTGAGGTTTTTTATTTGGGAGCACCTAATGAGGCAGAATTTAATGTGTTTCCTCTGTTAACAGCTTTGGGGAGGGGCTGCTGCATTATATTGGGATGTTGGGAATCTACTATAATATAGGGGAAAACACTGATATATTTCAATAATATTCTAATGTCAAATACGGTTACTATTTTCCAGGAGAGTCAAGTGCATCAGCGCATTTCTGAGCTGAGGAAGGAGGGCCAGTGGTCAGCCAGTAGGCTCCCGAAGCTCGTGGAAGCCTCACGTCCAAAGTCCCACTGGGATTATCTCCTGGAAGAAATGCAGTGGATGGCAGCCGACTTTGCCCAGGAGAGGAGATGGAAAGAGGCTGCTGCTAAGAAGGTAGGCCAGAGATGGAATAGTTCACAATGAGGAATGTAGAATTACACATCTGCACAAGTGCAAAAAACAGATGTTTTGTTGAAAGCTGAAATTGTCTCACGCGTTTCCTCTATAGCTTGTTCGCACGTGTTCCCGTTACCATCAAGAGCAAAAACAAAGTGAAGAGAGGTCGAAGAAGGAAAGGGAAATTCACCTTCGTCACATCGCCAGCACAATCGCCCGTGAGGTGGAATTCTTCTGGGCAAACATTGAGCAGGTATGTTTATTAAATTTCTAAATTGTAAATCGTTTTTACAGATAATTTCCCCACAATTCTAATGTTTTTTTTTTCAGGTTGTTGAAATTAAACTCCAGTTTGAAATTTATGAGAAGAGGCTCAAAGCACTCAGCTTACAAAAAGCCTCGGCCAAAGGTACAACATACTGAGCAGCTACCAAAACAAACACATATCCCTCATGTCATGAGCTTTATTTTCCATTCATTGATTTCGGTTCAAATCTCAACGGTCTTCAAGTGTCTTTTTATTACCAAGATTTTTGTAATGAATTTAAATGACTTGTATTTCAGTAGCTGATCAGTCAACAGGACTCAAAGCCGATAAGACGGTAGGTGCTGCACAGTCATACCAAATGTACATTTTCCATCTTATTATATTTTTTGATAGATTTTTTCTTCTTTTTTTTCTAGGATGTTGTGACCTCAACTAAAAAAAGGAAATCCAGTTCGTCCTTTGTCGATGAGCACGGTATTAAAATGATAGCAGGGTCTTTCAAGATGCCTTTTCTGTGCATAGTTTTTGGCAGCTGTTCATTTTGTGTCTTGTCATTTAGTCACAGATGAAGAAAGCACCATAGAAGAACAGGAGGCCATGGAGGGGGAAGCAGACCACAAAGCAGAGTTGGTTGACCTGGCTAAAGATGGTACACATTTACTTTACTTATTGCCACAGCCCACTTATGCACAGCATAATACATATTTAGGTTATCAGCAGAGTAGACTTTGTCTTTCTCATTTTTGTCATAGGTAAAGGTACACAGCAGACACCTGCACCGTTTCATTAATTATTTTAACACATTATGTTATATACATTTGTTTATAACCCTGCTATACGGTATTGGTAATTATATTGTACCATACTCAATGTAAAGAATAATAACTAATGAAATAATGAAAAATGAAATAATTCACTGCTTGGTTAAATATATCATTCAAATAGCAGAATACCTGCAATTGTGTCTTGCTTGCTCAAATGCGTTTTCATCTGGCTTTTAGCGGAGATGCCGCTTGATGCTTTAAAGAAGCAGTATGCTGGCGCCTACGTTGGAAGCTTTGAGTGGCCTCAGCCGAGTGACGAGGACGACGCGGTAGAGACTGAAGGTCAATTGAAAATAATTTTAAAAATCATGATCATCCACATGCCATTGTTTCATTGGTTTAGCATATGTGAATGATGGAAATGTGTGTAATGGTTGATATCCTTTCATTTATCCAGAAATGGAGTGTCCTACAGGCAGCTCAGCTGAGGCGGTGCTGATTGACTCGCTGCTTAGCGTGGACCAGCACCGTGGTGCTGATAAAGCCGCTTCCTCTGACTCTGATAAGAAGCCTGCTAGAGACATCGCTGAGGTGGCTGCTGCCACTGAGCTCATCCTGCCTAAGGGAAGCTTCAGGACCAATTCTTCTGTAAGACAGCCACACAAACACACACGCATAACCGAAAAAAAAGATTTACCATCTTTTAGAGACGTATCATTTTTTATTTTACCAGACCCGTAGCGCAGCTCCTATTCTCCTGCATGGGCTGCTGCGTGAGTACCAACAAATTGGTGTGGACTGGTTGGTAAATCTTCACAAGAAACACCTCAATGGCATCCTCGCTGATGAGACCGGCCTTGGCAAGACTGTACAGACAGTGGCGTACATGGCGCAATTAGCTGGTCAAGAGGGTATGCATCAATTTAAAAAAAATATTTTCATTATCTTTGCTTATTAATAGGAATTCCATCACACCATGGTGTATTCTGGGTTTGTTCATAGGTATCTGGGGACCCCACCTTATTGTAGTAAGGACCTGCAAGTTGCTAAATTGGGAGGTGGAGTTCAAGCGCTGGTGTCCTGGGCTGAAGATCCTCTTGTACCTCGGCAACAGAAGGGAGCGTCGATCTAAGAGAAAGGTAGGTTCTGCTGTATTTGAACACATGTTGGAAACAATACAAAAGGCCCTTCTTTTGAACAAACCACTCTAAATGTGCTAAGAAATCATCACCTCTCTCTACAGTGGTGGGGGGAAGCCAACAGCTTCCATGTATGTGTGACGTCCTACAAGCTGCTGATGAAAGACCAGAGCCATTTTGTGAGGAGAAGGTGGAGGCACCTGGTCCTCGACGAGGTGCAGCTCATCAAACACATGACTGAGAAACACTGGGAAACCATCTTTGCTCTCAGAAGGTGAGTAGGTTGATAAATGTGGTGTCTATTCCAGTTTCTTAAAAACCCGGGTTGTTTTTATTCAGATTTGTAATTCATTTGTAATCTGTAATGTGGATAACAGTTTCTTTATGGTTTGCTCAATGAGGATGGCACTAAGAACCTGTAACCATATGTGCAGGAAGTTTTGTGTGAATTATTAGACTGATGTGATTTTTTTCCTTGTATTTTTTTGTGAAATCACTTAAAACATTTCTGTGCATCCTGCAGTGAGCAGAGGATTCTCCTCATCAACACTCCTCTACAGAATACCCTGAAGGAATTGTGGACCATGATCCACTTCCTTTTGCCAGGAATCACCAGGTCATACTCTGACTTCCCTGTTAAGGCCGGTACCGACCAGAACCAGGACTACTGCCACAAACTGGTCATTCGTCTGCACAGGGTGGGTATAAGCGGCTGTGAAGCACCTCTGCGTATTCAAAAATGTGACTAATTTGGCCCCACCTCCAATCCTTGCATATTGAATATGCTTTCTCCTAACTGTAGATGATCCAGCCTTTTATCCTGAGACGCTCCAAAAGGGACGTGGAGAAACAACTGCCCAAGAAGTACGAGCATATTCTGAAATGCCGTCTCTCGAGCAGACAGAAAAACCTGTACGAAGATATCCTCACTCAACCAGGGTGAGATATTTGCTCCACGTGGATAGTTGTGTTGCGATATCAGTAAGGCATCCATGACCCTAGGAAAAAACCTTTTAGAGGAATAAACGGGAAATGGCTTTGATCATCGGTAGAATTCTAACATACCGTAAATCAGATCACATCACTTAGTTCAATCTTATGTGGCCCTAGAACTGTAGTCGCATTATTTTATCAAACTTTTCTTCTGTAATAAAAACTAATTGAAATGCAATTTAAAAAAAATTGTTCTGAATGGTTTGGATCTTGCAACTGGTACAAACATCATTTAAGATTAGCTTCAGCACATTAGCTTTTAATAATGGTTCTTTATTGTCTTTCCTGTTTGGAAAAAATATGAACGATACATTTGAATTTGTCAATATGTTGTGTATTATGTATTGCAATAATGGTTGCATTTTCTCTTGTTTGGAACCGTTCCTGACTGTGTCGCCTCTCTGGATGTGCTTCCCTAGATCTCAGAAGGCGCTGAAGACGGGTCACTTTGTCAGTGTGCTTCAGGTGTTGATGCAGTTACAGCGAGTCTGTAACCACCCAGAGCTGGTGGCCCCCAGGGAGACCAGCAGCTCCTTCTTCTGCTCCTCTCTGCAATACAACGTCCCATCGCTGGTGCTGGGAGCTCTTCAGAGGGACTCGAGCAAAGTACACCCGTTTTCTTTGTCTTTTCTAATGTGCACCCAAATATGTACTGAAAAATGTTCAAATCATTTCTCAATGAGGAATCGGGTGTTGTTAAAAATACCATGGGACAGACGGTGAGCTGTATTAGGAAATCAATTTGGGCTCTGACAACTTGTGATTTCATTGTTGTTTGACTTTTTAAGGTTGAAATTATAATGTAAGAGGTTGATTGATGGTTAACGATAAAAAAAAATTTCTTTGCCTTGCCATACATTTTTTTATTACTTTATTTTGAGCCCTGGACATATGTTTAATATTAATTTCTAATGTGATGTATAAGTATTTGACAATGCATATATAATGATTGATCTGCACTCATCCGCCTCTGCTATTGTCTTTTTATCTACTTATCCTCCTAGATTGCAAACATGTCCATATTTGATCTGATCAATAACGAGAACAGTCTGACTCGGTATCAGACCGAAAAGGCGGTACCCAAACTAAAGATCACCCAGCAGCTCATAGAGGAGATCCACTCCAGTCCAGAACCATCCCCACGACCCAAACCATGCCCGATAAAACCCTTGAGGTCAGCAAGAACATCTCCAATTACCTTGACATGGTTGAGGTCAACCTTCTGTTTGCTCTTAAATGTAGATCTGGCTTAAAACGTAATGTTATTATTCTTCCTCGTAGATTGTTCCAGCCAGTGCAGTACGGCACAAAGCCAGAAGGCCGCCTGGCTGCAATCACAAGTGTGGTAGGCCAGCGTCCTCCAACGAGCTCTCCTGTCACTAGCACCTCTGTTTCTACCACCAACCTGTCGGCTCAGGCCAGGGGCAAGTCCCCTGTCACCACATCAACAACCACCACAGCCACCTCTCACGGTAAGACCATTTCAGGAGCAAGACTCGGTTAAGGATTTAATTTGGTGTCCTGGAACATTAAACGTTAAAAGACAACTACACTACTTACTGACACCTTTACCTAATGTTCTAGATTTGACCTTCAACTATATGCTGAGTTATAACACCATATGCTTATATGCTGCATCAAATGTATTGCTTAAATGCGTAAAAAAGTATTTAGGCCAGGCTCAGAATGTCATATGTTGTTAAGGTTAGTTTTTGAAGTACATTTTAACATCATGTAGTGAGTCATGAGTCTGTGTCTATTTATGCACTCTTGTGGCGCCCTCATTGGCAAGTTCACATGTTCCCCAGGTGTTTATTTGTTTTGATTTATGTCTTTGCAGCAGTGTTGTGTTGACCTCATTGTTTTGAACTAATGGCATCACAGCCAGAATATGAGATGGTAAACTTGGGTAAAGAGCTGCAGCCAAAAGGCTTTTACTGCGTTTCAGTTTGGGAGGTGGGGGCAGGAAATAGATCCTTCCTCCGGTAACACACCTCTCACATCTGGGAACATCGACTGACAATTCCCTATCGCAGCCCCTGAACGCAGCAGACATAACGTGTGTCTTGTTTACATGCTAACGACCAGTACAGGGTGGCTGAACTTGATCATGATATAAAAATTTGATATGAAAGTTTGTTCGGACTTTGATTGTTCAATAATCGCATTATATTCCTCTGAAACGGATCAAATCACAAGGAACATTGTTCATTGCTAGGTAATCTTTTATTAATAACATTTGTCAGCAGTGGTTTATCTGTTAACCCCGTAACACTCAGTCCCATACCCCATTGCCTTGTGTTCCACAGCAGTTGGAACAGCCACTCAGAGAGCCCAGACTGCCCCTCCTGTCAGCAGCAGCAGCAACACTGCCTCTGGGAGCAGTGCTATTGGGCAGCATGTGTTGGGGGCCCCCTCCGTGGCCCTGGGCCAGACTTTAGCTAACACAGTGTTGGGATCTGTAGCTCCCACCAGCCAGCCTGCATTAGCACAAGTCCCAAGGCCAGCTCTGGCCCCCAGTCACGCCATCCAGCCCAGCGTACTGTCCCAGAGGCTGGTTCTTACTTCTCAGGCCCAGGCAAGGTTGCCTAGTAAGTGGCCTCCCCTCCCTCTGTGTTTCCCCTCCACCTCTGGCACATCAGTATGGGCTGCTCTACACTGAGGCCTTTACATGAGGCACTGCTGATATGTGTTCAGTTTTCTCTCCTCCAGAGAAATGGCTTTTTGTACGTAGACTTAAACTTGCAACGGTGGCAGCACTGGTGTGCTATTATAACTGATGGTGATTAAAAGATCCCCGTAACATTATTTCTGTAGCCATATCAGCAGCATCTCTACAGCCTCAGCATTCTCCAATTTCCTTCTCAATACCTGCATGTTCACTATAAACAACCCACTTATGTTATACCACACATGACTATACTATTTCACTTAATTATGATGTTGCCCCCCCCCCCCGCCCCCTCTTTTTTTATATTTTTTTTGTCGGTTTACTAATATTCCTTTGTCTCTTGCATCAGCCCAGCGGCGGGAAAAGCCTTGGTTGTTTAATGTTTTTCTTTGCTAATGTTATGGTTTCACCCTGATGTTGAGTCACTGCAAAGCATGTGGATAAAGTCCCAGAAATTGCTGACCCTTTCCCCCTCAAACGTGAACAGAGAATCCATTTCAGTAACAGCACGCAGTGTTTCAATATAAAAATAACTAAAACATTGTTTTTTCAAAAATGTCAACTTTAGTGTATTGTAAGTGAAGTTGCTGAAACACTTTTACATATCCTTTTTGCTCAGCTGGAACATGATGTGGTCCTCTTTGAGAATAAATTAGTGTTAGATAAACTTATTGATTCATGCACATGCATTCCCCATGTTCACTAATTAACAATGGAATTGTTGGCAACAACTTTACATCCCCTGAAGGGAGGACAAACATGACGTTAACGTATATGTGAACAATTCAGAGCCTTGAAACAACCTGGTGTGTTGCTGTCACTATGAGTGATTGGTGCACGCAAATTGTTTTAGTACATTTCATTGATTCAAATGATGATCAATATGCTTGCATTGCTTTCTCTCAACACAACAATTTATATCCTTGATAAACATTTCAATATGTACTGTTAAACCCTTTTTTATTTACTAATGTCGTTGACTACTTTGTTGTTCCATAACATTGTCATTATACTGAGACATACAGGGATAGTCAGAGCTTTTCTAAATTCCTGTCACCTGTTTGACCTTCTTTGTCTGCCACTCTTTTATCTCAGTAGAAATATGAAACACATCATCATATAGCCAGAATACCTGACTTTTTTTAATTTAGCAAATGCTTAAAAACGTATTCTATTTTTTAAAGAGACAATGTATCCTGACTTTAAGTCTGAAATTGACTGACAAAGCATTCATGCCATGCTATTTACACACTATTATTTCCAACAATAAAGGGGTGTTATTTTCATCACGGAATGCTGTAAAACAATAATATCCATACGTTTACGTCATTGCAAAGTGCATCAGGTGCAGTGCTTTGTGTACGTGTATGTTTGAGGTTCTCTGTTTCACCTGAGGACTTTACAGCCCGTTTCTTTTTCCCATCAGGGATTGTAGTAGTGGGAGCTGCTATGGTTCTGTCGTGGAGGGCGACTGTGCTCGTTCCTCTGATTAATCCACCCCGTTTTTTGCATGTCTCTTTTTCACCCTAAACTAACTGATGCAGAGTACCTTGTTTTGTCACTGTTCCAATGTCCAAAAATCACGCCAAGCCTTTTTATCGTCGTCTCTGATAAAGTGTCAAGTGTAAAGTTTTCTTTGTTTCCAAAGGTGGAGATGTGGTAAAGATTGCCCAGCTGGCCAACATAGCAGGCAGTCAGAATCGCATCTCCCAGCCAGAGACTCCTGTCACTCTGCAGTTTCAGGGAAACAAGTTCACTTTGTCGCCAAGCCAGCTCCGCCAGCTCACCACCGGACAGCCCTTGCAGCTCCAAGGTACACTCGGTAATGTACACCCCATCGTCCCACTTTTATCTCTAAATAATTCCTTCCTTTGTGTCTACTTATTCTACTTCTCTGCATGTCCTCAAGGCATTGGAAGCGCTTAAGATGGGTACCATATGATTTCATTTAAACATGTCTTCGATACAGTTAAAGATGAACATGTTTTCTTTTTCTGCTCCTGTGTGCATATCTGCTCTGTAAATGCACCTGTCTGCATTCTCCATTGAAATTTTGTACTTTTCGGAATCGTGACAGCTTACACCTTCTAGTTTGGCATTAATTAAGAGTACCATTATGTATCTATTTATACAGCTGAGATCTTAATTGGATTCAGCCACATGTAGCATATAACAGTCCACTACACATCAAGTACACTCCTTTCGTGTCATTTAAAAAAAATTGCGTCATAAGGAATTTAAACGACAGCAAAGAAGTCATTCTGGATGATGTTTACATCAAGAATTCAACTTAAACGATGCCTGAGCATCATCATATAAAAAATTCCCCCTGCACTATTTTTTCTGCCTTAAAGTGACTGTTTTTATTTATTTTTATTTTAATGGCCAAGTGGGTCTTAACAGCCCCTGTAGGTTTTGAGAAGGCACCCCTATATTTATCGCGTGTGTGTCATGGGATTTAGGCAACATCCTGCAGATTGTGTCAGCTCCGGGGCAGCAGATCATCAGACCACAGGGACCCATGGTGATGCAAACAATGCCGCCAGCTGTCCCTGCCTCCAACGCCTCAGCGACACCTGGCACACCTCCTCCGACCCTGTCAACAGCCCAACAAGGTGACTATTTCACAGTATAGATCTCTCTAAGTCTGTCTCAATCCCTTGTTTAGTTACATAAACTAGTAAATGCATGACATGTATTCTGTTTCCTATCATTGACATTGTGTGTTTCATTTTAAGCATTGGGTTTTACAACAAATGCTGCATCTGCCGCCACCAAGCTCACACCTGCAACGCCTGCTAGTTCTCAGGTCAGTTCCTCACTTTCAAGCAATGTTTACAATCCCTGGTTTGACTTGACCAATAATCAGAGTATAAAGTATTATGAAGATTTTGAATGAAGGTGAGTGAATTTTGGTCTCTCTCTATAACCTAAGGAGTCTTCGGAAGAAAAGACTCAGCAGCTCAAGGAACGCTTGTGCCGCCTTTTCGAGGCTAACGAGCGGCGCTGCAGCCGCAGAGTGCTGTACGGGTCGGACCTGCTGCAGGCTTGCACTCTGAGCACAGAGCCGGGCCACTCAGCCCTGACTGCCGGAGGCTGGAGGTGGGTAGGCAGAGAGAGCTGCCTCAGGGCCCAAAGAACCTGCGTGGCCACCACCTCTGCACTGCAGTCCACTCTGCTCTCTGTGGAGGACCGGCTGGAGACTGCTGACAGCCTCATCAAGAGGTACTTCCAACTAGTACTGCATTTGTTGGCTAAAACAAATACTTTTCATTGCACGCTGTACTACCATCTTGTCTACCCAAGAGGGTTTTACTGAGATCAGTTTCATTCGTTTTATTTCTTAATCCAAATAATGACCGTTAACATGACGATGCCTATTGTCATCTTTTAGGTTGGTATGTGTGGGTCCCTCCAGCTGAAGCTACACCTGCTCACCTGTATGCAGTCAATCCCCCGGTTCCCTACAGCCTGGAGCAGAAATCCCTTCACCGCCGCCTGCAGGAAGCCTCTTCTCCGCTCAGTGCCGAAATCCATTGTTTGGCCTCCAGGCCACTCCTTCGCTTCTCTGACCTGCAGGTCATGCAGATTGACTCAGGTTAGCGCCTCTTTTTTAATATAATTAAATAGAAAGTACTGTTGTTATATGACTGCTGTGTAGAGTAGTTTAAAGGAGGAATACAATGTAAAAGACAATAATAAAAAGGTGAAGTAAATTAGCTTTTTTCTCCATGTTGTGATTTCGTATTATCAATGTCGATATTGTGTACACTGCTGGAATACAGACAAGTAATGAATTCTAACTTGATACTTTTATCTCCCAAGGTAAACTGGAGGCTCTTTCCATTCTGCTGCAGAAGCTTCGGTCAGAGAGCCGCCGTGTCCTAATTTTTACTCAGATGGTGAAGATGCTCGACATCCTGGAGGCCTTCTTAGATTACAGGCAACTTACTTATGTGCGGGTCGATGAAAGCTTCTCTCCCGACGAACGACAGGTAAAATCCCCACCACTGATTGCTTCAGACAACCCATTTTTATATATAGATATACCTATTTGGAAATGCACTGTTGTGTGTCTGGCAATGACATGTATGATTTAGACAAATGAATATTGTCTTGGACCAGTAGTGGGCGAGCATTTGTCATGAAGAACAAGAGGCGATTTATCTTGTAGCTGTTATTTCCGCTTTCCAGTCTGTTCACTCGGTTTTCGGTTTCCCTGCAGGAGACAATGAAGAAGTTCAACAGGAACAGGAAGGTGTTCTGCAGCATCCTGACCAACCGCTGCTGCTCGGCAGTTGGGACTCTGTTTGATGCGGACACCATCATCTTCTACGACACCGACCTCAATCCCAGCATGGACGCCCGCACCCAAGAGTGGTGTGACAAGATAGGACGCTCCAAGGATATACACATATACAGGTGACATTATCAAGACAGTCTCTTCTAACAAAAGATAAATAAAGCAGGAGATGCAACCTACCCACATTGCTATTGAAGGACTTTGATGCTACTCCGGTTACTTTTGGTTGCCCAGGTTGGAGAGTGGGAACTCCATTGAAGAAAAGCTTCTGAAGAATGGCACCAAGGACCTGATCAGAGAGGTGGCGGCCCAGGGCACCGACTACACCTTGGCTTTCCTCACCCAAGTAAGATGATTCCACTGTGGTTCTCTTGTTTGTTTGAGAAACTCGACACCATTCTTCCATTTTCCATATTCAAACTGTCATTTAGAATTGTTAAAGCCGTCATTTTCCTCACTCTTGAACAGACCAATGACTTCTCTGTAATTCAACTGTGGACATGTAGAAACTCGCCTCCTCTTCTGTGTTCTCAGCGGACAATACAGGATCTATTCGAGGTGGAGGCTGGCTCAGGCGAGAAGGTGGAGGAGTTTGTGGTTCTTCACCAGGAGCCATCGGCCTCTGAGGCCATCTCTCCCAGAGTGGCTCGACCCTACATCCAGGCTCTTCACAGCATAAACCTGGACGCCCAGCCTGAGCAGGAAGAGCATCAGCCGGATGAGGAGTTAGCAGTCAAGGACTCAACCGAGGACGACCAAGAGCCAGAGAACCAAGCTAAAGAAGAGCCGACTCAGAAAGAGGAGCTGAATGCAATCATGGAACAGGTACTGTAACGTCTTTTTATACATACTGTCTGCAGTCGAGTGTAAGCCAAAAAGAAGACGTGTATCATCATTTTTAGTTGTTTGACTTGCACTTTCTGGTTAGATGCTAAACTGCATTTTGTTGTCTCACAATAAAGTTGAATCTAATTTGCATTTACTTACCTTCCTGTTCTTAAACAGCTCACACGCAATTGAAAGGGACGCCCCTTCATTAACCTGGAGTAGCTTTCACATCAGTGATGATGAAACGGCTCTCAAGGTAACTTTCGCTGGATTTTCTTGATTATTATATATGTTTGAGGTATATATTTTCTGATATGTTGTAGTGTATATATCTGATGAGTACAGTCCATTCACTAGTGTGCTAGTTGATCAATTCGACTTATACATGTTGATACTCAGGAGCAGCTGGAGTGCTCTAAGAGAGGCTGGGAACTGCAGCATCTGCAGAAGCTAAAGGAGGAGGAGAAGGAGGAGCAGCACATTATGGAGGGAGATGAAGATCTCTTCACCTACACCAGAGAGGATGCCTACAACATGGTGGGTGGCCGTAGCAACAGACGTAGCTAATCAAACGTAGAGTGGTGTGTGAATCACATTGACCTTTTGTCTGTGTTTCAACAGGAGTATGTATTTGATGCCGAGGACGGCCATACAGAAATCATGCCAGTAAGGAGCCAAAAGTGTTTCAAATTCAGAGTTGCTTAATATTTTAAATGATTGTTTTTGAAGTTGTTTCGGTATCTATGGATTTGACCACATGTGTACCTTTCTACACAAATCGTTGTATTATCTGAATTTGATTCTCACTCAAATTACCATGTGAAGTCCTTGACTGAGTTCTGACTTGTGATATTTTGACACAGCTTTGGACTCCACCGACTCCACCACAGGATGACAATGACATTTACATTGACTCTGTGATGATGCTCATGTATGACACCACACCCATGCCCGAGTCCAAGCTGCCTCCTATCTACATCCGCAAGGAGCACAAACGACTCAAGATGGACCCCTCAGGTAAAATTAGATTTGTCATTAAGGCCTTCGTAATCTGCTTTGTACAACAATATTTCTGTCTACTATCTAGTTTTGCTCTAAACACTAGTTCCTTCTGTGTATTTTAGGAAAGGGATGCATTTACTTTTATAGCATCTTTTTTTGTTGGTTTCTCTTTCCTTACTCGAGTGTGTTTGTCCAGCAGCAGCCAGAAAGAAGAAGAAGGGCCACGGCGAGACGGTCATTCCCCCGCGCTCCCTTTTCGAAAAGGCCAGCATGCTGAAAGTTCGCCGGGAGGGAAAGGACCAGAAAAAGACCTTTTCCCTGAAGCAGCAGGCGCCCTTTGCCAAACCCCTCCCCTCGCTGGTTAAACCTGCCATGGAGGCGGGCCAGGACAACCCTGAGTGGCTTATCAGTGAGGACTGGGCTCTGCTTCAGGTACACAATGACGTCCCTCACAAATTTAGTTTCACGCAATAAAACCATTTCTATGATGCACACATCCAACGTCCAAATATCATTGCCCCGCTTCTCTCAGGCTGTAAAGCAGCTGCTGGAATTACCCTTGAACCTGACCATCGTCTCCCCTGCACACACTCCGAATTGGGATCTGGTGAGCGATGTGGTGAACTCCTGCAGCCGCATCTACCGCTCGCCCAAACAGTGTCGCAACCGCTACGAGAACGTCATCATTCCCAGAGAGGAGGGCAAGGTAATGGAGAGCAAGCAGAGAATACAGTGTCTGCCTACTTCTTTGTTTCAACAGTCTCTCTAACTCTGTGACTTTCTTTCAGTTGGTGTATGAGGCGAACCCCAAGAAGAAAACCAAGAGCATATACAAGGTACACTGTTGTGGCTTTTTATTTGATCAATGTTTCTCTGCTCTCGATTTCATGGCCTCACTTTTCCTATTTGTCTTGTGTGTGTGTGTGTTCCCAGTCTAAGAACAGCCGTCCTCTCAGGACCTGTCAGATCTACACACAGGATGACAATGCCACTCACATCCAACTCTACAACAGCCGCTTTGAACTCATGAAGATCATTGCCAGCAAGAGGAGCCCTCCAATCAAACCGTTGTGAGTCCTGCTGCCCTTCACGACATGGAACCCATTAATCATCTGAAGAGAATGGTGAAATCTAGTTTCATATTTAATTTCATTAATTTATTTCTTAATGTTCACAGGCTTGGCATGAATGCGTTCCAGAAGAATCCCAAACATGCCTCGGTTTTAGCAGAAAGGTTTGTGTATTATGTCACCATTTAAAAACTTTAAACCTCTGTAAAGGAAACATGGTGTGACGTTGTTTTTCTTTTCTTTAGTGGAATAAGCTACGATAAACCGCTACCCCCCATTCAAGTGGCCTCCCAACGCGCCGAAAGGATTGCAAAGGAGAAAAAGGTGATTGTCGGCCGTCAGTCGGCAGCGCCGGCGTTGTGTGTCACCACTATCGGATTCAAATTTTGCATGTAGTCAACTCGCCTCTCAGTTTGATTGTGTGTGTGTCGGCAGGCCCTCGCGGAGCAGCAGAAGGCTCAGCAGTTGGCCCAGCAGCAAACTGGAGCGACCCCTGCCCAGGCCGCCCCCGGACAGGCACAGACTCCCGTGGCCGGCCAGGCTCAGGTCCCTCAGGCCGCCGCCGTGGTGCCCAATGCGGTTCTGGTGAGAATCCAAAACTCTACTGTAGACCGAGATTATTGTAGCATAGCCGGATCCTAAAAAAGCCCATTCACCCAGTGAGAACTAATACAGTTACGGTTTGTGTTTTTCAGGCTGGAGCCATAAAAAATGCCACGGTCGCTACAACCCTTCAGGCTGGTAGGCTGACACACACACAGCTCCCATTACAGAGCAGTTGGCGTTGGAATAGTTAATTCATTTCTCTTTTGTTTCTCCAGCGGCGGTAGGGGGGATTGTGAACACGGCAGCTGGAGTTCCTCCAAGTCCCTTCCAGGCCAACAAACGGCTGGCATCTCCAGTCATCCCAGGCACTCTGTCTGTGAGTCATGTTCATTTAATACTGCTGCTTCGCCTCAACTCGCCCTCCCGCCGACTTACTGGAACTCGTGACGCAAATAGCCGTCGGACTGTCATGAAGCCCACTGCACGCCCTCTACGTGGACAAAATGCTGCTACAAAAAGTGTTATAGCCGTTTCTCATTGTGTTGCTCTTTGTTGTTTGTTTTCTCAAGCCCGCTGGTGCGGCTGGGGCCCAAGTGGTCCACGCACAACAGAGGGCTGTAGCGGCCGCCGCTTCCCCTGCCGAGGTGGTCGCCATAGCTACGGGTCAGGGTGTCCGAGCCGTGACCCAAGTGACGGCGTCCGCAGTGGTTTCCACCACTCTGAGCCCGGTGCAGTCGCAGCCTCGCCCCCTGGTCGCTCAGGTCCCTGCAGGTACTTTACTAACAGGACGGCCCTTTCAGGACCCGTTACGGTTTGACCAATCTGACTTCTCTGCCGTCCTTCCATCCAGCCACAGGGATGCAGCTGTCTCAAGGAAAGTCTGTCAACACGGCCCACCTGCAGATGCTCCGACAGCAGCAGCTGCAGCAGCACCAACAGCAGCAGCAGCAGGCTGCGTCCCCACAGATGAAAACTGTAGGCAAACCGCAGGTACACCACCAGCATTTTAGCACATAAGTGTCACAAATTGTTTTACGCACGTTTGTATAATGGTCACACCCCCAATAAACACTGAGAACACTGAGGATTATGGCAGTGAACTGACTTTTAACTGGCCCTCGTTTGTATTTACAGGAGTTGATAAAAATGCACAAGCATAAGTTGCAGCAGGTGGCTGCAGCCCAGGGCCAACAGGCTGCAGGGGCCCTGCAGGCCGCCCAGGTGCAGCCCGCACAGGCTGCCCAAGCCAATCCCCAGCTCGCAGCTGTGGCCGCACCCAGACCCGGAGCCGTGCTGACCGGTACCACTGTTGCCAACCTGCATGTGGCCCGACTGGTGAGATTGTTAGAAAGGATCAATTCATTGTACTTATCTTACTTACTTACTTACTTATTGTACTCATCAAAATTTTGTTATTCAAAAAGTTTTTACTTAAGGTACTTAAAGAAACCTTAGTTAATAATACTAAATATTTCTGTCGGTGAGTATTTGACATGTCAGGTAAAGTCATTGCAGAATACGTTAGTGTCCCTTTTCTTCTCTCTGTTTGTGTCAGTGGTTAAAAACTGGTTGTGGTTTCTTTCAACAGACCCGAGTGCCAACTCAGGGCCAGATTCAGGGGCAGGCAGGACAGACGGCTCAGGTGACCCTCACCAAGCCTCCTGTGGTCTCGGTGCCCGCTGTGGTGTCATCAGCTGGCGTCACTACTCTGCCGGTCACAGTGGCTGGCATCAGTGTGGCTATTGGTCAGCCCCAGAAAACTGGTGTGTTAAGTCTCATTAGATCTCGTGGACATTGTTTATAATGTCCACAATTATTGCCCCTTATGTCCATGTCTCTTGCTCAATCTTCATACACCACTAGCAGGAATCAAAATCAATACCTATAAAGTGACTGAGAACACTGGGCTGGATATTCCTCTTCATGACATCCACGCTGTTGTCTATCTCCTAATGTTCCACTACGTTATTCTCTTTCCTCTCTGCCAGGTGGGCCTGTCCTGACGCAGTCATTCCCACCTATGCACGTCCAAAAGCTGCTTCAGTTGAAGAAACAGCCACAGCAGCTGCAGCAGCAGGCCGCCGCCGCCCAGCAGAAAGCAGGGCAGCAGCAGCAGGGACAGGCCACTGTGCAGCAGAAGGTAAGCACACCACACCAGTAGGCACTGGACTCTCACATGGTTAACACAGTCTCATTTGTTATGAGTCTTTTCTTCCTCTACCGGAAACAGAAACAACAAATGCATCATAAAAACTGAATTTGACATGTACATCGATCTTTTTTGGTTCCATATAAATAATGATACTAGGAAGATGGAGTAAACTGTAGTTATTCCGTGTAGATCGGCAGCCAGCAGGTCACCGTGCAAGCGGCCCAGCCCGCCCAGCAGAAGGTGACCTATGCCACCGCAACACAGCTCCAACAAGGGATCAAGACCCAGTTCTTCCCTACGTCCATCTCCCAGGCCCAGAAACCCGCTGGAGCTCAACAAATCCAGGTACAGCCGCAGTGGCAGTCACCACCGCAAAGTAAATATTGACTAATAAACACTGGGCTTGTGTGTTGATATGAGATTTTCTGGTTGACTTCTCCTATCAGGTGGCTAAGCTCCCACAAATAGTGCAGCAGCAAACCACCGTGGCCAATATTCCACAGATCGTGTCTTCTGCTCAGCAGGTAAGATGGTAAACTGGTGGGGGGGGCGGCTTGTTCTCATGCTGTGCATTGCTTGATTATCCTTGACCTACAAATTTGACTTTTAACCCTCATGAGCCTCACATCCTCAACCAAGGAAGGAAAGAATATTTGTTTGGATCGTGTTTTTAACTACCTGCTGCTTATTTTGTGACGTCATTTATTTTTACAATTTTGACACAAAGGATTCAAATACTCAGATATTTTGTTTTCAATTATTTGTTATTCCAGAGTTGTTTACACATGTTTGCTTTGTTTGCCTCCTCTTCAGATCCAGGCCCAGACCTTGACTCTGACCCAGGCGGCGCCGTCCGCGCCTTCTCAGATGCAGATGATCCCCGCGGGCACGGCGGCGGCCCAGGTTGTCCAGCAGAAGATCCTCCAGCAGCAGGTGGTGACCGCCGCCACCTCCCCCAAGATCCAGACGCCTCCTCCCCACAGCCCCGCCCAACAGCCCGCCGCACCTTCCTCCGCAGAGGCCCCGGCGCAGCAGGCCACTCACGGCCAACAGCCCGCTAAGGGTCAAGCCCGCCAGGGCGGCATCAGGGCCAAAACTCCCGCCAAGCCCGGCGGGGGAAGCAGCTAGGAGAAGCACCCCGACGAAACTGAAACGGCCGAGTGTTGTTTTTTTTCTCGCCGCACAGATGCGTCGGTACTGGGTTTGTTTCTTATGGATTCAACAGCAGCTGAGGCCAGAGGCAGACTTTGCGTTGCGTTGTTAGTCACATCAAACCGTTACTTCACCTCAAAACTAACTGATTGAAATTGAGTCCAACATACTAATTATTATTATTGCTCATACCTAAACTCAACCCCAGCACTGCTGCCCATAATTCATGTTGTCTTCATCTGTCATGAAATGTGGATATTTTTTTGACGTTACCACAACTTTCCCCATAACTACTGCCCTGAAGACATCAAACCGTCACGCCTTCAAATGATTATATTATAAGTTGAGATATCTGAGGCTTATGGGCGATTTTGCATTGGGAAAGCTGTCCATTAGAATAAGTGTATTCATAAATAGTCCCTTTTATGTCTAATTTCCTTGTCTATAGATACTGAATGGAGAATAATGCACGTTCCTTTAGTCCTTTGTTTTTTATTGCAGCAAATACACTGTAAACATGTACTTTAGTATTTTGTGTTTTCTCATAAATTGTCTTTTTTTTATTGATGTCAACAAAAAAATGTAAATATTGATGAAAAACATTTGTACTTGTAAAGTAGTTGTGTTTTCATTGGGTTTTTTCAGCCTAATTGTAATAAAGTGTTTTGTTTTTATACACATTCATCTTTTTTCCTTTCGTTATTTTCATTAAATCCGTTGTAACTACTTGGAAATCTCGTGAATTCTTATAATGCGTTTCCTTTTGTTTATTAGAGCATCTGCAGCGACCCTGATTGTTACAGCCTAGGATGTGTAGCTTCAACAGAGTTGCTGGGAATTTTGTTTGAAGCTTGTAAGTGTTTTTGTATTAGTATAGTATAAATTATTTTTCTTTAGTCATTCATTAAAAAGGGTTTCAGAGGCAGGCAGGATCTGGAACGGTCGTTTTCATCTGGAGAACAAACCAAAAGCCACCTGACTAAACAAAATGTCAGTCAGAGGCTGTGAGTCTGCATGCGGTTGTTCTTGCGTCATAAGCCTCTTTACGCAGTCCGAGGTCAGCAGACTAAAAGCCTTGTGGGCCGTGTCTGCTTGGCCCGGCTGGATGCTGACTCCTGCCCACTGAGTGAGTCAGACACAAGGATGAGGATTCATCGCACACTCATTACGAACCTTTTCCTCCTCACTCATTAACACAATGACGACGCGTGCCGTTCCACAAGGGGGCGCTGTTGCATCAGTATCACCTTGCTCCCTTTGATAAAGGCCCGCTTACACTACACCGGGTTTCCAGCTCATTGAACTGTCCCATCTGCTCCTTGCTGCATACGCCGCGTCTCCTCTCCACTGGCACTCGCTGGCCGGTCCACATTCACCCCTAAATGAGTGAGACAAGTGAGGTGAGGCGGAAGAGCGGAGGGCCCGATGAACAGATGGGCAAGGCCGGTTCCTTCCATCCCTTATTTCTCTCAAGAACTCTCCATTGTAACCCGGAGGGGTTTTCTTTTTCACTGCATAGCCTGAATGTCAGAAACATGAAGATGTATAATGGCTCATGTATGAATCACGCATTGGAGCTGGAGGCAGAAACCACCAGCAGACTTCAGAGTATCAGCGCCGTCATGGTGACGTTCAGGAGAGTTCAGTTCAGTTCAGTTGAATCGCACCACTTCACACTGTAGCCATTGTCCACTCCTCCCTCCACCCACCTCGTATCCAAATGTCCCATCATAACCGACAAGGACGAGTGCAGGTGCACCTTTGTTACACGACTGTAAACATGCAAACACACGAGCTGTGTGATCCAGGAACTGAGCGTGAGTTCAGTTTGGAGTGCTCGTATTTTGATACCTTTGTCTCCATTCAAGTCATGCACAGGGTGCAGCAGGGTAAGCAGAGGGAGGCAAGAGAAGAGGCCGCCGAGGCTGTCGGAGTCAATCTCATCTCTCTGCGAAGACGCAAGCCCCCCCGCCCCCGCCCCCCTCCCCATCATGAGACTGTTCACCTCGGGAGACTCTTTAGAGACTCTGAACAATGTCACATGTGTGAGCCGGAGATGAGGGTTATGAGTTACACTGTTGAGTGTTTCCTCCATTTACACTGAGCTGCTATCAGGACCCTCCCCCCCAACTCCCATCCTAAGCCAGGGGAAGCAAAGCGAGCCATGTGAATGACGGCCTCTGGAAGCATGGATGACACAATCGTTAAAGCGCGTTGACACGGGATCAACGCGGCGAGGGCTTTGTTGTTGCCTGAGAGACGAGCAGACCCGGAGGCAACACAGATGCAGAGGCCAGCTCAGCAGGCCAGGCGTGAAAAGAAAGCATCCAGGTAGAGTGGGAGCCCAGGGAGGTTTGTCTTTGCAGAGCTCAGCACCGCTCAGCAGCGCCAATGAAAAAGGGCCAAATCCTCCGTCTTATTGTTCAGCCCGTTCTCTCATAATGTCCTGGGGGCCCCCCCCTCTAATGATGCTCCTCCAATAAGGCCGATGATCACCGCTACTGGGGAGAAGAAACAGGCCGTCTACGCGGGAATGTTGCCATGGCAACCCACCGCGACCCCTTTTGTTCAAATCGCGGGGCTGAAGGAACACTGTCTTCTGCAGCACACGGGGACGACACAGCCCGTCATCACAGGGTTCTCTTTAAACGGATCCACCATAACCCAGAGGGTGGGTTGTTTAGCTTTGGGACTAGAACGTGGATTAGACTTAGATGTCTTCCAGTCCAGAGAAGGCCCTCAGCAGATGAACACGTGCATTCATCTGCGCTCCCACTACAAGCTTTGAGACTCCTGAGGCCAATACAGTAAAGGCCCAGTACAGCAACAGATGAGTCACCGGTCTGAATTGCAGTGGGATGGTGTCGGTGGGGGTGGGAAGGGGGCGGGGGTGACGCGGCAGTGGTAATTGCTCCGCATGCGAGATGGGCTGAGAGAGCACCGGAGCTGACGCGCTCCACTTCCCTCGGCGCGGCGATGGTCTCCAGTATGAGTCTGTCTGCCACTCGCTGCTCCCACCTCCCACTCTGTTTCCAACGCTCTCTCTCCCTCTCTCCCTCTCTGTCTCCTTCTGTCTCCCCGGGCTTCTCCTTCCACCCAGCTCGACTCTTCTTCTCACTACGCTGCCGTCATCTTCCATCCGGACGTCTCGCGGCCCAACCGGCGTGTAGGCGAGATTTCTCTGCGCAATGAGCTGAATTTGGCCCGCAGACACCTAGACAGACAAAAAGTATTTGTACTCCGGCTTTATGGTTTTGATGTGTGGGTCAATCGTAAAGAGTACTGGATCCCATATGTCCCATGATGCAAGACAAGAAGTATCAAAGTGACCCCCCGTGATGAGAGGACGTTCTCTGATGGCTTAGGAAAGGCGCTTCACTGCTTCCTCACTGGTCTCCTTCAGCACCTTTGACCTTGTCGTTGCGTACCGTTGTACCCTGATGTAGTGACAGTCACATTGTGTTCTCTTTTGAGTATTTTTGTGAATTCTTTGTCTCACCTTTTGTTGAAGCCACAACGTTTTTTATTTTACTGTTGTGGAGTAAATCTCATAGCACAACAAAGATATGACCTCACTTGAGTCATTTAAAAATACTTAAAGAAAGAAAAAGAGGACATGTGTGAGATACTCGTACAGGAAGTGCTGTTGAACGGAAACCGAGAAAAGGTGTCAGTCAGAACTGTTGCTGCTGCATCGCAGACGACCGCTTTTTCTTTGTCTAAAAAAATGTTTAATCCCCCGACTCAGTCAGTGGCTGCACAGATCAGAGCCCTGTGGTCTGGGGGGAAAAAATAAACAATCATTTTTAGGGGGATGGGTTTTTGTTAGAGGGGAGATAATGTAAAAAACATGGGAGACCCCCTTCCGCCACACACATACACCCCCTTCCACCTTGCCGCTAAGCCCACCACCCCCTAAACAAACTCACACACATGCTGAAAGATGAATGTCCAGCAAATGGAGGCAAGGGGCGAGCGAGGGCCCCGTGTGAGAGGTGTATTGTGCAGCCCCCCCCTCTGCCCTCGGAGGCAAGTAATCAAGGGGGGACCAGGGAGGTCGGGGGGTGGAACGGGGCAGTGGCGGCTGAAGGGGAGGCAGTTGTTGTCTCACTAGGATGTTATTTATTGGCCTACTTTGAATCTCCTGCTGCCTCCTGCACTCCCTGTCACTCCCATTGATCTTGTCACGACCCGCCCCCACGGATGGCTCTGCAGAATCTCCTCCTCCTCCTCCTCCTGCTCCTGCTCTTCCTCCTCCCACTCCTCCCCCCTGTCCTCTTCTCATGCTGTACATTGCTTGAAAAGCCTCCTGCTCCTGGTGTAATGTTGCATCACCCGAGACCAGTTGACTACAGGCAGTGTGCATGTTTGGGGTCATTAAAGTTAAGTCCTTGTTTACATGGCGTGCGTTGCCACTGGCACTAAAGCCCGACATCGGCATGCTCACACGCTACTGTGAGGTTTACAGTGTTTCCAGAGTCCGCGGGCTGTATACTGCATTGCTTTGTGTGTTTGTCACAAATCCATTGTAATGTATATTGTAACGTCTCGTTAGTCTCATTCCTCTCCTCCTATCTTTCCCCTGATTGCCCTCCTCCTTCTCACCTGCACCGTCCACCCAGATGCCTCCAATTGCCTCATCAACCCACTCATATATCCTCCCCCGTGTTCCCCGCTCGCGTTGAAAGACTGTCATTGTTCTTCCTCTTGTGCACATCGCGTCTCCTGTGCCAATCCCGCTTGTTTCTTTAATGACTTGCGACTTTGCCGTTTGTTGATATTTGCTTGCTCCCGGTTGGAGCCGCTTTGACTCCTTTTTGTTTATTACTTTTGGTGACCAGAGAAAAGAACCGTCTTTTTGTCAACGTCATCTTGTCTCCAATGTCCGTGCTCCTTGAGTCCTAACGCAGCCTCGAACCGTGACATTTATAGAGATGTTTACAGGCAAAACAATGGAGACGAATCAAATTCATCTTCTGGGAACAATGAATGTTAATTGATAAAATGGTCAAAATAATTTGAGATATGTGAGTCTGACCACACTCCGTTTAGTCTGAATACCACCAACAAACCAAAGTGGAACTTGGAGGGTTTCCGCTTACAGAGAAGCATCAGCGTCCCAACTTTCTACGTCCCACAATGTTCTTTATTTCCATTTGGATGCGTGTACAGTGGAACCAAATCACAACTGTTGAGACAGTAGTTTTGTTTTATGTGCATCTTGTTACGAGAGCGTAGGATGAAGTTGAGCCGTGCAGCTTTACCAGTAACTGTCCCCCCCTTTCATGGGACCATTAGAGGAAGGCTTCCATGGTAATCGTGTGTTCAGTACTGATTTTACTAACCAGCGCACTTAAAGCCAGTACCTTCGTTGGCCTCTATCCCGCACACGAGGAGATCCCAGCGGGTTTCCTCTGTGTGGTTTATCTGTGTCGTATCTGAGCGTGCTCGGTACGCGATAGCTCTTTCTTGTGGAATGCTGGGCAACGCCTGGAATGTGCCGACCATGATGGGAAACATGTGTGTTGGATGGCGAGGTTGGTGAGTGGGAGATAGTGGAATCCACTGTTGCATGTCTGCCTCTCAGGTGCAACACACTGACGATTCAGCTCACTTTGCTCTATAATCCATCGAACAAACCCTTGCAGTTGGCGCTCCTTCTACATCACACCGACCCCAACACA